GGTGTTAGATGACATGATCACATCGGTCGCGCCAATCCCTGAGGAATTCAAGCATTTTATTGAAATCGTGAAAACCTGCTCACAGGCCTCGATACCGAGAGGCTGCAGAACCAACTACCTTCAGGGCATTACTCCTGAAACAGCTGCCTTGTTGGAAAACTATTACAGGCTCCACAACGAAGACCCATTTAGTGAGCAGACTCTTCAGGCAGCACAGAACATTTTGTCCTCCATCTCTGAAGCCAAGAAAGAACAGTGGATCAAGCTGATCACAGAGGTCGACATGGGCAGGAGCAGCCAGAAGGCGTGGAGGTTGCTATCTCCCTGCTGTGCCACCTCTACAAAGTTCTGGAGAGACTTATTCTGCATAGAATTATGGAAAAAATAGACCCATGTCTGATTCCACAGCAAGCTGGCTTCAGGAAAGGCAAAAGCTGCACATCGCAAGTGCTGAACCTGACTCAGCACATAGAAGATGGCTTTGAAAGGCAGCAGATCACAGGAGCTGTCTTCATAGACCTGTCAGTGGCTTATGATACTGTGAACCACCGCCTCCTCCTGAGAAAAATGTATAATACCACAAAGGACTACCATCTCACCTGTCTCATAGGAAACCTGCTACAAAACAGGACCCACAAGAGCCAGAAAAATAGTACAGGTCAATAACTGGCTTAGAAAATGGTGTCAGGAGGAACGCTTTGGCTTCCTCGACCATGGCCTGCTTTTCCAGGAGGATGGCCTACTGGCAAGGGATGGGGTGCATCTCACACAAGTAGGAAAACACCTTTTTGCTCACAGACTCGCAAACCTCATTAGACGCACTTTAAACTAGGTCCACCGGGGGAGGGGGACAACAGCCTTGTGAACACTACTTTACCCATAATGTCTGGGAATCGCCAGAAGGCTAAACGGAGGGCTGCACAAACACAACAAGGACCAAGTACCAAAAGCACAATAATCCCAATTAAACAGCTCAAGGGAAGATCTCAGGGGCTCACATGTCTTTACACAACACCACAAATATGATATCATAGGGATCACTGAAACCTGGTGGGATGACTCCTATCGCTGGAATGTAGATATCGAGGGGTATAACCTCTTTCACAGAAACCGAACAAAGGGGAGAGGAGGCGGAGTAGCCTTATATGTCAAAAACTCTTATGCTGCAGAAGAGATTCAAGAGAGCAATCTGGGAAACCAGCTTGAAATCATCTGGATAAGAATCAAGGGAACTGGGACTCAAAAAGATGTTGTTGTAGGCGTCTACTACAGACCCCCAAGCCAGGAGGAAGAACTTGATGAAGTCTTCTGCCAACAGTTGACCAAACAGGCACAGAGAAGAGATGTAGTAGTCATGGGCGATTTCAACTATCCCGATATTTGCTGGAAAACAAACTCGGCCAAGAGTACAAGGTCCAACAAATTCCTCGCTTGCCTTGCAGACAATTTCATGGTCCAGAAGGTAGAAGAGGCAACAAGGGGATTGGCTACTCTTGATCTCATCCTAACAAATGCGGACGACCTGATCGATGCGGTCGAAGTAGTAGGATCCTTAGGGGCAAGTGACCATGTGCTCCTGCAATTTGAGGTACAAAGGAAGGCCGAAACTAAGACAAGTCAAACCCGCATTTTGGACTTTAGAAGAGCTGATTTCCAAAAAATGAAGGAAACGCTGAGCAGCATTCCATGGACACAGATACTAAAAGATAAGGGAGTTACGAATGGATGGGAATTTCTCAAGAGTGAAATACTCAAGGCACAATTGCAAACTGTGCCAACAAAGAGAAAAAATGGAACAAGTGCAGAGAAGCCAGAATGGATGTCCAAAGAACTTCTAACTGTGCTAAAACACAAAAGAGACATGCACAAGAAGTGGAAAAAGGGAGAAATCACCAAAGAAGAATTCAAACAAATAGCCAACACCTGTAGGGAAAAGGTCCACAAGGCTAAAGCACAAAATGAGCTCAGGCTTGCCAGGGACATTAAAAACAATAAAAAGGGCTTCTATTCTTATGTCAGTAGAAAAAGGAAAAACAAGGAGGCGATAGGCTCTTCGAGGAGAAGATGGGGCAATGCTGACAGGGGATAGGGAAAAGGCAGAACTACTTAATGCCTTCTTTGCCTCGGTCTTCTCACAAAAAGAGAGTCTTCAACCTCAGCAAGATGGAGTGGATGAGGGATTGGAGGACATCCAACCCCAAATTGGGAAAGAAGTCGTCCAGGAATACCTGGCCGCTCTTAATGAGTTCAAGTCCCCAGGCCAGATCAACTACACCCCAGAGTATTGAAGGAACTAGCGGAAGTATTTCGGAACCATTGGCAACCATCTTTGAGAGTTCTTGGAGAACGGGAGAAGTTCCAGCAGATTGGAGGAGGGCCAATGTGGTCCCAATCTTCAAGAAGGGAAAAAAGGATGACCCAAACAACTACCGTCCGGTCAGCCTCACGTCGATACCGGGCAAGATTCTGGAAAAGATTGTTAAGGAAGCGGTCTGCAAGCACTTAGAAACAAATGCAGTCATCGCTAATAGTCAACATGGATTTATCAAAAACAAGTCATGCCAGACTAATCTGATCTCTTTCTTCGATAGAGCTACAAGCTGGGTAGATGCGGAATGCCGTGGATGTAGCGTACCTGGATTTCAGTAAGGCCTTCGACAAGGTCCCCCATGACTCTGGCAAGGAAACTAGTCCAATGTGGGCTAGGCAAAACTACGGTGAGGTGGATCTGTAATTGGTTAATTGGACGAACCCAGAAGGTGCTCACCAATGCTTCCTCTTCATCTTGGAAAGAAGTGACAAGTGGAGTGCCGCAGGTTCCGTCCTGGGCCCGGTCCTGTTCAACATAAGTTAATAAGGCATTATATCAGGGGTAGGGAACCTTTGGCCCTCCAGCTGTGGTGGACTTCAACTCCCACAATTCCTTGAGGCTCGGCATTCGCCCCAAAGGCTTACCTTGGCCCAATGCCGAGCCTCAAGGAATTGTGGGAGTTGAAGTCCACCACAGCTGGAGGGCCAAAGGTTCCCTACCCCTGACTTAGATGAAGGGCTAGAAGGCATGATCATCAAGTTTGCAGACGACACCAAATTGGGAGGGATAGCCAATAGTCCAGAGGACAGGAGCAGTATTCAAAACGATCTTGACAGATTAGAGAGATGGGCCAAAACTAACAAAATGAAGTTCAACAGTGACAAATGTAAGATACTCCACTTTGGCAAAACGAAATGCAAAGATACAGAATGGGGGATGCCTCGCTCGAGAGCAGTACATGTGAAAAAGATCTTGGAGTCCTCGTGGACAACAAGTTAACATGAGCCAACAATGTGATGTGGCGGCAAAAAAAGCCAATGGGATTTTGGCCTGCATCAATAGGAGCATAGTGTCTAGATCTAGGGAAGTAATGCTACCCCTCTATTCTGCTTTGTTTAGACCACACCTGGAATATTGTGTCCAATTCTGGGCACCACAATTCAAGAGAGATATTGACAAGCTGGAATGTGTCCAGAGGAGGGCGACTAAAATGATCAAGGGTCTGGAGAACAAGCCCTATGAGGAGCGGCTTAAGGAACTGGGCATGTTTAGCCTGAAGAAGAGAAGGCTAAGAGATATGATAGCCATGTATAAATATGTGAGAAGAAGCCACAGGGAGGAGGGAGCAAGCTTGTTTTCTGCTTCCTTGGAGACTAGGACGCGGAACAATGGCTTCAAACTACAAGAGAGGAGATTCCATCTGAACATTAGGAAGAACTTCCTGACTGTGAGAGCCGTTCATCAGTGGAACTCTCTGCCCCGGAGTGTGGTGGAGGCTCCTTCTTTGGAAGCTTTTAAGCAGAGGCTGGATGGCCATCTGTCAGGGGTGATTTGAATGCAATATTCCTGCTTCTTGGCAGGGGGTTGGACTGGATGGCCCATGAGGTCTCTTCCAACTCTTTGATTCTATGATTCTATGATTCTAGGAGCTTTTTTGTTGAGTTCCAGGGCCAGAGAAGCAGATGGCGGAAACAGAAGAACGGCCTGCCTCAGGGGAGTGTGCTCGCTCCATCCATGTTCAACATCTACACAAATGACCAGCCACTGCCAGAAGGGACAGAGAGTTTCATCTATGCTGATGATCGTGCCATTACTGCTCAAGCAGGGAGCTTTGAGATGGTTGAACAGAAGCTCTCCGAAGCGCTAGGTGCTCTTACTGCCTATTACAGGGAAAACCAGCTGATCCCTAATCCATCTAAAACACAGACATGTGCCTTTCACCTTAAGAACAGACAAGCATCCTGAGTTCTGAAGATCACCTGGGAAGGAATCCCACTGGAGCATTGCAGCGCACCCAAATATCTGGGAGTCACTCTGGACCATTCTCTGACCTACAAGAAGCACTGCCTGAACATCAAACAAAAAGTGGGTGCTAGAAACAATATCATACGAAAGCTGACTGGCACAACCTGGGGATCACAACCAGATACAGTGAAGACATCTGCCCTTGCGCTATGCTACTCTGCTGCTGAGTACGCATGCCCCGTGTGGAACACATCTCACCACACTAAAACAGTGGATGTGGCTCTTAATGAATCAAGTGGCTATTATCCACTCATTGAGGATACCATAAATAAGTATTGGCACTTGTGAATTGACGGCAGTTAGTTTTATCTATTGTTGTTTTAATTTTATGCCACATGTGTTGATAGGGGTTGTTGTTATAATTTTATGTGACTTGTTTTAAACTTTTGTACAGTTTTACCTGTTGTATATTATATGTGCACCCTGGAGTGCCATGTGAGCTGCCCTGAGTCCCTTCGGGGAGATGGTGGTGGGATATAAATAAAGTTTATTATTCTTATTGATAATGAATATACCTGTTACAGTATTTTTATATTCTTTAGAAAAAATAGATCCATAAAATAAAGACAATTAACAATGATTACTTATCAAAGCATGGATGGGATTATGCTGCATTTAGTAGAACTCTTTTTGTCATTAATTGTGTTTTTCCCTTTCATTAAAGACAGCAATATTGAAGCGACAGCATCGATATTTATGCTCTACAGTTCCTGATAATGCAGAGAAAGAAGCTCAGAGTCTATTTGTAACTGAGGTAATAGTTGTGTATGCTACTTGATCGGTTTGTATAATTTTCTGTTGTAGCAAATTAGAATGTAAATCATCATTTGTTTTGTACTTGTGTGCTTTTTTCCTACTGGATAAAACTATGAGAGCATTGCATATTTTTCTGACTCTTTTTGTACTCTGGGACATTAACAATTCTTTTATGAAAAATGATTTTTATACAAAAACTAAAATTGTTCTGCAGAGAAAAGAGGTTTTTCACCAAAAAGCCCCAAATTACAAAAATGTCTCACAATTTCCTTAGTTCCTTAGATTGCTATTCAGTTGTCTCTTACTGCAATAAGAGAGTAAATGGTGTGAGATGCTTCCCCTCCCCCACTTTTTTCACTGCCTTGTCTTAGGCCTCTCCTTCTGTGCTATGTACACCCTGCAACTTTGGAAAACTGACTGACATCCCTGCACTTTATTATTTTGTTGTAGAGCAGTAAGTAGAAAATATAGCCCTTTGTTGTTTCCTTTGACCTAACAAAAACAAGGGAAATGAGGTTTATTATTATTAACTTCATGCCTTAGGGTCCCTTCACTCTTAATTTCACTTTATCATGACCTACTAATATTAACACAGTCCTTACTGTGAAGAAACCTCAGAACTCAATTTTCATTCTTCCATCAATGCTCTCAAATATTTTCATCATTAACAGAGATGTGGGGTTCTTCTACACTATACTAAAACCTGAGAGGAAGCAGGTTAAAACAACCTGCTTCCTCTTGGGTTGTAGTCTCCACCCACAACCCAAATCCCAGGCCTTCCTGGGAGGGGTGGCTGGATGGCATCCTAGATCAACAAAGGTTATTTATTATTTATCTCTCAGTTCTTGTGGGTTTTTTTGGGCTACATGGCCATGTTCTAGAGGCATTTCTCCTGACGTTTCGCCTGCATCTATGGCAAGCATCCTCAGAGGTGAGGTCTGCTGGGACTGGGAAAAGTCCCAGCAGACCTCACCTCTGAGGATGCTTGCCATAGATGAAGGCGAAACGTCAGGAGAAATGCCTCTAGAACATGGCCATGTAGCCCGAAAAAACCCACAAGAACTGAGTGATTCCAGCCATGAAAGCCTTCGACAATATATTATTTATCTATTTAGAACCTTTATATCCCGTTCTTCTCTACCTCCGTGGAGGGACTCAGAATGGCTAACAACACCAAAGATTCAATGCTACGTAATAAATAACATTTTTAAAAATAACATACATAATAAATAAGATATAAAACACATATAAAAGACAGTTTGCTGAATTAAAAACATCATCTAACTCAATTCAAACATTGTGGTCCAATAACTCTTAGGTTGACCCAGGATGCCATCTAGCCCCCCTCCATCCCCCCATTTTGGCTCCCAAACTTTCCGAGAGGCCTGCCAGCAGCACAAACCTCTCTCTACAGTCCTTCTGATGTTTGGTAATGATGTGTCAGGAGTGGGGAGGAGGGAAATTCCCCTCACCTCCTGACATGCCATTTCCTCATGCCAGGCACCATAGAGAACCACATCAGCCTTATGTTTCAGGTAAAGAGTAAGGCAGGTCTTGCATTTTGGCCTGTCTGGAAGGGCCTGCATTTATTGTATCATTTAAGTCAATTGTGAGAAACTGCATGGGTTGAAATGTATGCTAATCTTTCCTGCCCCAGTGTTTTCCTTCTCAGAATCACATCTGCTGCAGCAAATAAGCATAAAAATCAAAATTCATTGGCACCAATGGGATCTTTATAATATGTGTTACAATTTCACAGATCTTTGCCAGGCCATGGGTATTTTTAACATTTTATTTTAATTTAAAATTGTGTACATCAACAGGTGTGTAGAAACTACTTTTAGTTTTTTAGTATTTTCTTTCCAGATTGATAGCACTCAACCATACACTTTCACTAGTATCGTGATAAAACAGAAGAGTGTAACAAATACTTTATTAAATATTTATACGCATACCACCACAGCTGCTGAAGAAGCAGAAGTAGATCAGTTCTATGAGGATCTGCAGGACCTACTGGATAATACACCAAAAAGAGACATTATTTTCATTACAGGAGACTGGAATGCCAAGGTGGGAAGTCAAATGACAACTGGGATCACAGGCAAGCATGGTCTGGGAGAACAAAATGAAGCGGGACGCAGGCTGATAGAATTTTGCCAGGAAAACTCGCTGTGTATAACAAACACTCTCTTCCAACAACCTAAAAGACGGCTTTATACATGGACTTCACCAGATGGTCAGCACCGAAATCAGATTGACTACATCCTTTGCAGCCAAAGGTGGCGGACATCCATCCAGTCGGTGAAAACAAGACCTGGGGCTGACTGTAGCTCAGATCACGAACTTCTTATTGCACAATTTAGAATAAAATTAAAGAGATCAGGGAAAATACACAGACCAGTTAGATATGATCTCACTAACATTCCTAGCGAATATACAGTGGAAGTGAAGAACAGATTTGAAGGACTAGATTTAGTAAACAGAGTCCCAGAAGAACTATGGACAGAATCCGCGACATTGTTCAGGAGGCGGCAACAAAGTACGTCCCAAAGAAAAAGAAAACCAAGAAGGCAAAATGGTTGTCTGCTGAGACACTGGAAGTAGCCCAAGAAAGGAGGAAAGCAAAAGGAAACAGTGAAAAGGGGAGATATGCCCAGTTAAATGCGCAATTCCAGAGGTTAGCCAGAAGAGATAAGGAACTATTTTTAAATAAGCAATGCATGGAAGTGGAAGAAGACAACAGAATAGGAAGTACAAGAGACCTCTTCCAGAAAATTAGAAACATTGGAGGTAAATTTCAGGCAAAAATTGGTATGATAAGAAACAAAGATGGCAGGGACCTAACAGAAGCTGAAGAGATCAAGAAAGGTGGCGAGACTATACAGAAGATCTGTATAGGAAGGATAATATATCGAGGATAGTTTTGACGGTGTGGTGAATGAATTAGAACCAGACATCCTGAGGAGTGAGGTTGAATGGGCCTTAAGAAGCATTGCTAACAACAAGGCAGCAGGAGACGACGGGATCCCAGCTGAACTGTTTAAAATCTTGAAAGATGATGCTGTCAAGGTGATGCATGCCATATGCCAGCAAATATGGAAAACACAAGAATGGCCATCAGACTGGAAAAAATCAACTTATATCCCCATACCAAAAAAGGGAAATGCGAAAGACTGCTCCAACTTCTGTACAGTGGCCCTTATTTCTCATGCCAGTAAGGTAATGCTCAAGATCCTGCAAGGAAGACTCCAGCAATACATGGAGCGAGAGTTGCCAGATGTTCAAGCTGGGTTTAGAAAAGGTAGAGGAACGAGAGACCAGATTGCCAATATCCGCTGGATAATGGAGAAAGGCAGGGAGTTTCAGAAAAACATCTATTTCTGCTTCATTGACTATTCTAAAGCCTTTGACTGTGTGGATCATAATAAATTGTGGCAAGTTCTTGGTGGGATGGGCATACCAAGCCACCTTGTCTCTCTCCTGAGGAATCTGTACAAGGACCAAGTAGCAACAGTAAGAACTGACCACGGAACAACAGACTGGTTCAAGATTGGGAAAGGCGTACGGCAAGGCTGCATACTCTCACCCAACCTTTTTAACTTTTATGCAGAACACATCATGCGAGGATGTGCAGGGCTTGATGAATGCAAAGCTGGGGTGAAAATTGCTGTAAGAAACATTAACAACCTCAGATATGCAGATGACACCACTCTGATGGCCGAAAGCGAGGAGGAGCTGAGGAGCCTTCTAATCAAGGTGAAAGAAGAAAGCGCAAAAGCGTTGCAGCTAAACATCAAAAAAACCAAGATTATGGCAACAAGGATGATTGACAACTGGGAAATAGAGGGAGAAAATGTGGAGGCCGTGACAGACTTTGTATTTCTAGGTGCAAAGATTACTGCAGACGCAGACTGTGGCCAGGAAATCAGAAGACGCTTACTTCTTGGGAGGAGAGCAATGTCCAGTCTCGATAAAATAGTAAAGAGTAGAGACATCAGACTGGCAACAAAGATCCGCCTAGTCAAAGCCATGGTATTCCCTGTAGTAACCTACGGATGTGAGAGCTGGACCTTAGGGAAGTCTGAGCGAAGGAAGATCGATGCTTTTGAGCTGTGGTGTTGGAGGAAAGTTCTGAGAGTGCCTTGGACTGCGAGAAGATCCAACCAGTCCATCCTCCAGGAAATAAAGCCCGACTGCTCATTGGAGGGAAGGATACTAGAGACAAAGTTGAAGTACTTTGGCCACATCATGAGGAGACAGGAAAGCCTTGAGAAGACAATTATGCTGGGGAAAGTGGAAGGCAAAAGGAAGAGGGGCCGACCAAGGGCAAGATGGATGGATGGCATCCTTGAAGTGACTGGACTGACCTTGAAGGAGCTGGGGGGGGTGACGGCCGACAGGGAGCTCTGGCGTGGACTGGTCCATGAGGTCACGAAGAGTCGGAGACGACTGAACGAATGAACAACAACACACATACCACCCACGCACTTACTAGACCTTGAAAAAGCAAAATAGTCCATCATTTGAATCTAAAAATATTCCATATGTAAGAAACTTACATCCAGCTTGATGGAAGAGAATTTATTTCTGGCATGGCCCTGTCAGGAATGATGGGAGCAGCACTCCAGCCATCTGGAGTGCTGTTCTAGGGTGACATCCTTATCCTTAAATGCCAGAAAAAGATATTTCTGGCATCATTTAGGTAAACATTCTAAGGGTTAGTGCAGTATGCTTGTACTGCGATAAGAAAATTCTTCTCATTTGTTGTACCCCAGATCCTTGCTATTTTCAGTATATGGCCTTCAGTATATTGCTACCAATAACTGGGATCTCAGCAGATCAATATTCGACCAACTATTTACCTTTTATAGCTTTCGCTTTCAACTGTGTTGTTATTAGACCTTTTTTTAAAATAATGTGACTTTCAAGTTGATAATTGCATGACTTACACTTTATCTCTACTTATCTGGCTAGGAAAGGTACTAAATTATCTTTTTATGAAAAATCAGCTTCATATGTGCCTGTAAAACCTTGACCAACATACAAGAGAAACTTGTGCTGGAGCCAAAATAAATAAGAATTGTTGTGTTAGCCTAGCAAGGGTGGAGTAAAAATATGCTTCCTCTGACTGAAGAGTAAGATTATGCTGAAAGTGTACGCATATAGCATTGTGTATCCAGTTTGGAGCAATGCAATCTTTTTTCAAATGGTATATTTGAGACAGTGTGCATATAATTTATTGGTGCATTCTTCTTATATAAATGCCAGTGCTCGTTTTATTTTTAATAATGCGAATTATATTCATTTATAATAAAGAAACCCAGTTGACCTTTGTTCTTTTAACTCACCCAGTTTTAAAGGCACAGTTCAAAAAACATCATTTAAATCAAGACAAATTCTTGCAGTTCTAAGTAACCCACATTATTCTTCGAAGACTATTAATTAAATATCTATTTATTTTCTCTTTGTAAAGTGCATTAAAACGTACAACTCTGACTGGCATGTTGTAAATTACAAATTTGAAGATTACTCAGGAGAGTTTCGACAGCTTCCAAAGTGAGTAAGGTTTTCTAACATGTATATGGTTTCTGTAATTGCAAAAAGATTGGAAATTTTCAGTAGCAAATCAGAAGTTGCTTTATTTGCCATTAAGTGCAGCTGAACTTCCTGACTTTGTTTGACATCTGTAGCATTTAGGATATGCATAATTACTTTGTATGTACTCAAGAGTGTCCTGTTAAAATACAAGGAATAGTATGATGGCAGTAGTCCTTGGCTATGCATCTCGTTGCATGACTGTGTTATGCTTATGGATGCATGTTTGTATGATATCGGCAGCTTTTGTTCTGTTGATAATCCTGTTTTTACAGATCATGGGAATAGAGATAAATAAAGGATAAGACATTTCTTATTCTTGCCTTTGTAATTAATATTGTAAAGTTAATGGCATGGGTATTTCTCCCCATGCCAAGTGCTACAGTATTCCCACTACTTGGGAACATTGTATGAAAAAAAACCTTGTCTGTATTTTACTTTGCATTCACATTATTGGCAAGCTGCAGCCCTCTTATGTATATATGCTGTTAGTCGGATATAGACTATTTGAGATGTGGTTTTCCTTCTTTTTAGTAAAGGGACCAAATTAGATAAACTTCCTGTTCATGTTTATGAAGTTGATGAAGAGGTCGATAAAGATGAGGTAAGCATATGATTTTTCTTCCTTGTCACTTCATATTTTTGTAATACAATAGTGTCTCAAATAATCTTACATAAGAATACCAAAATAAATTTTGTCTAAAGAGTTAGAATTGTACTCTGAAATAATTTAAAATTGTTAGCTTATTTCACTGTTTTACAATCTTCTACTTGAGAGGCAGAATCTATGCGAATTAGTTATTGTATTTTCTGCTTATGGGAGCTACATTGAGCTCAGTTCCTGGTTCTACCTAGTTAGGGGCGTATCTACACTGGCCACATAGCATGGGGCTGATCTGGATTAGAGTACTTGCTCAATGCAGAGGGAGTCCACACTGGCTGCTTCTGTGTCACTGCCATAGCAGGGGAGAGTCCACACTGTCCAGAGAGACCAAACCAAGTTCATCACCATTGGACGGCTGCCCTTACTTTAACCATCTTGATGATGGCCACAGAACTTGGAAGAATTCCTGGTTGACTTGTCACCTTTGCTGATGCAGACAAAAGTATCAGCATTATTTGGAAAGGGGAAAAGGAGAGAATGTCTGCCTACTTTCCTCTCTCACCTGTTTTGAGTCACTCTGGCACTTGGATGATGTATTTCCAATTTGGAGTAAAAATAAGAGGAGGTTTTATCAAATCTCAGTACAACTTGCTTTGGTGAAGGGGGGTGTGTGTGTTAAAACAAATAAAATGCTTGCCTACTTCAACATCTTATGTATGCTTATTGTATTGTTTGACACAACAATAATTCTGCTTATCAGCAGGCAGTAGTTTTTTCTTGACTTTTTAAAGAGTTGAAAAAGCAAAACATGCCCCATGTTCAACCAGGATGGGGAAATGACCTGATCAACAGGAACCAGGAAGTGACTTTCTGTTGTAAAAAGCTACATAATTATGTGCCTTCTATTGATTTAACAGATGACATGGTCTGAAGTGCATTCAAAGTTCACAGTGTATGTTTGGTTTTCATATCCTGTCTTATGCACTGATGGAACTACATGTAAAACTGCCATGGTAACACCAAGCACTCGAATATAGTTGGCATAATTGTCAACAATGAAATGCATATCTTGAATTTCATCTTTGTTCCAATTTGAAACACTCTTTTGTACAGTTGAGTTTCAAATTAAAACCATGAATGGCTTTATTATATTGTGTATCTGATGTTGCTTACCAACAGTGTTGGCAGAAATCGGCTCTCCTTCCCTTCTTCATTTCTTTATTACTGTATCACTGTATTTACCCTGTGCACATAGCTTCTAAGTTCTCACACATCAGAAGTTCCCACAAATCCTTATCTAGTCCTTGGAAATGGAAGATAATTTGACTCTGGCTAACAGGAGCCTTATAGATCAGTTGCCATTGTTCTGTGTCAGATGGACAGAGAATTTCAGGCTATACCATTAGCTAAGTTGAAGGGTGAGTTATGAGAAATGGATAAGTAATGAGCATGCTGGGGCCTTCTGGTGGTGCAGCAGGTTAAACTGCTGAGCTGCTGCACTTGCTGATTGAAGGGTTGGTGATTTGAATCCGGACTAACAGTGGATGAGCCCTGGGGATACTTGCAACCTCTAAACTCTTTTACCGGTGGCTCAGTGAGTTAAAGCGCTGAGCTGCTGAGCTTGTTGACCAAAAGGTCGCAGGTTCGAATCCAGGGAGCGGCATGAGCTTCCGCTGTCAGCCACAGCTTCTGCCAACCTAGCTGTTCGAAAACATGCAAATGTGAGTAGATCAATAGGTACTGCTCTGGTGGGAAGGTAACGGCGCTCCATGCAGTCATGCCAGCCACATGACCTTGGAGGTGTCTACAGACAATGCTGGCTCTTCGGCTTAGAAATGGAGATGAGCACCACACCCCAGAATTGGACACGACTGGACTTAATGTCAGGGGAAAACCTTTACCTTTATCTACTTTCCTGAGCCCCTGGTGGTGCAGTGGGTTAAAGTGCTGAGCTGCTGAGCTTGCTGACCAAAAGATTGGCAGTTGGAATCTGGGGAGCAGGGTGAGCTCCCACTGTTAGCCCCAACTTCTGCCAATCTAGAAGTTCGAAAACATGCAAATGTGAGTAGATCAGTAGGTCTGCGAGAAGTTAATGGACTTGCTGTACATTTTCTTTGCGATTTGGCTTTTTCATACATAGTTTTGAATAATAATTAACAGAAAAAGTATGGTTTGCTTGTGGCAAAGGACCCAAATATGCATTAATCTTATTGTAATCTTTCCCTTAAAAAAAAGGATGCTGCATCTCTAGGATCCCAGAAGGGAGGAATTACAAAGCAAGGATGGCTGTACAAGGGGAACATGAACAGTGCTATCAGTGTTACAATGAGGGTACATGAATTGAATCTTACACTTTATTGGTTTTACTGTTTTAATACATTTTACTGTTATATGTTTTTAATTGTGTTACTTGTAACTTTTGTTTATATTGGGCTTGGTCCCCATGTAAGCCATCCCAAGCCCCTTTGGGGAGATGGAGGTGAGATATAAGAATAAAGTTGTTGTTGTTGTTGTTGTTGTTATTATTATTATTGAATCTGTACATGCACTTTGTCCTCTACAATTGTAAAAAAAACCCACACATTTCTTATGAGAACATCTTGGGTTTTTGTTTTTTTTTACTTTCAGTATTACTTCTACAGATAAACACAACTATTTATTTTGCCAAAGTCTAAAAGTTATTTCCAGACCCAATTATTTTTCATGTTTGTAAAAAATGTTCTCCATTTTTTCTCTTTAAAACATTGTTAATTTGTCAATCTCCTGAAGTTTTGAAGATATATTATAGTTTGTTTTGTTAGTTTGGATTATAATGTAAACTTTCCTTCCTAACCAGTCATTTAAAAGAAGATTTTTTCACTTGCTCCAACTTGGTGATGGATCATATAACCTCAATTTCTACAAAGATGAGAAAATATCTAAAGAACCAAAAGGATCAATATTTTTGGATTCCTGCATGGGAGTGGTCCAGGTAAACAGGACACAATGTTATTTAATACATTACTTTGATTTTATACTGTACGAGCTTAAATTTGCATATTCATTTTGCCTCTCATTATTACTATAACATTGAATTTTAAAACTATTTATTTCTGTCGTCCTAAACACTGACTAAAGAGCAAGCCCCATTGATTTTAATTCTTAATGCATATAAAAATATTTTATGTCTCAAATGATCTAAAATGATGTTCTTCTGTTTTCAGAAGAATTATTAGTGTTGCTACAGCTCATCTAGAATTGTTGGTAATGTACTATTTAGAAATCAACAATTAAAAAAATAGTTCATACAAGGCAGTTCAAGATTTAACAGAAGCATAAGTAGTACTATAATATTACTAAGAGATGTTTTGCATAACTTCTTGTGTGGGATTTAAGTTGTAGGAGCCAGATCACATTCATAGCTGTTGACCTTTACAGAATTAACTTTTTGTTATTTTTTTAAAAAAACAATCATTTGAAGAAAAGCACAACACAAGCTTTAGTTGGAACCTTGCCAGTAACAAAGATGAAAAAGGGAGTAATTCACATCTGTGTGCTAAAGTATTTGGTTTATTCAAACAACATTGTGAATGTTGCTAGTGGAACAGACTTGGAAATGTTTTTACTGCATTTATTCTGCAGTTTTGGAGCATTTATTATGGTAGAAATTGCAGAATCTCTACCCCAAATGTGGTGCCCTTAGCTCAATGGTGGGGGTCACAAAACATTGGCAACAGTAAAAGGTTTCACACAAATCTGTTAGCAACAACATGCAGTGTTTACGGTGTGCTCTGGGAAAAAATGCTCTACAGAAAAGAAAATCAGCCTTGTTTAGTAAGCCTTACAAATGCTGATTTATTTTCAGGAAATGTCTGATTTATATACCTGTTTTATATACCTGGGGTCACACAAAATTTCTCAGTTAGAAAGGGAAAACAACTCTGAAGTACATTCGCTTTAAGGTAAAAATCATGAATCAACAAAGAAAAGCATTAAAATTGCTTAATCCTCAGAGACATCCCCTGTGTTTGCCTCATCAAGGATAATCTGCTGTTTTTTGTACAAGAAAACTTCATGCTCCCTAATATACCAAAGAGTAGATACACAGACCTCAAGCAGCTAAACCTTCTCTTGCAACAGGTCCATCAACTTGTAGTGAAGCAACTGTAGCTACCCACATCTTTCAGGGAGAATACAAACATGGACAGCTGTTGGAGGTGACTGCATCAGCTTCCTCATAATCCATATTCAGTCATCTTAAATAGGCACTGAAACAAAACTCTAGGTTTCCCCCTCAAAACTGCCCCACCAAATACCCATGCAAAACTCCCTCTTTGCCTTTTTTAAGCTGAAGCTTAAATTGTTCCTTTCCATTTAATGTACTAAATCTTATATTTTTGGTTTCTTTCCCATAATACAAATCTAACTAGAGTTATAATGGTGTATTAAATAACACAAAATAATGCATAGGGAAATTTTGGAGAAGGAGGAAAAATAAAGCTACTGCAACTAGTATGAGAATTATTATATTGCAGAACAACAAAGTCCGACGTTTTGCTTTTGAGCTCAAAATGCAAGACAAGAGCAGCTATCTTCTTGCAGCAGACAGTGAAATAGAAATGGAAGAATGGATTGCAACTCTGAACAAAATTCTCCAATTAAATTTTGAAGCTGCAATGCAAGAAAAAAGAAATGGAGATTCCCATGATGGTAAGTCTACTTATTTTGCTAAATAATTTGAACAAAAGAATTGGCTAAAGTTGAAATTCATAGTCTCCATTATATACTATATTATTTTGTGCAGATGATAGCCAACATTACCATCCTGTACTCAGTCTTTACCATGAGACTGTGAAAGGACTATTTCATACTGTGTGTATCTTATTGTATGTATTTTAGTTGTGTTGTGTTATCTTTCTGTTTTCACCTTGCAATGCCCTGCCTCATCCTGCTGTAGGCCTAGTTGACTACTTACGTTTTGAGGTACAACATTTTTCTTGGCTTCACCATATTGCCAATTAAAGGAGATGGAAAATGATGAGATGAAAGGTTAATCTCAGCCAGCTTTTATTTCCTACAGTGGCTAGCTAGAGACACCTTTAAAGCTTTTAGGTGTGCCTGATAGCACCATGCTTCTCTTATTGTTGCTTTACTCCATTATCAGATACACAGAAGTGCTCATATGTCTGAACATGAGATTTCATCCACCTAGAATTAGTGAGTGCTGATGGCACAGCTATCCATCGTCCATTTGTTTAATCCATGTTGAAAACATGCATCAACTCATTCAATAATATGTAAAGGCAAGATATAAATTATTAAAAGAAAATATTAGGTTCTGTGAAATAACATGCATTTTCTCTTCAGGGATGATTTTGAAGTAACATCTGAATGAGCTAATGAAAATCTGTAAGGCATTATTTGTACTAGAGAAAGCTATAGGTGGATATAGTCCAATATCTCATGGTGTCTCATTTGGATTAGTTCTTAACTACTGCAGAAGAATGTAAAGCTCTAGTACCTCATCCCCTAAATAGTAACTTGAAAATCAGGAAAAAAAATTGATTGTAGCAATTTACTTTAGTCAGTAGTGGGCTTTTATAACTACTCTTAAATTTTTCCAGATGATGAGCAAGGCAAGATGGACAGCTCATCATCCAGTTTGGACTTTCTTCCTGAAAATATCAAGGTATGCATTTTTTCATCTTCCAGCTTCATTTGTTAGTGAAGCAGTTCTCCGCTTAACTAAGAGTGAAGTGTTGTTGTTGTATTCATTTTGTACTGATATCAGAATTTTGCTGGCTATTTATAGGAAATTGCATTTTTGAATTTTTTAAAGCAGTACTTAAAACCAAAAGGCAATGTTATGTAGTTTTCTCTATTCCTTTTCCCTCCCTAACATAAACACTACCTTAGTCACAGGCTACGTGAAGGATCATATCTTCCCATAGCTCTAAGATCATATCTGGATGGAGGGAACATGGGAGAAGGTCTGTGCCATGGATGCTTCCATTCTTTGAAACTCCCTCTCTAGGAAAGCTAGGCTCCTTCTCTGGTGCCTTTTCTGTTTTCAAATAATTTTGACCACAGTAATATACGGAAAATAGTGAGACTGTAGCAGAAGAGAATATCTAATGTCTAGTGGAGGAAATTTTGGGTTTCAAGTTAGCTAATTAAATAAATGTGATTAATTTCTTCAGTTTTCTTGAACTTTATTATGAAGAATGTAGTGAGTCTGAACAGCAAGCTGTATTTAGCTAAAGCAAGATATGGAAGTTTAAACTGAAGTGATAACTTCAGATTTGTGACTCATCAACTATAGCCTCTGATCACCAGTACTTTCATTTTTTGCTGCTTCAGAATATATGATGACCTTTACATTCCTGTCTTTACACTGGAATTATTTTCATCTTTTTAAATGAGAAAAAGTATTTTGAAAGGAACTTTCTAATCTTGAACCTGCCTTGATAAAGATGGTTTCTTTGAGCTTACTGACAGTACAAACTGTGTATCTTAACAGTGCTTCTTTCTTTCATGTAACTATGCAGGAATATCAGTAAGATAATTCTTGACCATGGCCATATTAGCATGTGCATTTTTTGGTAGAATTCTACTTCCCTTAAGTTCCTTCTTTGCACTGTGACAAATGGTGACCTATGCAGCCATCTGTGAAATTGCTTGTAATGAGCTATACTCCTCCTTTTGCTGGATGAACACCCTGCTTAAAAGAGATAAATGCCTACCTTGAATATTTGAAATGCACTGGAAGTTTAGGGGTGTATATATATTTAATAATAGACAAAATTAATCAATGAATCAATAAGAATGGATCACCACCCCCCTCCCTTTACTCCATGAAAAGGATCTTTGAAGATTAAGCTGTTCCAAGGTGACTCTGAGACTAGGAATAAAATAAGTGGTTGCCCTTTAAAATTGAAGCACAATTTCAGTGGAGTCCCAGCTTACCTTGATCCAGAAATGTTTATTGGTTATCCCCCTGCCCCCAATGTGCCAGGCTTTGGGGCAGCAGGCATGACAGCACTTCGAATGTTGAATCGGACTGGAAATGGCTATATGGTTTGATAATAATGTTTAATTTGTTTTAACTCAATGTTTTATTTATGGTTTTAAATTGTTGTTATAGTTGTTTATAGTTTTTGTATGTTGTGGCATTGAATTGTTGCTGGTTGTAAGCCACCCTGAGTCCCCCCTCAAGGTTAGACATGCTGGAAATAAATAAATAAATCATAAATAGGGTAATTAACATGATTTGCATTAACATGATATTTAGAGTGATGTCCACTAATCAGGATCAAGAAGATTGGCAGAGTACATTTATGCTATTTTATGGCCCATACAGGCAGAACATACACACTGAACAGATAGCAATGTCCTAGGGCAGCGGTTCTCAACCTGGGGGTCGGGACCCCCCGAGGGGTCGTTTGGCCATTTTCGGGGGGTCGCCAGGTCGCCTTGGCTGGCCCCGCCCCCTTCAAAATGGCTGCCGACCCCCCCCCCAAGCCAGCCAAATGGCACTCTGTGGGTAGTCAGGAGGAGGTGCTATTGAGATAAAGGCACTGGGGAAGAAGACTCTCTGTTCTGGCCATCCGTGGAGCCTTCACCGCCTGGCCTTTGCCTCCTTTCAAGCTCAGTAGGGGGTGAGGGATGGACGGAGGGCTCCGCGCAGGGCCTAGCTCCTTCAAATCAAGGTAAATTTCCCCTCACGAACTCCAGTATTTTTTGCTTGCCATGGGGATTCTGTGTGCCAAGTTGCCATATAGATTGGAAAATAAACTGAGTTTTTCAGCCCATTTCTAAGGCTGAAAAAGCCACTCTCCGCTTATAGTCGGGAGAGGGTCCTGGCGGGAAGACATGGGGCTGAAAGAAGGCCTTTCTTTCAACGCCAAGCTTTCCCGCCATGGCTCTCTTTTTGTCTCCGCACAGCAGCCACGCGCCTTCCCCTCCTCCTGTCCTGCGCGCTATTCCCTCAGCCTCCTCCCCCCTCCCTGGTGAACTTCACTTCGATCCTTCAAGGAGCCCTGCTCCAAAAGTGAGCAGAAAGCCCAGGAGGTGTGGAAACAGGGGCTGAGGCTGTCCCTGTGTTGCTTTTGTGTGCACATGCGCTTAGCCTCGGGACAGCTGCCTCGGCCTCGCCATTTGACTCCCTCTGCTGCCTCTCCAAGCGAGAGGAAGCAGCTGCGGCAGCAGTAACCCTGAGCGCTGCCGTTGCCTCTTTGCTCTGCTCTGCTGGGACCTCCACCTCCCTGCCTTTCTCTCTCTCTGTGGGTTTCTCTCGCACCATCTCCTTGCCGCCGCCCCTGAGCTTTGCCTAAACTCTTGCTTCACCCTCCTTCTCCTCCTCTTTCTCGCTAGCCCAGAGCCACAGCGTTTTAGCCAGAGGCAGATCTCTCTGTGCAAAGACACAGCAAAACCCCTATAGATATATAAAGGGGGATAGATAGATACACAAGGGAAGAGGAGGCTCTCATTTTTTATATATATTTGTGTGTATATGTGTATACACACATACACATACATACACATATACATATATTTACATACACACACATATATAAAAGGAGAGCCTCCTCTTCCCTTGTGTATCTATCTATCCCCCTTTCTCTTCTCCAGGAAGGGGAGGGGTAAGAGGGGAACCCAAAGGCAGGGAGAGAGGGAGACACACACTACCTCGCTTTTTCTCTCTCAACACAAACACACACACACAGGAGGAGGAGGAAGCAGCGGGGGGGGGGGGGTTAAAAGGACACAAGGCTGTTTATCACCAACATTCTGCCTCAACTCCGACCTTAAAAAGAGGACTGCAAACCCATGCCTTGCATATCTTTCTCAGTTTCACCTCTGAAACCCTAAAACTAAATGGCACAAAATGAAGGGAGGAAGGAGGGAAGGCAGGCAGGCAGCGAAGAAAGACTGGGTTTGGAGGTGGAAAGACGGAGAAAATAATAAAGGGGGAATCTAGGAGGGTTGAGAGAGAGGCAAAGGAGGGCACTCAGTGAAGAAGAAGAAGAAGAAAGGTGCTTGGGCTGCTCCTTCTTCCTCCTAGGCATCCCCCCCCCACTCCTTTTGACCGGGTTAAGAAAGAGGGAGAGAGAAAAGGAGCCACGGCGAGAGGTTGGAGGGGGGCAAAAGGTGCCTGGCTTGGTTGCCTTTTGGATTGCTCGCGCGCACCTTCCTCTCCCCAGTCCTTCCTACTTCCTTCCCACCTCAGTTTCCCCCCCCTCTTTTCCAACACCCCCTTCCTACCCCAGTCTTTCCCATTTTTCTAGCCCCCTTCCCCACCTCAATCTTTCCCACTTGCCCCCTTGCCACTTCAAAATTTCCACCATTCCAGGCTCCCCTTTGAACCCCCATCTTGCTCATTTTGCAGTCTTACTTTCCCCATTCCAATCTTTTCCAGCTGCTCCTCTTTACCACCCCAATTTCCCCAGCTTTTCCCAATCCCCCCCCCCCCCACACACACACTAGACTGGAGTATTTCCCACTTTTCCAGCCCCCCTTTCCATCCCAACCTTTCCCAGTTTCCAGCCCCCCTTTCACACCTGAGTCATTCCCCCTTCCCACCCCAATCTGTCCTACTTTTTCAGTTACCCCTTTTCCACTTAGTTTTCCCACTTTTTCAACCACCCAGCCCCAATGTTTTCCCATTTCCAGTCCTTCTTTCCCACCCCCTTCACAAGTGTTTCTCCCTTTTCCTTATTCATACACACACACAGCATTTCCCCCAAAATGTATACCATGGTGATTATTGGATTGTTGTTGTTGTTACATTTATTATTTTACACCATGTATTATTGTTATTACATTTATTATTTTACTCTACGTATTATTGTGGAGCCCCCGGTGGCGCAGTGGGTTAAAGCACTGAGCTTGTTGATTGAAAGGTCGCAGGTTCGATTCCGGGGAGCGGCGTGAGCTTCCGCTGTCAGCCCTAGCTTCTGCCAACCTAGCAGTTCGAAAACATGCAAATGTGAGTAGATCAATAGGTACCGCTCCGGCGGGAAGGTAACGGCTCTCCATGCAGTCATGCCAGCCACATGACCTTGGAGGTGTCTACGGACAACGCTGGCTCTTTGGCTTAGAAATGGAGATGAGCACCACACCCCAGAGTTAGACATGACTGGACTTAATGTCAGGGGACTACCTTTACCTTACCTTACGTATTATTGCTATTATTACATTTATTAATTTATTCTATTTATTATCATTGCTATTGCATTTATTATTATACTCTGTTATTAGGAGAATGCATAAGCACATTTAAATTGAAGAAGGCTAGAATAATGGTTTAATCAGAGTTGGACTTAAATTATCTTAAATTACAGTTTTATGTAAATATTCAAAAACATTTAACCTACTGATGCCTCAATTAATGTAATTTTATTGGTATCTATTTTTATTTTGAAATTTACCAGTAGCTGCTGCATTTCCCACCCTCGGCTTATACTCGAGTCAATAAGTTTTCCCAGTTTTTTGTGGTAAAATTAGGTGCCTCGGCTTATATTCATGTCAGTTTATACACGAGTATATGTGGTAAGTCCAATACCATCTTTGGTGGATTAATCACTATTTATTTATTTATTTATTTATTTACTTTACTTCTATACCGCTGTTCTCAGCCCGAAGGCGACTCACAGCGGTTCACAGCACATAGGAAACAGCAAAATTCAATGCACCAATATAAAAACAGTTAACAACCTAATCTAATACACAGTTAGTACACAATTACTATAATAACCATTCACTAACGTCTCATCACTAAAAAACACGATCCAGATTCGTCATCCATTGTTCCATTCCTATGTCATTACCAATCATTGCACTAATTATTCGAACGCCTGCACAAATAACCAGGTCTTTACTTTTTTGCGGAATACCATTAGAGATGGTGCTAATCTAATGTCTGTGGGAAGGGCGTTCCACAGCCGGGGAGCCACCACCGAGAAGGCCCTATCTCTCGTCCCCGCAATTTGTAACAATCAAAATACATCCTGCATATTAGATATTTGCATTAGAATCCATAAGAGTAACAAAATTATTTATAAAATAGCAACGAAAATATGGTTGGGGGTCATCACAACATGAGGAACTTTATTTAGGGGTCACGGCATTAGAAAGGTTGAGAACCACTGTCCTAGGGGATAAGCAATCTATTGCCCACCATATTATATTAGACTGTAACTCCCATTATCCTTCATCGCTGCCTGCATAAGGACTGCTTGGTACTATAGTCCAACATCTGGAGGGTTACAGGTTGCCTACCTTTGGATTATACACTGTAACAGAACCTTACAATACCTTTAAATGTCAATGATTATTTTGCAAAGCTGATTTTATTTTTCAATGTATTAAAATACATTTTGTTAATGCAAGTAAAGTTGGATAGAGATCATCCAATGTGACGCACTCCAAAACTGTACCTTTTAATAGACGCACTATAAAATGGTGTGTAGTAAATCATTGGGTTTACGCTGCTCCTTGGGAGTTTAACACCTGCTTATTATATCTAATCTTAGTGCCACAAATGCTACTTCCTGTTCCATGAACTCAAGGAGTTATTTTAGTATCTGAGTTTTTCTTATGTACTGCTTTGCTCTGCATTTAAGCCTGTGCACTTTTTATGCTGTTGACATGCATTTTATTTTTTGTTCAGAGATCCTCTTCACAGAATACCGGGGTCCTTTAAAACTATATTAAATTTTTGCCATTGGTGTGTTTTATTTTTTTTCCCTCGCACAGAAGCAAACATTTTCTATTAATAAATGGTATCGCAATTTGTTGTAGATTTGGTGATACATTTTGTACTTGGAAGATGCACATTTGTTCCCTTTCATAACCAGATTGAGTGAAGAATTCCTTGTAGAGTTCAGGGTGCCATCCTCACTTATAGTGATGCCAAGTCTTCTCCAGTCATTGTCATTTTAGTGTTTTAAACTAAAATAATTTTAGTCAGGATGTATGTTGGTCAAGAAGGCGGTGTTTTAGAATAAAAATAAATTGTGTGCAGAATTTGCAAAAATAGCCTTAGTTACTGAATGAGTGTGTAAAACTGAATATGTGGGTGAATGAAAAGTATGCTACTTTTTATATCTCATCCTTCGTTTCAGCTGTTGTGTATTTCTTGTTCACTTCATAATGTCTTTCGTTAAATTTCTAAACTTATATGGATCAATAATTTTTTTCAAAGTACTTTTAAAATCTTGTTTCTGTGGCTCAACCACCCCTTCTCACTTTATTGTTTTATGACTTCTCACACTCTTGACAGTGTTATCCTTTTGGTACTTTGGAGAAACTGAGTAGAAAAACAAGGGTGATAAGTTAACGTCAAAGAGTGCTATGTAAAATAATCTAAAAGGATATAGAATGAAAGATGCAGAAGAGAGGTTAGAAGAATACGTGCGAACTGGAGAAAAGTTGTTTTTTTTAAGAGGTTAAATCCACAATGTTGTCAATTAGTTGTTGATATTTTAACAACAGTTTTAATCTAAACTTACTCATCCCATTAACATTGCATAGAATCTAGGCAGTGAAATCCTAAGAGAAAGAAGTAATTGTACATGCATTTAGAGGGAATAAAATGGAGATGGTATTACTGGTATGACACTGAAATTATAGTAAATAATGTAAATGATTTCAGGATGCCAAGTGGCATCCATGCTCAGATTTTATGGAATCCAAGGTCATAATGTAATTTCAGAGTCATGCTACTCAGGCCCTTGGTCTTTTCTAACATCTGCTGATAGGAGTCCTCCTGATCTGGAAAAAATTGATCCAGTTGAGTAACAGTTTTGTACAAATACTTAGCAAGTACAGGCACACCACAATTAACACAGCAGATGAGTTCCTGGGCATGACATCTTTCATTCAGGCAGTCCCCGAGTTCCAAACGTCTGACTTACATCTGACTTCTAGTTACAAATAGGAGAGGAAATCTACCCCTAGAATGGGAAATTCACTCCTGTAAAGCTTATCCAGGGGAAAATAAGTATCCACTAAAGTTTTATCACCAATCGTTGTTTCCACAACAGCTCAACATATTCAAAATACAATTGTCACAGGGAAGTGGGGTGAAATCTTCTGAACAGGAGCACAAACAGCAAAACAAACATTACAGGGATGCTAACCCTTCCCTGTGCTATCCAAAGCAAAAACAATTTCTTTAAATCTGGAGTTGCACTTAAAAATGTACATGTTCTGACTTGGATACAACTTAAGAACAAACGTACAGAACAATCTTGTTCATAACTCAAGGACTGCCTGTACCAGAGGCAGAAATATCATGGGAAGAATAAGGATGGGTTCTTGCTCACTAACAGGGCGTCAATTCAACATGTTGAATCAAACCCATTTTATTTCTATTTTGCTGTTCATGCATGTTCACTAAAGATTTCTGTAGTTGGCTTCTGTTTAACTTGCCTGTTTGAAGCTGGCACACACTGCTACAATAGAATTGGCCAGAGCAGAATCCACAAAACTCAGGATTTCTTGCATTGTTTACTTCAGACGTGCCACTGCAGTCCAAAACACTAAAAGACTATTTCCCTAGCCTTCTTCATCTTCTTCTCAATTCTAATGAATAATTATTTTAGTTATGAAGAAGAGGGGCTGGGAGTTTGTAAAAAGGAGTTTCGGTGTCAAACACTTTGTTAACCAAGGTATGTCTACATTGTAAATCACAGTAAATATTATTAGAAATATTTAACAAATTGGTGGTTTCTCTAATAACAAGCACGACATACTTATAGTGCCTAAAACATCTGTGTTTTGATTTTAAAGTGGTTATTTCATTGTTTTTCAGGGCTCCAGAGATACTGAAATGAAATTCAAAAGTGAAAGCAGGGTTAAACTCTTTGCACTGGATCCAGATGCACAGGTTAGATAAAGGGAGAGATGGTGGGTGGTTTTTCACAGCACTCTTTTTCTTTGTAAAGAAAAGGTTTTCACACTTCTTTTATTTCTTTTAAAGAAACTTGACTTCTCTGGTATAGAACCAGAAATAAAGCCTTTTGAAGAGAAATTTGGGAAGAAAATCCTGGTGAAATGCAATGACTTATCTTTCAATCTGCAAAGCTGTGTTGCTGAAAATGAGGAGGGACCAACAACAAATGTATGTGGAAATTGTGGATTATGAAATATCTGATGCATGAATGGGTGTTTAGGAAATACAAGTATCTTGAGTGATATAATTTCACCTATAATTGTTTATTAGAGTTCCATCATTCCGTTAAAAGGGGGAGAAGAAACTGTAGAGCTTAATGGGCGTGGGTTAGTCCTTACATACATGACAGTGTACATGGCTGGGATTTTATATTATAGTCCTTAGTACAGTACAGTTTTTAAAAGTGTATTAAAATATATTTTTCTCTCTGGCTCTCAATATATACTCTACAGTATAAATACAGTAGAAAGTGCATACCATTCTACTTTATTGCATTCATAAATCTATAATGCAGCAACCGTTTTTCTACATGTAGTTTATTATTTCAAGTATAATATTTTATGTATTTATTTCTTTACCTTACTTATATACTGCTGTTCTCAGCCCGAAGGCGACTCACAGCGGTTCACAACAAATAAGAAGAGCAAAAATTCAATGCTACAGTATAAAAAACAGTTAATAACATAACACATTACATAATTAATAACAATTACTACAATAACCATTCATTATCGTCTCATCATCAAAAACATGATCCAGATTCGTCATCCATTGTTCCATTCCAGTGTTCATTAACCAATCATTGCACTAATTATTCAAACGCCTGCTCAAACAACCAGGTCTTCACTTTTTTGCGGAATACCATTAGAGATGGTGCTAGTCTAATGTCCGTAGGAAGGGCGTTCCACAGCTGAGGAGCCACCACCGAGAAGGCCCTATCTCTCGTCCCCGCCAACCGTGCTTGAGAAGCAGGCGGGATCGAGAGCAGGGCCTCCCCAGAAGATCTCAAAGTTCTGGTGGGTTCATAGGCCGAGATGCGGTCGGATAGGTAGCTTGGGCCGGAACCGTTTAGGGCTTTAAAGGCCAACGCCAGCACTTTGAATTGTATAATAGTGCTTGCCATGATTTTAACCTTGTTCCTTGTATTATTTTCAAATGACCAGGTAGAGCCATTTTTCATCACCTTGTCATTGTTTGACATTAAATACAATCGAAAGATTTCATCAGACTTGCATGTGGATTTGAATCATAACACAGTGAGACACATGCTAGATAATGTGTCCCAGCAATTGGCGAATGGCAGCAGTGATGGTTTATACAGGATTCAAGATGTTATTCCAGAAATTATGTTACAGTATCCCAAACAGGTAAGAACAACAATGTCATTGTTTCAGTTTTAATTGCAGAAAAATTGCATATTACAATTTCCATTTCATCAAATCAAACCACTTGTTTGTAGGGAATATTCTCGGTGACGTGCCCACATCCCGATATATTTCTAGTTGCCAGAATAGAAAAAGTCCTGCAAGGGAGCGTAACCCACTGTGCTGAACCATATATGAAGAGTTCTGATTCTTCTAAGGTATCGTTTTATGTTTTGTTAGCTGAATTAAATGAAATTTAACTTGACAGTTCTCATATCTATTAGTAAGTCTATACCTTTGTTTGTACTGCAGTAACCTCACTGATCAGTGGCTTAACAAAATGTAGTAATAATAATAAACTTTATTTCTAGACTGTCCTCTCTCCCCGAAGGGACTCAGGGCAGTTTAGACAAAAAAGGCAAACATTCAGTGCCTCAAAATGAATACAAACATACCAAAAATAACACAAAATAATGGACAATAACAACAGTAAACTTACAACAAAGGAATTAAGCACTGAAATTATAATAAAACGGGAACCATCCAATAAAACACAAAGAACTAAAACCTAAGTAATGCTCTTTGTAAGTTCAAGGCATAAACCAGCTTTTTATGTTTAATATCAGCTCAGCTTCAGATATCAAGTATGAGGAGGATAATGCAAAATGCAATGCAGTGTGATATTTTCTTTTAATATGAGACTCAGTTTACTTGATTTTTCCCAATCGTGATTTAGAACAGGATTTCTCAACCAGATTCCATGGGTGATCTCTAGCAGTTCCATGAATGATTGTGCATGGGGAAAAAACATTTTTGAACTGTAGATGTAATAATTTTCATTCCCTGACACATGAAAATTGTTTCAGGGGTTATATTTCCTTTTAATATAAGTTTACATATAAGCTTGATTTTTCCCAACCGTGGTTTAGAACAGGATTTCTCAACCAGATTCCATAAATGATCACTGTCAGTCCCATTGAAATTGTGCATGGAAAAAAATGAGTTGTAGTTGTAATAATTTTCATTCTCTGAGACCTGAAAATAGTTTCAGGGATTCCTCCAGGGTAAAGGGGTTAAGACAAATTATTTAAAGACTAATGGAATATTCTGCTGGCTTGCAATGTCCCCCCCCCCCCTCCCTGGCTTATCACTCCTGTATTCCTGTTTATGTATAATTTCCTCTTTTGCTTTCTGGAGGGTGTTTTTTTTTTGTTTTTGTTTTGTTTGCTTTTTTTGTGGTTTTTTTGCTAACCAAAATTTATGATGATTCCAGAATTGGAAAATTGAGGTTTGCTTCTAACTATAATTTGCAAACCTGCTTTATACTATCCATAAGTTCATGTCACTGTGATTAGAGGGAATGAGGAATTAGAGGTTATATATATGAGGGATAGCTGGCTGCATTTTTTTGTGCTTTTCAGGTGGTTTTTGGAAGTTTTTGGTTGTGAATCATTAAGATAAAAGTGTGTACTCAGGTCAACACTCGAGTTTAAACTATGAATTCCAGCTCAGTTCTGTATTTGGTTTAGAATTAGGCCAAAAGTAATGCAAACTAGTCTAATGATAAATCTGGTGGGGCTTTAATTAATTCAAATTGAATCCTTAGTTATTCAAAACATAGGAAAATCTTCACTGACATCTTTGCCAAATCCCTAGCTAAAGGATTATCCTTATTTGTAGTATTTTTTTTAAAAAAATTACTGTCAGATTTTAATTAGATTTGCCAATCTTCATGTTTTTGCTATATTGTGAAGCAATAATTGGACTAATTAATTGAGTGGAAAAAGAAGATATTCCACATTCTGATTATTGAGATATAATCCTGTGATCTTCTGGTGAGACCCTGCTCTCAGTCCCACCACCTTGCCTATGACTGGTGGGGATGCGAGACATGGCCTTCTCAGTGGTGGCCCCTCAGCTATAGAACTCCCTTCCTAGTGGGATTCAATCAGCCCCTTCCCTCCTGTCATTTCACAAACAAGTAAAAACTTGGCTTTGGGAGCAAGCATTTGGCCCACCATAATTATCTGTGTAATACAGTTGGAATTGACCCTGGATTGATGAATATGATTATTGATTATCTGGCTTTGGATCTATGCACAGTAGTTGTCTAATGTTTACATTTGTTGTTTAATGTTGTTTTAAATTGTTGTTTAATTGCTTTTAATTGTTGTTTGGGCATGGAATAATGCCAATTATGTAAGCCACCTGGAGTCCCCTTTGGGATGAGCAGGGTGGGATATAAATGTCATAAATAAATAAATAAATAAATAAATAAATATATCTGTGTGTGCATAATGTACATAATTTTTAATTTATTGAGGAAAATCTATACATGTGATTTAATTATTTCTCTGGTTTTAGGTTGCCCAAAAGGTTCTGAAAAATGCAAAACAAGCTTGCCAGCGGCTAGGACAATATAGAATGCCATTTGCGTGGGCAGCCAGGTATTGGATGAAGCACTTAATCCATTTTTCTTCAAAGTGGATTTATCTCAGTGCGTCTATTTATTCTGGTCTCAACTCTTCTTAATGTTTGTGACAGAAGTCTTGCAGGTAGCGGCAATAAAGATAAGCTCTTATTTTATCACATTTCGTTAAAAATTGAAACAGCATATGAAAATTTAGGCAATTGGATGATTGAATACTCTTTAAAAGCTGCAAGAAAGGGACCCAAAGTTTGTTGTTTTAAATAGCATATAATCGATTCCACTGTATATTTATCTGTAGTAGCATCTGTCCACTTCCTTTCTTGCAACTATTTATTTAGTTGCTCACAGTCTCCTGAACCAGATTCAGGATGTCAGCCTTGCATTTTTGTTTTGCCACTTTGACAACATTTATAATGGGATTCTTAACTATACATTTATGTTTCAGGACACTATTCAAGGATGCATCTGGAACACTAGACAAAAATGCACGATTTTCAGCACTTTACAAACAAGACAGCAACAAGCTTTCAAATGAAGATTTGCTTAAATTTTTAGCAGATTTTAGAAAGTGAGTGTTTTCTTCTCCTTTCGGGAACTCATATTTATTAAGATGAATTCGGTAGTGTCACAAACCACGGCTGGGAAGGCACCTCTGAACCAATCTCACACTCCAGAGTCCGGTATATAAGCAAAGCTGTTTATTGCAGAAAAAATGTAGCTTCAGCAAAAGATTAAAAATCAATCAAAATAATATAAAATATTGTCCATAAGAATAGTCACTTAAACTTGGTAACAGGAATCTAAACACCAAGGCACAGGCAAACTACAACTGAAGACTTGGCACACAAAAGTCATCCAGAGGAATAGGAATACATGAAAAAGATCCAAGGTGATTACAAGAGTCTTTGCTTCCAGTATAATCCAGGAGCAATACAAGAAATACAGGAACATACACTTGAAGACATGAAATCCAAGGCCCATGAAACTTGAACAAGAGGGAGGATTGCTCCCTTAGCCAGGCGTTGATTCCTCTTAGGAATCAGTCTCAATCACCCCTCATATATACTCAAAAAATATGCCTTTTCCCTTGGGAATATTCAGGAGGTTTCTTCTTGTCTATTAATCTTTGGGAGCAATGTCTCCCCTCAGTCATCTGTCTCTGTTGACAGATCTGACCCCTTCTATCTACCTCGAAAGAGGCATCTTTTTCTAAATCCCCAATTAGCACATTCCGACAGTGATTCTCTTTGGAAAGCTAGCACAGGCCTGTCAGCCTCTTTTTCTTCTTGTACTGGAACATCTAATACAGACTTGACCATCCCAGAATCCTCAGCTTCATCATGAATAACAACACTTTCCAGCCCAAAATTCCCATTTCCAGACTCCTGTGTATCTGCAGAAGCTTGTTCACTGTTGTCTGAAATCTCAGGCAATGAAACAATCACAGGCTGAACCACAGCAGGTAGGCAGAATTAAGAAGAATATCCTGAAACCTTTTTTATAGTTGATTTGACTAGATCTTAAATAAAAACCATTTTTTCAGGAATTCATGAAAAATCATCAACCAAAATTTGGGAGCTAGGTGATGACTGACACACTACTGCATATTCTCCATAACACTTTCACAACTGTTGACCATAGAATACACAACTAAAATTACTACATTTTAGGGAGGCGTCCTTATTTTTCTGTGATTTACACATGTAAGTAATGTGCTTGCATAGAACCTCATCCAGGAATTTTGTAGTCTGACCAATTTGATGGAAAACACACACTCTTCTCTGTGCATGCCCCAAGTAACCCAGTTTATTTCCCTCAACATTGTACCAGCATATACAGGTGATATTAAAAAGTATTTTTCTTAGACAAAAATGTCAGTTGCTTAAATAATGGTTACATTAACTCAGTGATTTCTCTCTCACACTCTCCCATCACTTGTTTGTTGCTGTGTGATCATATTCTTTGCACCAATTAATTATTAGTCCAAAGATGGCTTTGACTTTGAAAATAGATTGTTGACATAAATTCCATAATACAACCATATTCACGCTGTGGTGCCAAAAACAATTAAAAGGTGACTGCATCAGGATATAATGTAATAAAAAAAATATAAATACTGTTAGTAGATGTATAGATATTACAGATTTCCAGTATCTGTCCATTTTCTTTCCAGAAATTACAATAAGCATAAAGCTAATACATGTAAAATACCTGAACTACTAAACAGCTTACATGCCAGGTCATGACATATGTGTATATGTGTCTTCAAGTTGCCTACTTACTTATGGTACTCCCTGCAAAATACGTATTAATTAAGTTTGGAAAACACATTGGACGTTGTGAGCTCTTACAGTTTAAAAATACAAATATTCAAGTAATTACAATGCAACAGTAAATATAGTACAAAAGAAAAAGGATAATAACTCCACATATCTAAAGCCCACTAATCAATCTGCATTGTCCATTTGAAAATGAAGCCATAAACCAGGGAGGATGATAGCACCAGGAGTTTAATTTATAGTAGCTATAATGAAGCACAATTCTAAATAAAAACACCAACAATAAATTAAGTCTACACAAAAGAGAGAGAAAATCGGCTGTTTTGTTTAAACTTGTCAGAGCTTAGGAATTTAAGGTAATCATAAATTAAGCTTTTCTCTCTAATGGGAATCTATTTTTGTCTGCTGTATCATACTGATCTACCCTGGGTTATTTTATAACAAAGAAGGGACAGTCCTACAATATTTGATGGTATACATGCCCTTGTTAGAAGTAGCCTGTCTTCCCTTTTTCAACAAATAAAAATGTTAAGCAATGTAAAAATAAGTTAAAGTTGAAGGGATGGTGGTGGTGGGGGGTTTGCACCCCTCGAACCTACCTTAGCAGTGCATCATTCCAGGAAAGGATCTGCCTCTATTTTGATTCCCGGTGGGCACCACTAAGATAAGTTTAAAGGGGTCAAGTTTCGGCTGACAGGTGAATGGCAGCAAACTGGTTTGGCTGCTGTTGTCTGTGAAGTTGCCAGGCTGGTTCAGGGTTGCTGGTGTATTATTATTATTATTATTATCAACTTTATTTATATCCAACCTTTCCCCTCATTGGGACTCAAGATGGCTAACAACCATCCAATCTCACAACAATTTAAAACAAAGGAAATACTAAATTTAATAAACCACTAAATATTTGTGTGTGAATATAAAGTTAAAATACAATAAAACAATTAAAATGACATTTAAAACTGACCATCTTCCCGAAATCAAAACCACGACTTCACCTGCAGCATGCTCCTCATCCTCCCGCAAATATACTTGCTGGCACAGTAATGTCTTGACCTGCTTTTGGAAGGCCAGCAGGAATGGGGCCCTCCTGGTCTCCCTTGAGAGAGGGTTCCAGAGTCTGTGAGCAGCCACTGAAAAAACTCTCTCCCATGTTCCCAACAAATGCAGTTAGGAGGGACATGGTGGGACAGAGAGAAGGCCCTTCCCACTAGATCATAGAAGTCTCCCAGGTTCATAGAAAGAGATACGGTCATTCAGATAACCTGGACCGGATCTATGTAGGGCTTTAAAGCTCCCAGGATGACTCAGGGGCTAAGTGTAGTTATCCCTGATACTGAATGGGAACAGTCCACTCCGATTCAACATTGGAATGACTACCCTGTCAGGATGCCGCTAAGTCCCATTCCTGTCCTTTGTGATTTGAGTTTTACTACTTTATCATCTCATTTTCCTGTTCAGCCAGCTTGTTTTCTCTCTTTCCTAGACCTGAAAAGATGGCCAAGTTACCAGTTATTTTAGGAAACCTAGACATAACAATTGATAATGTTTCCCCAGATATCTCAAGTAAGTATCAAAAAAGCATTGTACGATAGCTGCAAAGCTGTTTCTCTTCCAATCTTTTTATTGGTTTTTAATATATTTTCAGATTTTGTTAGCTCATCATACATTCCCATGAAACAGTTTGAAAACAGTACCAAGGCAGTAGTAACGTTTGAAGTAGAGGAGTTTGTTCCCTGTATACCAAAACATACTCAGCCTTTCACCATCTACAACAATCACCTTTATGTTTATCCAAAGCACTTGAAATATGACAGTCAAAAGTCATTTGCTAAGGTGAGTTAATGGCCCCCTAATTAGATTCAGATTCAAAACCATGTTGAATCTGAATTAAAGCAGGCCTACTTGTTGGGAATTTTGGTTATTTTCCTGACATTAAAACAGAAATCACAAATATGTGTGCTTCTTTTAGGCAAGAAACATCGCAGTATGCATTGAATTCAAGGATTCAGATGATGAAGACTCTGTACCTCTAAAGGTTTGTCAGTCTGACCTCTTCTTATTTGAGGCAGTTCAGTCAATTAATTGTCATAACGTAGCCCATGTCTAGGATTCAGAGTCTCAATCTGGAATGTTATTTTCTTGGCTTATGATAGTCCAGCGGTTCCCAAACTTTTTCAATTAAGGAACCCTTCAGAAGACATTTGTTTTCTGCGGAACCCTAACTCTGTCCCTAATTTGTTTAATCAAAATATATATTCTGGATGTTGTTGTTGTTCATTCGTTCAGTCGTCTCCGACTCTTCGTGACCTCATGGACCAGCCCACGCCAGAGCTCCCTGTCGGCCGTTACCACCCCCAGCTCCCTCAAGGTCAGTCCAGTCACTTCAAGGATGCCATCCATCCATCTTGCCCTTGGTCGGCCCCTCTTCCTTTTGCCTTCCACTTTCCCCAGCACAATTGTCTTCTCTAGGCTTTCCTGTCTCCTCATGATGTGGCCAAAGTACTTCAACTTTGTCTCTAGTATCTTTCCCTCCAGTGAGCAGTCGGGCTTTATTTCCTGGAGGATGGACTGGTTGGATCTTCTTGCAGTCCAAGGCACTCTCAGAACTTTCCTCCACCACAGCTCAAAAGCATCGATCTTCCTTCGCTCAGCCTTCCCTAAGGTCCAGCTCTCACATCCGTAGGTTACTACAGGGAATACCATGGCTTTGACTAGGCGGATCTTTTTTGCCAGTCTGATGTCTCTACTCTTTACTATTTTATCGAGATTGGACATTGCTCTCCTCCCAAGAAGTAAGCGTCTTCTGATTTCCTGGCCACAGTCTGCATCTGCAGTAATCTTTGCACCTAGAAATACAAAGTCTGTCAGGGCCTCCACATTTTCTCCCTCTATTTTCCAGTTGTCAATCATTCCTGTTGCCATAATCTTGGTTTTTTTGACGTTTAGCTGCAACCCGGCTTTTGCGCTTTCTTCTTTCACCTTGATTAGAAGGCTCCTCAGCTCCTCCTCGCTTTCGGCCATCAGAGTGGTGTCATCTGCATATCTGAGGTTGTTACTGTTTCTTCCAGCAATTTTCACCCCAGCTTTGCATTCATTCATATTCTGGATATTTTATGCTAATTCAAATGTTTCCCAATTTTCTATATAGCGGCTAGTTTTGGAGTCAACCTTACTCTTGATTTGTTATGAATAATATCTCAAATGTCTTTCAGCTGAAAAACTGTACAAGAAAGAAATAATAATAATAAAAGAAATGTAGACTCAACATGAAAAATCAACTACATGTGAACTACTGTTGTTCAGATGTCAAATAAAATGTTGAAAGGTGGCGCCTGTAATTACATACCTGACAGCAATAGTTTTGATACAAAACAGCTATTACAGAGACTATAAATCAAATAGTTAGCCTCAATTTAAAATCTGTTTTAAATTTTATTTTTAAGATTTTCCAAAGAACCCCTGTGGTGCTTTAGTACAGTGATTCTCAACCTGTGGGTTCCCAGGTGTTTTGGTCTACAACTCCCTGAAATCCCAGGCAGTTTACCAGCTCTTAGGATTTCTGGGAGTTGAAGGCCAAAACATCTGAGGACCCACAGATTGAGAAACCACTGCTTTAGCAGAATCCTAGGGTTCTGCGGAACATAGTTTGGGAACTGCTGATCTAGTTCATCCTCTTCTACTCTGACCAGAGATGCCTCCTTATCAAATGTGTAGACACATTTCACTGTAGACTGAACTGGTTTCTTTCTTTAAGCAGAATTTTGAAGTATATAGTGTTACATGATCTTAATTCATACATATATTGCATGAACACCTCTGCATTTTCATTTTCCGGGTTTGTTTCTTGGAGTGACATTTAGAAACCTGTATGTTGTTGTTCATTCGTTCAGTCGTCTCCGACTCTTCGTGACCTCATGGACCAGCCCACGCCAGAGCTCCCTGTCGGCCGTCACCACCCCCAGCTCCTTCAAGGTCAGTCCAGACACTTCAAGGATGCCATCCATCCATCTTGCCCTTGGTCGGCCCCTCTTCCTTTTGCCTTCCACTTTCCCCAGCATAATTGTCTTCTCTAGGCTTTGCTGTCTCCTCATGATGTGGCCAAAGTACTTCAACTTTGTCTCTAGTATCTTTCCCTCCAGTGAGCAGTCGGGCTTTATTTCCTGGAGGATGGACTGGTTGGATCTTCTCGCAGTCCAAGGCACTCTCAGAACTTTCCTCCAACACCACAGCTCAAAAGCATCCATCTTCCTTCGCTCAGCCTTCCCTAAGGTCCAGCTCTCACATCCGTAGGTTACTACAGGGAATACCATGGCTTTGACTAGGCGGATCTTTGTTGCCAGTCTGATGTCTCTACTCTTCACTATTTTATCGAGATTGGACATTGCTCTCCTCCCAAGAAGTAAGCGTCTCCTGATTTCCTGGCTGCAGTCTGCATCTGCAGTAATCTTTGCACCTAGAAATACAAAGTCTGTCACTGCCTCCACGTTTTCTCCCTCTATTTCCAGTTGTCAATCATTCTTGTTGCCATAATCTTGGTTTTTTGACGTTTAGCTGCAACCCGGCTTTTGCGCTTTCTTCTTTCACCTTGATTAGAAGGCTCCTCAGCTCCTCCTCGCTTTCGGCCATCAGAGTGGTGCCATCTGCATATCTGAGGTTGTTAATGTTTCTTCCAGCAATTTTCACCCCAGCTTTGCATTCATCAAGCCCCGCACATCGCATGATGTGTTCTGCATACAAGATGAAAAAGGTTGGGTGAGAGGATGCAGCCTTGCCGTACGCCTTTCCCAATCTTGAACCAGTCTGTTGTTCCGTGGTCAGTTCTGACTGTTGCTACTTGGTCCTTGTACAGATTCCTCAGGAGAGAGACAAGGTGGCTTGGGATGCCCATCCCACTAAGAACTTGCCACAATTTATTATGATCCACACAGTCAAAGGCTTTAGAATAGTCAATGAAGCAGAAGTAGATGTTTTTCTGAAACTCCCTGCCTTTCTCCATTATCCAGCGGATATTGGCAATTTGGTCTCTCGTCCTCTACCTTTTCTAAACCCAGCTTGAACATCTGGCAACTCTCGCTCCATGTATTGCTGGAGTCTTCCTTGCAGGATCTTGAGCATTACCTTACTGGCATGAGAAATAAGGGCCACTGTACGGAAGTTTGAGCAGTCTTTCGCATTTCCCTTTTTTTGTATGGGGATATAAGTTGATTTTTTCCAGTCTGATGGCCATTCTTGTGTTTTCCATATTTGCTGGCATATGGCATGCATCACCTTGACAGCATCATCTTTTAAGATTTTAAACAGTTCAGCTGGGATACCGTCATCTCCTGCTGCCTTGTTGTTAGCAATGCTTCTTAAGGCCCATTCAACCTCACTCCTCAGGATGTCTGGTTCTAATTCATTCACCACACCGTCAAAACTATCCTCAATATTATTATCCTTCCTATACAGATCTTCTGTATAGTCTCGCTACCTTCTCTTGATCTCTTCAGCTTCTGTTAGGTCCCTGCCATCTTTGTTTCTTATCATACCAATTTTTGCCTGAAATTTACCTCCAATGTTTCTAATTTTCTGGAAGAGGTCTCTTGTCCTTCCTATTCTGTTGTCTTCCTCAACTTCCATGCATTGCTTATTTAAAAATAGTTCCTTATCTCTTCTGGCTAACCTCTGGAATTGCGCATTTAACTGGGCATATCTCCCCTTATCCCTGTTTCCTTTTGCTTTCCTCCTTTCTTGGGCTACTTCCAGTGTCTCAGCAGACAACCATTTTGCCTTCTTGGTTTTCTTTTTCTTTGGGACGTACTTTGTTGCCGTCTCCTGAACAATGTCTCGGACTTCTGTCCATAGTTCTTCTGGGACTCTGTTTACTAAATCTAGTCCTTCAAATCTGTTCTTCACTTCCACTGTATATTCGCTAGGAATGTTAGTGAGATCATATCTAACTGGTCTGTGTATTTTCCCTGATCTCTTTAGTTTTATTCTAAATTGGGCAATAAGAAGTTCGTGATCTGAGCTACAGTCAGCCCCAGGTCTTGTTTTCACCGACTGGATGGATGTCCGCCACCTTTGGCTGCAAAGGATGTAATCAATCTGATTTCGGTGTTGACCGTCTGGTGAGGTCCATGTGTAAAGCCGTCTTTTAGGTTGTTGGAAGAGAGTATTCGTTATACACAGCGAGTTTTCCTGGCAAAATTCTATCAGCCTGCGTCCCGCTTCATTTTGTTCTCCCAGACCATGCTTGCCTGTAATCGCTGTTGTCATTTGACTTCCCACCTTGGCATTCCAGTCTCCTGTAATGAAAATAATGTCTCTTTTTGGTGTATTATCCAGTAGGTCCTGCAGATCCTCATAGAACTGATCTACTTCTGCTTCTTCAGCAGCTGTGGTTGGGGCGTATATTTGGAGCACTGTAATGTTGAAAGGCTTTCCTTGCACTCGAATTGAGATCATTCTGTCATTTTTTGGGTTGTATCCAAGCACCGCTTTAGCGAATTTCTTATTAATTATGAAGGCTACTCCATTTCTTCGATGTTCCTCTTGTCCACAGTAGTAGATCTGGTGGTCATCTGATGTGAAGTGGCCCATTCCAGTCCACTTCAGTTCGCTGACCCCCAGAATATCTTTAGTCTTGACATCTCGCCAATAACAACATCCAATTTGCCCTGGCTCATAGATCTTACATTCCAGGTTCCTATGGTGTGTTGATCTTTAGAGCATCGGATTCGTCGTTCACCTCCAGTACCGTCGGCCGCTAGCCTTCCTTTCGGCTTTGAGCTAGCTGCGTCATCACATCTGGGGCTAGTTGAACTTATCCTCTGCTCCTCCCCAGTAGCATTTTGGCCATCTTCCGACCTGGGAGTCCCATCTTCCAATGGCATACCGACATATCTCTGGTTGTACTGGTCCATTTAGTTTTCTTGGCAAGGATACTGGAGTGGTTTGCCATTGCCTTCCCCAGGGATTGCCTTCCCCTATACAGAAACCTGTATAGGATAGGAGAAAATAATTGGAACCAGAAACTTGTAATTTGACAGCTAAATAGATGGAACCTAATATCTTCAGGAGTTTATTTCACTATATTAACCTGCTTCTTACTTAGGAAGGGATCTTTTCTATATAAGTTATTTAAAAAAAAGAGAGACAGAACCTTCTTGGTTAGAGTGCCCCAATCACTGAAACATCCAATCCATCCAAGATGCAAATGACATCAACACTGCAGTTATTTTGGTGCCAGCTCAAAACATTTTTGTTTTCCAAGGCATTTGGTCATGTTTCCTGCTACTTTGATGACATGTTTTGGAGCTTTTATTGCCTTAGTTATATTTGTATATTGTCCTAGTATCCATGATGAATTATAGTTTCATAGTGTTCTGAATAAACAAAAATATCTCGAGTAAAACTTTATTTTGAGTGAGATTTTTTTCCAAAAAAGATGAACAAGGAAAGACAAAACACTGATTCACAAACAGAGAACAGCATTCCTTATCTGCAGAAGATCCTGGAACAACTAAAGCCAACTTGTAAAGATATGATAGACTTTATACTTCAAGTACCACAAAGCGTTTATTGTTTACTGGCAACTATAAAGCATTACTTAATGCACAGACAATAAAATATGTAGAACTGAGCATTCCATCACCCACTGCCATTTTTAAAGATTTTCAGAAGATGCTTTTGTAGCTGAAAACATAAAGAAACATAACTGGGCCTTAGAAGCCTGGGACTTTGAAATGCATTTCACAATAATGTATCAAAATGTCTTTTTGCTGAACTGTAGGGAACATTGAAGGATTTTTATTTTATTTTACATGTTTACCAGAAATCTGTAAGTACTTTTTACTTAGTGGTATACTTGTCATGTAGATTTGATAAGTAAGGGCTTCGTTAGATTAGAATCCCTTATAGATTTAAACATCTTTCACATGCGATCTTGACAGAGTACAAAAAGCTACATAATTTAGCCTTTTAATCTTTTGCTATTTTTTGATTTTAGTGCATTTATGGGAGACCCGGAGGACCAATATTTACAAAGCAGGCATTTGCTACTGTCCTTCATCACCACCAAAATCCAGAGTTTTATGATGAGGTAACCATTTGAGCTCTGCCAGTTTTAGTTGTTTTTAAAACAAAACAAGTCACAATGGCAAGGTGTCAATTAAGATGGTGGTTCACACTAGAGTGCCATAGTTTTTATCTGTTCATCACTACTGTTTGTACTTGCAACGTGCATATATTTACAGTACTGTATTAAAGTTGCCTACAATTATTATAACGGCCATGGGTTAAGCCGTGGGTTAAACCGCTAAGCTGCAGAACTTGCTGGTCGTAAGATTGGAGGTTTGAATCCACAGACAAGGTGAGCTCCCATTATTAGCTCCAGTTTCTGCCAACCTAGCAGTTCAAAAACAAAAATGTGAGTAGATCAATACCTTTGGCAGGAAGATAACGGCGCTCCATGAAGTCATGCTGGTCATATGACCTAGGAGGTGTCTACGGACAATGATTTATTTATTTATTTATTTATACGCTTGTATACCGCTAATATCTCAGCCTAAGTCGGCGACTCATTGCGGTTTACAACACTTAAAACAACAATATTCAATTTAAAAACATTAAATACATATACAGTACACAGTATCGGGCCACCAATACAGACCAATGCATCTCTTAGTTAAAATCATAATCCAATTTCGTCGTCTATAATTACCAGTCCTTGATCATCAACTTCATCGCACCGGATTAACCGAATGCTTGTTCAAACATCCATGTCTTCAGTTTTTTTCGAAATACCATCAGCGAGGAGGCTGATCTTATCTCTATAGGGAGGGCATTCCAAAGCCGAGGGGCCACCACAGAGAAGGCCCTTCTCTCGTTCCCGCCAGCCGCACTTCTGAAGCCGGAGGGACAGAGAGCAGGGAAGGGCCTCCCCAGAAGATCTTAGGGTCCTGGTGGGCTGATAGGCCGAGATACGTTCGGATAGGTATATTGGGCCAGAACCGTTTAGGGCTTTAAAGGCCAACGCCAGCACTTTGAATTGAGCCCGGTAGCAAATCGGCAGCCAGTGGAGCTGGTGCAGCAGAGGAGTTGTATGCTCCCTGCGCTCCGCTCCTGTTAGTATCATGGCTGCCGCACGTTGGACTAATTGGAGCTTCCGAGCCGTCTTCAAAGGCAACCCCACGTAGAGAGCATTGCAGTAGTCTAAACAGGATGTAACCAGAGCGTGGACTACCGTGGCCAAGTCAGACTTCCCAAGGTACGGGCGCAGCTGGCGCACAAGCTTTAGCTGTGCAAATGCTCCCCTGGTCACCGCCGAAACCTGGGGTTCCAGGGCCTCAGCGATGAATCCAGGATCACACCCAAACTGCGAACCTGCGCCTTCAGGGGGAGTGCGACCCCGTCTAACACAGGCTGTAACCCTATACCCTGTTCGGCCTTGCGACTAACCAGGAGTACCTCTGTCTTGTCTGGATTCAATTTCAATTTGTTCGCCCCCATCCAGACCGTCACAGCAGCCAAGCACCGGTTCAGGACCTCGACAGCCTCCTTAGTAGCAGGTGGAAAGGAGTGACAGAGTTGGACATCATCTGCGTACAGATGACATCGCACTCCGAAACTCCGGATGATCTCGCCCAGCGGCTTCATGTAGATGTTAAACAACATGGGAGACAGTATTGAACCCTGAGGAACCCCACAAGACAAAGGTTGTGGGGTTGAACAGGAGTCTCCCAGTAACACCTTCTGAGACCGACCCTAGAGGAATGAGCGGAGCCACTGCAGAACAGTACCTCCAAGACCCATCCCCGCGAGGCGTCCCAGAAGGATACCGTGGTCGACGGTATCGAAGGCCGCTGAGAGGTCAGCAGCACCAACAGGGACACACTCCCCCTGTCGAGCTCCCGACGCAGATCATCCACTAAGGCGACCAAGGCTGTCTCGGTACCATGCCCCGGCCTAAAGCCAGACTGTGCCGGATCCAGATAATCCATGTCTACCAAGAATGCCTGGAGTTGTGAGGCCACCACACGTTCCATGACTTTGCCCAAAAAGGGGAGATTGGAAACAGGCCGATAGTTGACGAATTGAGTGGGGTCCAGTGATGGTTTCTTCAACAGCGGTTTTATCACAGCTTGCTTTAAGCTGGCTGGAATTTTGCCCTCCCGAAGGGAGGCATTAACCACCACCTTCACCCACTCGGCCAATCCCCCTCTGGCCTCCTTCAGAAGCCAGGATGGGCAGGGGTCTAGGATGCATGTGGTAGCTCTCATTCCTCCAAGCACCTTGTCCACATCCTCGGATTGAACCAATTGAAATGAATCCATCAAAACCGGACAAGCAGATGCTCGTGTTACATCCTCAGAGACTGCCGTTAATATGGTATCCAGTCCAGAGCGGATCAAAGCGACTTTGTCTGCAAAGAACTGAGCAAACGCTTCACAGCGAGCTGCCGAGTCATCAGGGCACCCATCCTGAGTGGTGGGTTTTAATAGGCCTCTGACAACTCGGAACAGTTCAGCCGGACGGTTCTTTGCAGACGCAATAGTGGCCGCAAAGAAAGTTTTCTTTGTGGCTTTTATTGCCGCGGCATATGCCCTTAAAAAGGACACAAACCGTGTTCGATTTGGCTCGCTCGGGTCCGAACGCCACACGCTCTCTAGTTCCCTCTTCTTTCGCTTCAACGCTGCCAGCTCCTCGGTGAACCAAGGAGCTGGTTTAGCTCGGCTACTTGAGAGGGGACGTTCTGGAGCGATCGTGTCTATTGCCCTAGTCATCTCCCCATTCCAGAGAGCGACCAGAGCATCAACAGGATCACCAACCGAGGTGGCGGGAAATTCCCCAAGAGCCATCAGGAATCCATCCGGATCCATAAGCCTCCTGGGGCGGACCAATTTAATGGGTCCTCCACCTCTGCGGAGGTTGGGGGTGCAGTGAGTCTAAAGCTGACCAGGTGGTGGTCGGTCCATGGCAACGGAGAGATAGATAACTCCTCAACACCGCCACCTTCCTCCCATCCCTGGCAGAAAACCAAGTCCAATGTATGTCCAGCACTGTGGGTGGGGCCAGATACTTGTTGGGACAGCCCCATGGTTGCCATGGTAGACATGAAGTCCTGAGCCGCTTCCGATAAGGCGGTCTCGGCGTGGACATTGAAGTCCCCCAGCACAAGCAGCCGTTGGGACTCCAATGCCAGGTCCGAGACCACCCCCGCTAGCTCAGTCAGGGAGTCTGTAGTGCAGCGAGGTGGACGGTACACTAACAGAATCCCTAATCTGTCCCGGTCACCCACCCTCAGGTGAACGCATTCAAAATTTGTTGACTGCGGGATGGGGGCCCTGGTCAGAAGAATGGAATCTCTATAGACCACTGCAACCCCGCCTCCCCGCCCTCCGGATCTCGGTTGGTGCTGCACAGAGAAACCTGGTGGGCAAAGCTGGGTTAAATTTACACCTCCCGCTTCGTCCAACCAGGTCTCTGTGATGCACGCCAGATCTGCCCGTTCATCCAGGATTAAATCCTGGATGAAAGTTGTTTTACCGTTGACAGATCTGGCGTTCAACAGCACCACTTTCAATTCGGAGGGACCTGCCATCCTGGTTACACCGACTTACCATATCAGGAGACCGATTTGGGATTACTAATGTTGTTCCACGTTCCCTAGGCCGAATTAAAGGTCTCCTTTTCCCGTATCTCCCCCTCCCCACCACGACTTCTATGGGGGCTCCCCGGTTAATGGAACCCTCTCCCTCCTCCATGACGCATTCAGTGGCCAAGCTATCCGCCCGTAATTCATTATAGACTATATGGTCTGTTATAGTTCCAGAATACCACAGTCCTGCCTTCCGCTCATTTCCCACTCCTGTTATATTAGACTCCAATCTTTCTAATCCACTCCGTTCCCTCTCTCCACCAGAAACAATTAGCAACAAGATTAACAAATACCAGGGGAAGGGCAGCGACATGGATAGTAACTATAACACTGTCAAACGGAGTTCTTAAAATACAGGAGTTAAAGTGCAGGAGATCTCAAAGTGCAGTGCAGATAAACGATTGAATCAGCATACACAATGGTATCAATAATTAAAGTGCAATAGCTTGGTCTATTGGCTCTAAAGTGCTTATTTAAAGTGCGTCATGGAGGACTAACTTTAATGCTAGACGGTTTAATCGATTAAAGTGCTGCGGCTCAGTAAAGCTAATATATCACTGAGATGATAAGTTAAAGTGCTGATAGAATAAGTGCTAGAGTCACATAAAATATTTGTCCAATATGCTTTCCAACGGTACAACAATTAGTTCTTAAAGTCTCCGTTCAGTCAGCAAAATGGTCAGCACAATCAAGAATAGTAGTCAGCACACTCAAAAATAAACAGCACAGTCGAAAGAAGTCAACACAGATGAAGATGGTCAGCACAGTCAAAAAGGATGGTCCACACAGTTAAAGGAGGTCAACACAGACGGATAGCGATGGTCAACACAGTCTGTCCAGAACTGGAAAACACGAGATGCCAGGAGATGGTAATAATCAGGCCAAAAGGTGGTCAACACAATCTTCCGGCATTGAAGGTTACCAAGCGAGGTGATGGAGACTCGTAGGATGGCGGCAGATTAAACCCAGGAGGGCGAGGGGAGCTGAAGCGCTGGACGCTGATACACCAGAAGATGCCAAAGCCGCAGCTACGGACGCCTCGCTGCAATCAGGACGCGAGGCAGGCTGGGCCGCGCACTAGGCCCAGGCCGCAACGAGTGGAAAAATCGCGGCCCACCTCCCCTGGAAGACCAGGCGCGGCCGTGCGGCAGCAGAAACGCCTGAGGTCGCAGGCAGCTCAACGCAGCGGGATCCAATCAGCTGCGGAACGCCAGCCCCAGCGCTAGGCAGCAAGCGTCGCGGAAAGGCAACGAGGCCCTCCCTGAACCTGGAAGGACCGCAAGGGGTGCCGAACTGCCAAAGCTGCAGGTAGTGGGGTGTCCGCCGGCGCCCGCTGGAGCCAAGCCGAGGCCCCCCAGGCCTCCGCCAAAGATAGAAACGTGGAGGCAGATGGAGTGCAAATGGGAAGCGCGGAGGCGCCAGCAGGCCCCAAGGACGCAACGGGGCCAGGCCGCCTCCAAAACGAGGGAGCAAAGCAGTGCCCGCTGGACGCGCGGGGAAGCCGCCAGGGAGATCGCCTCGCCGAGCGGAGACTCCGCCCGGCCACGCCGGGCAGCAGATGAGAAACCCCAGCGGCTCGTCAGCCTCAGCAGCCCAGCGACTGCGAGGCAGCGGTCACACCCACGCGGCTGGCGGCTTGCCGCTGATTGAAGTGGGCTAGCCTCCTCGTCCTCCGGCCTATCGGCTCTGCGGCCTACAACAGGGTGGACTAGGCCCGCACTAGGCCCGCACTTCGGGTCAGGGGAAGGAAGCCCGTCGCTCGCCGCCCACAACACGGCCGTCCCAGTCTTTCTTGATGGCCACCGCTAGCAGCTGGCAGCAACTGGGGTAAGTCCCTGAAGAGCTCAGCAATCGATATTAGGAGGAAGCGAGCTCAACCAAGATTTCCAACCGAGCTCAAGCCGAGATGGTAGTAGTAATGGCCTCCGCTCTACCTCCTTCTTCTCCCCTCTTTCCCTTCTTATTTCCCTGGATATCTCACCAGTCAGCCCCTCCGGGTTCTTGGAGTGTTGCTGGTCAGGGATTCGATGAAGGGAGAGCAGGATGGGGGGTAGATGGTTGCGATATAGCCCGGATTGAGGGTTTCGTCTTACCCCCGATGGAAAAGTTGCTGTTGGCGCGCCGCCATCTTAACCGGAACCTCTTTGGCTTAGAAATGGAGAGGAGCACTACCCCCTTAGTCAGACACGACTAGACTTAATGTCAAGGGGAAACCTTTACAGTTGTTGTGTGAAATGGTTTGAGTAGTTAGGGAAAGTAGTATATCCATTTAATGTTCAAAACTGCCTCTTCCACCAAAGAAAATGCCTGCATACATCTAGGATTGCCTTTTTGCTTTCCAGTACCAGAGTTAGATTGCACTTATGGTATGATCTCACTCCAATACATTGTTCCCATAATTGCACTGAGAGTAATTTTGAACATTCTCCTTAAATTACGTTTTTGAATGTCTTCACAACATACCGTTTTTCTTCTCTTAGATAAAAATAGAATTGCCCACCCAGCTACATGAAAAACACCATTTGTTGTTTACGTTCTACCACGTCAGTTGTGATAGTTCAAGCAAAGGGACCACCAAAAAGAAGGATACAGTTGAAACACTAGGTATGATTGAGACACTTTTAGTGTGGTGTATTTATTTCATAGTTTAACATGATCTTAACGTAGGAGCAAGAAATATCAGGGCTGAGGAGCTACATTGACACCCTGCAAGAATTTAGAAAACTGTGCTCTTTCCTCTGCCATGCCCACATCCCTTGAATTTAAAAAAGCCAATTATGCCTTGTCACATTCTCTAGGATATCTCCTGAAGGAGGAAGGTATGCTCTTTACCCACCTTACTTGGAAGCCTTCTGAAAATTCAACACTAATTATATCCATTTATTTTTTTAAATGGTTATTATAGAACAGACGAATGCTAAATCTCTTTAATGGCATTCATAGACCTTGCAGGAAAATGAGCTAGCTATTTTAAATTAAAATTGCTTCCTAATTTTATGAAGACAAGTCATGTATTTCCAGGTTAGTGTGTGCTGATGTATAGTGATTTCTTCATTCTTTTCTTGTAGTTGGATATTCATGGCTTCAGCTATTGAAAGATGGCAGAGTAGTGACAAATGAACAGCATATCCCAGTGGCTGTTTATCTTCCATCTGGATATCTCAACAGTCAAGAACCTGGCACAAACAAAGTAAAAAATAATTCATTTTCACGAATTTGTGGGGTGGGGGGGGGGAAATGACTGGAAATTCTATGGAAATGGAAGAATGGAGCACAAGTCAGCTAATATTTATTTTATACCCATAATATCTAAGATGCTGGAACTGCTTTTCTAGGTTTATTTGCTTAACATTCTCCTGGGATGGGATCAAAGGCAGAAATACATCATGGATCATATTTGGAATACAGATAAATATGTCATCTGCATTAATTTTGTTCTGATTGTTCTTTCTGCAGTCTAATTACTAGCTCAGTATATAGGTAATGTGATTCACTTTTGGATGAAATAGACTATAGTCTGTTTCATAATGAAACAGGCCATAGCAAGCATGGGCAAACTTGGTAGGCTGTTAGGAATTGTGGGAGTTGAAGTCCAAAACACTTGGAAGGCCAAAGGTTGACCATGCCTGAGCCATAGTCTAGAAAAGCTCACAGCGCAATGCATTTGATAGTCTTTAAGGTCTACCGGACACCAGTCAGAATGTCTCCCTAATATTTTTGTTAATGGGAAACCGTTCCATTAGCATAAAGGATTAGATATTTATAACACGGTTAATCTTGAAATAAAATGCACTAGACCCCCTTATATCACATGTTATGCAAATTCAGACAGAAAGCCCCCCTCCCCCCATTAAAGAAGGTGAGGGCAACAGAGGACCAGTCTGCAGGCAGTGAGCTTTTGATGACACCCCTCTTCTCCAGTGCCAAATCTTGTGGGAAGTCTATCTGTGCAGAGCCATACATCTCTCGGCTGCATTTCTATCTGCTGTGAAAGGAGCAGATAGAAAAACACCACTGGGCTTTGGTCACTTCTTAATGCTGAACAGGGAGATAGACTGTGTTCTCTGCAATGTGAAATGCAATTCAGTTTGGGTTGTTTTCTCTCCGCAGAGAAGGGGATTTGTCCCTTTTTCTGATGTAAGAAATGCAACCGGGTTTTGGACACTGTTCTCTGCAGTGAAAGGCGTTTGTCCCTTTTTCTAGAGAAAGAAACAGAATCAGGCTTCCCTCCTCAGAGAAAGGAGAAATACTTTCTTGGAGGAGTGGGGTATATGGCTCTGCATATTTGGCTTCCTACCATATTTGGGACCAAGGAAAGGATTGTTTTTGGGAGCACAGTGTGGGGAGTCTGTCCCAACATGTGAGTTTTCGCTTCAGCTACCTTCCCCTCCATGTGGGAGCAGATGAGCACCTGTATTGTACAGTATCTTGGAATGGATCCATCACATAATACATGGGCCTACTGTATTTTAAATGTTAATTATTTAGCATTGTTGAAGGCTTTAATTATTTTCTTCAGCATTTGGAAAGTAGTGCTGAGAATGTTTAGTGTGTAGCTCTAATGCCAACAAAATAATCAAGAACTGCACACTTACTTAGTCATAGGTTGCAAGCAATATATTCTTTAAAAGGAATACGTTTTTTAAAACTATTCATCAAATTGCTTTGTCTTTTAAATGCATATTTGTAGATTTCTTTGTTCGTTGGCCATGCTAATGTTCTGTGGGTTTACAGAGCCCACATTTAGCTCACTCTGAGTTTTAGGTCAGCATGTAATGAAACATGTAATGTTAATTGTCATCTATATAATGCAGCACTCTGGTCCTGAAGTCAAATGGGTGGATGGAGGCAAGCCACTGCTAAAGATTTCAACTCATCTAGTTTCCACTATATACACTCAGGTAAGTATTTTAATGTCATTACAGGATTTTTACTTAATTCGTCTTGAATTGGCTTAGTTATTATAGCTCATCTAGTTTCTACAATTATGACAGAAACATTTGCAGTGAGAGGCTATTCACTGCACCTCTTGAAAGGGGAATGTGGAGTTAATGGTAGAGGGAAGCCAATGCACTTCTCTCTTTACTATTCAGTTCAGAACTGGTGATGGAACTGCAGGTGCAGGGCTTTCCTTTGTAACTGACAGGAAAATTACCTGACAGTGTCTGGAGAATTTGTTGAGTTTCCTCTACAGTTAACTGCATTCTTGGCTGAAAGGGAATTCAGAGAGTTCATTGGGATGCAGAGGAGCCCTGAGCTGCTTGAGTCTGTCCTCCATTGCATATATTCCATCCGAGATTGTGACTCCATGTCAGGGACCATACATAGCTTATTTAGAGTGATTCTGGAAATTATACGCATATGCAAACCAACACATTTTGGATGATAAGGCCAACCAAAGCTTTTCAGCATAAGGCTTTCTTTCCTAAAGATTATGGACTATACATAATAGCAACTTTGTGCCAGTAAATAGAACTCATACAAGGCAGAGTGTTCACCAGACTTCTATTTAAATAAAATTCTGTTCATGTTAAACAGCTTTATATAATAAAGTTTCAGCTGTCAAACATCTGCTTTTTTGTCTGCTGAAATAGCTTTTCTCTGGAAAGATGGGTGGGAGGAATGGTAGTTGATGATCTGATTTCTGTTTTTCTTGCAACTTATATTACACCAAGCCTTAATCTTTCAAAGAAATCCTGATGAGAAACTGTGAGAATCTTTTTTAGTTTTTTTCTACCGCATTCCCTAGTTAGTTTGAAAGCTGAAATGGGGTGAGGGGAGAAGACATTGCAGAAAAGCAGTCCTCAGCTCAGAAAGCTGAGCTCTTTTCAATGAAAACTGCACACTTTCCAGAGAGAGCTATATATCTTTCCATCATCTTGTGGGAAACATTTACCTCATCTCCCATCAGCATGAGAAGAAAAGGGGATGGATTTTTCCAAACACCCATCAGGATGGCAAAAATCGAGAATTGCCATCCATACTATTAAACTTGGCATAGACGGCAATGACAGCCCGACATCTGATATAGCAATTGTATATATTTACATGAGGTGAGCTTTGAGACCTTAAATATATGCAGAGCTTTATACTCCACTCAATGTTGCAGAGTGCTCGTTTTCATTACTTTTTTACTTCTCAAATATTGGAGACAGCTTGGCTCTGCACTACGCTTTTTTCAATAGAAAGTGATGGCATTGAAATGGAGAGGTCAATGAAATTAGATATTTATTTTAATATATTGCTCTTTATTTCCACAGGACCAGCACTTAAACAATTTCTTCCACTACTGTCAAAAAACTGAGTCAGGAGCTCAAGCTCTAGGAGCTGAACTTGTGAAATATCTTAAGGTATATATAGTGAGACTGGCGCATATACAGCAAATATACATTCTTATTACGATATTTTTTTTTACCAGTGTATGGATTAGCCTGTCCTTATTGCTCTCAATAATGTTTTTCAATTTTTCATGAGCAAGTTCCTTCCATCCATGTCCTTATCATTTTACCATTTTTAAAATGTCTCAATGCAAATGTTATTATTTCAAGCAGTGTCTAAAAAAGAAGAAATAAGAATAAAATAGGCTAATGTAAAATACCGTATTAAACACCTTTCTCATAATACAGTAGTATAAAATCAAGAAGGATCTCAAAACTTGGCTTTTCCATTGCGCCTTTGGAGAGTGATCAGATATTTCCTTTTGTTGCTCCTCCCACAATGTTTGTCCTCATACTGTACTTCCCCCACCTGTTTGAAAGCTTGTCTCCCCATCTCCGTCTCCTATGAGCTTCTCCCATACAAATATTACTTTTTCATTTCTATCTCATCCTGAATTTTATCATTTTATCTTGCACATGTGGCCCGCCCTTTGGGATTGATTCTGCATTGTATTATTTTGTATTGTTTTATTGTATTCTTATATTTTTATTTATTTAATTTGTGATGTTTGTTTTGTTGCTCTGGTTTTATTTTGTTGTAATATGCTGCTGGGCTTGGCCTCATGTAAGCCACCCCGAGTCCCCTTTGTGGAGATGGTGGCGGGGTATAAATAAAGATTATTATTATTATTATTATTATTATTATTATTTATAAAATGGCATAAAATAATTTCTTAAATAACAACAACAATTTTTATTGATTAGCCAATTGGCCTTATCAAAAGCAAGCAGTGTAATTTCTTAAATAATAAGTCAGCATTTTCTGTTGGCATGCAGTTGCTGACTACTTGAGATCCACAGAACAAGTGGTTTTTTGTTTTCTGATTCTTATTTGGATTTCCCCCCTAGAGCCTTCATGCTATGGAGGGCCATGTGATGATAGCTTTTCTGCCTACTATTTTAAACCAATTATTTAGAGTTCTTACTCGAGCAACTCAGGAGGAAGTTGCAGTGAACGTGACAAGGTGAGCAATTTGTTGCAAGAGTTGCGAAGAATTACAATCTTGCTGGTGGTATGCTCACCTTTTAGGATTAATTTCTTGCAATTCATTTCATTTAGGGTCATCATACATGTAGTTGCGCAGTGTCATGAAGAAGGGTTGGATAGCTACTTGAGGTCATATGTCAAGGTAAAAAATATATGAACATTTTTCTTTTAAAAATCCCTAAACATTATTTTTGTAATGTAGTAATGCTAATTTCATGTTTTTATTCCAAAGTATGCTTACAAAGCAGAGCCTTATATTGCTTCTGAATATAAGACTGTACATGAAGAGCTTGCCAAGTCCATGACAGCCATTTTGAAGCCTTCTGCTGACTTCCTTACAAGCAATAAGCTTCTGAAGGTATTCATTCAAAAATTGTGTTCCTTTTTGTTATTTCTGGTTAATTTTGTTCTTAGACTACGCAGGTGCTCTTTAGTTCAGCTAAAGTATTTTTTCCCATAAGTAGCTGTAAGTAGAATCCATCCTTCCATAAATTTAAGGTGGCATTACCCTGCATGGACTATTTTTGTGAGTGGCTTAGATCCTTCCCTACTGCTCACCCAGAAGTAAATTCTGCTCTGCAAAGGTGTAAAACATTTCTTGTTTTCAGAGGTTCCCTTTTTATGTATTTTAGTACACTATTACTGAAATGCTATTCTGTACTTAAATTCTCCACCACTAGCTTCTGGATTTCCCTCATATCGATTTCCCTTCCTGCAAAAAAGGAGGGATCCCCACTTTTTGGTTTTCTTGCATTGCCTTTTATTCAGTTAAAATAAGCCATTCGTGGTGTTGCTTTTAAATTGTTACCAGTCAGATTTTGGGAGTAACACATCAATTAGCCACTCAAACTACTGATTCTCTAGGTTTTTCTAGGTATTACACCAACTCACGGTATCCTCTAATAAATGCTTAAGTTAAACATAACTTTTAATGATTTCTGTTGCTAGAAATCAATAGAATGGGGGCGTCTTAGAATTTGAAGAAATGCATCTCTTGCCTCTGTGGCTAAGCATGCTATTCAGCCTTAGAAAGCAAGGATTAAAAAAATGGGTTGCTGTGAGTTTTCTGGGCTGTATGGCCATGTTCCAGAAGCATTCTCTCCTGATGTTTCACCCACATCTCAGAGGTTGTGAAGTCTGATGGAAACTAGGAAAATGGGGTTTATATATCTGTGAAATGTCCAGGGTGGAAGAACTCCTGTCTGTTTGAGGCAAGTGTGAATGTTGCAATTGGCCACTTTGATTGGCATTGAATGGCCTTGCAGATTCAAAGCCTGGCTAGTTGCTGCCTGGCAAAAACATTTGTTGGGAGGTGTTAGCTGGCCCTGATTGTTTCTTCTCTGGAATTTCCCTGGTTTTTTTAGTGTTGTTCTTTATGTACTGTCCTGATTTTAACATTTTTAATATTGGTAGCTGGATTTTGTTCATTTTCATGGTTTATTCCTTTCTATTGAAATTGTCCACATGCTTGTGGATTTCAGTGGCTTCTCTGTATAGATATTGTGGTTGTTAGAGTGGTCCAGCATTTCTGTGTTCTCCAATAATATGTTCAAATAATATATTCTCAAAAAGCCTGGAAAGCTCACATCAATCCTGTGATTCCAACCCAGTGTAAGCCTTTGACAACAGATTTAAAGTCATCACAAAAAATGTTTAATTAGAAGTCTGGGGACCTTGCAAACCCTCAATATTATTTTGTCTCATTGTACTGACTACAGTAGTTGCTGCTGCTATCGATTACTACAAAAATGATTAAGATCAGTAATGAAAATAGTGGAGTAGGAAAATATTTAAGGAAATATTGAACTGTTCCAAGTTGACAACAAAGTCATTTGAATTTTCTATGAAACAACAACATCAACTGAATAAAGGGTGGAAATTTGAGAGAAAGCAGCTAGTATGCAAGCAACTCAGAAATCCTTTGAACGAACAAAATACCTTTTGAATGACAAAATGTAGTTAATTGTGTTGTATCAAAATTATCAAGAGTATAGCTTATTTTAAATTATGCATATAAATGGATACCTTATGTAATATGTTCTTTTTTTTAACAGTACTCCTGGTTTTTCTTTGAAATTCTAATCAAATCAATGGCCCAGCATCTTTTAGAAAATGCTAAAGTAAAGGTAAGTGAACAAGTATTTTTAGTTTATAATAATAATAGCCTTTTTGTGCCAGTCGATGTCTTATTGCACAAACATAAATGCTTCTTGTAAGCACATATTAATCTTTTGATTTACATGACATCAGAACAGCACAATTCTTTGGAGCATGAGACAACATTCATTTATAGATTCTAGTTTTTGTTTGTGTATGAGGGAGTATCAAAAACAAAATATGTGCTTACATAAATTACATTCTTGTTTTTCACGTTCAGGCTTCAATAATTGTTAATTTCTAAAACAATGCAGGGCTATGTTGTGTTGCAACAGACTAATACTTTGGAAACATATTTCCAATAATATTTTTGGTGTCTTTTTCTATTTTGGAGCCTGTTAGTTTAGCTTTCTAACATTTGTTACTTTTGTCACAGAAGACACAAGGCAAATTGGTTTTCTATCATGTTTTTGTAGGACATGGTTAGGATTATTATACCAACCAAACCTCTCAAACATCTCAAATACTTTCTCTTCTTTTTTTTAAAAAAATATTTGAGTATAGAGAAGAGATTGATCATGGTGGTTTCTACTTTTTCTGTAATATACTTTCCAGGTATGTCAGAAACCATCTAAACAGATGAAAATTTTCCTGATCCCTAAAAATCCACCACACTTGGACCCCTTTGTATATTAGGCAAGAATAACTAGGATAACTTGGGAGTGCTTCAGTTTGTAAATTATAGTTCTTCTGTTTCTAGTTGCTACGAAACCAGAGGTTTCCTGCATCTTATCATCATGCTGTAGAAACTGTTGTCAATATGCTGATGCCCCACATTACACAAAAGTACAAAGATAATCCAGAAGCTTCAAAAAATGCAAATCATAGTCTTGCTGTCTTTATAAAAGTGAGTATTTTTGGTTGATCTTTGCAAAAGAAGATTTCAGTTATTTAACAAACTGAATTCTTATGAGAACCCTACACATTATGTCTAAATAGTTGTCAAGATGTAAAAAAATGGTGGTGGTACATTTTGTGACTATGGGCGGATCTACACTGGCTCATAACCCAGGAATAATTCCTGGGCGTGTTCCTCACAAGGACTCATCCAGCCAATGTGGAGGCAAGGAGAGTCTTCATGTGGTTCAGTTCCACAGGGCGCCGCCCCTACTGTCGTGGTGGTTTCCAGCTGTGACATGTGACTTATCTGTCTGCTGTCAAGTGCCATGATGTCAGACCGGGCGCAGGGGGGAGGGAGGGGGAGGAAGAACTCATCTTCCTATCTCCCTCTCTTCCCAGCTCACCCTGTTGCTCCAGCCAACGTCACAGCATGCAACAGTGGAAAGGTAGGGCCAATATAGTGGTTGGAGACTGCCTGACATGGAAGATGGGGAAGAGGATGGCCATCCTATGTTCCCGGACCACCTGAGTTTGGGAAATAGGGGATGACAGTGGAGACATCTCCAGCCAGTTCCATTTGGGAATGACTCAGCTGTTTCCACAAGCCTAAATTTTGGGGAAAAAATCTGAATTCTCTTGCAAAATTCAAACTTTTCCCAACTGTATTAAGATGGCCTTTCCGCAAATTACCCCAGGTCAGCGGTTCGAATCCGGGGTGAGCTGGTTGAGTGCCCTCTGTCAGCTCCAGCTCCCTATGTGGGGACATGAGAGAAGCCTCCCACAAGGATGGTAAAACATCAAACATCCGGGTGTTCCCTGGGAAATGTCCTTGCAGACGGCTAATTCTCTCACACCAGAAGAAACGTGCAGTTTCTCAAGTCGTTCCTTACATGAAAAAAATGGTCCATGTTGATAAGTCCTAACAGAAGCTTTGACTAATTTATGCATATTGGAATTTATAATAAGTTTATGTCATGAAATGGATTATTGAAATTAAATCTTTGCTGATTCTGTGTGTTGAATATTTGAAAGCATATTATACTAATCTGGTATTATGTACAGTACTCTTGCAATGTAAATATAGTTTAGGTTTATTTTGCCATTCACATTCACTGGTCTATTATTACTATTTATCAAGTAGTAATAAACACTATGAAAATTATCTGGTATTTGGACTCTAGTGCTGCTTGACACTAATGTGAGACTTTTCCCCCTTTTGTAGAGGTGTTTCACCTTCATGGACAGAGGATTTGTGTTCAAACAAATTAATAACTATATTACCTTCTTTACTCCAGGAGATCCAAAGGTACTGTATTACAGAAACAGTTGCCATTCTGCACTTCCTTATTTCAGTGGTACTCTGTCAGACATATGTCCAGATAACCGTTCTTCCCCAGATCTAATATTATGCATTTTCCCAGTTTATGTCTAAGAGCTGGATTCCTTTTTTTTTTTTTACAAGAGAAGCAAGCAGAGAAGTTTGGATTGTTTATTAACTAGGAATATGAGCACTAAGAGAGCACAGTGTTTTAAATATAATTTTACATTGCTGTTAAATTGTTAACAGAAAAATATTCATGGGTGGCATGATGCCACCCATAATTCTTAAATTACCAGATCTAGCATGGAAATTACATAATATGCTGTTTGTTTTGGGAACAGGGCCATTCTCTCTATGAGACAAAATAAGTTAGGTTAAATTTTTGTTTTTGTTTTTGATTAAAATATGCTAATTCTGTGAATCATTTCAAAATACCTTGCAGACCCTTTTTGAGTTCAAATTTGAATTTCTTCGAGTGGTTTGTAATCACGAACACTACATTCCTTTGAATCTTCCTATGCTGTTTGGAAAAGGCAGAATTCAGAGATATCAAGGTAAATTTGTGTTCAAAAATGAAACTGAAGTTGACTTTAAGAAAAACCTTCAAGATATATATATATATATATATATATATATATATGGATTCTATATTCACCAAATGCAGTTACTATTCAGTTTTCTTCTTGCTCACTGTTTTCTGCAACACAGTGATACCTTGAAAATACATGTTGTTTAAGCCTCATCCAGGTGAATTTTAAGAACTTGTATTGTCTGACTTTAAATGTTTATACTGTTGGAATGGCCTTTACCTCTGAACTTAGGCAGTTGTTTGTTAGATTAGATTAGTTAGATTTGTTGCTGATGTGTATCACGTTTTTAGCTTGTCAACACAAATATAGAAGTCATATCCTGAATCCTGTTTAGTAGCATCTCTGTGTGGCTCTCTTGTTTTCGTGTTGTGCTGCCTTAAATATATTGCAAGTGCATGAAACCTCTTCAGAATTATCATTGCTTTGAAATGGCAGCCTTTTGAGACTGGGTGCTACAGTTGTGTTGATCTCTGTGTTGTCCATGCCACAACGTTGCCAGGAGCAGGAGGCTGATGTACACCTTTGATGAAGCGATGGCAAAGGGTTTCCATGCTTTGACTTTGGCAGGATTCATCTCATTCCATGGCCCAATACACACTGTTTCTTTAAATTTGTTTCACAGATTGTGTGGCAAAGTATGTTTTCTGTGTGGAGTGGTTCAAAGGTTTCTATCGCTTGCTTTATTTTCTTTTTGCATCCTTCTTTCACTGAGCTGATGTCTTTGGCTGTTCTATTGTGTGTATGGATGTCACCAACAGGCCTTCTATCCCTATCGCTTTTAACACCAGTATCTTCTCTTATGTAAAGGAATTGTTGCCCTCCCATTTTTGAGCAGAGGAGGGGATTTTCTCTCTCATCTTAGTACTTCCACCAGCTTTTGTGCATGTTTTGATCACAAAGAGGTTGAGAATTGTTTTGTTTTGTGTTTGGTCAGTTTATGACACTGTATGCGTAACGGAAGCTACCCCAATAAAATAGATCTATTAGGATAATTTAATATTCCAATATTTCACACATTTTTAAAAAAAACCTGTACACCACAGGTGAGTGAAACTTAGGGTATTCTTTAACTCTTCAGGTAACCATTTCATAAACACCTAGCTTATAAGTGTGTTTTTTCAAGAATGTATAAAACATCCCCTCAAATAAGATTATGATTAATATGAATAAAAAAGAGAGATAAAGATAACTGGTTGTCTCAAAAGCATTCATTCCTTACTTGCTCAGTAGTAAAAAAAATTGCTTTTTTTACTTATTGGTTTTGTCCTGCTTTGCTTCTTTTTCCTTTCAAATTAGCTTTTCTCTCACCAACTGTGGGATCGTATGACACTCTTTTAGGTAGGTGTGGAGTGTGCTACTTGATTCTAAAGTTTCTGTTTTGTAAAAATGTGGTGACCTGTGAAAATAAAGAATGTGTAGTCATTTCATTTGTGAGTCAGCTCAACTGCTGTATATAGAAAATTGAAGGTTTTAAAAGAAGAATTGCATAACAAGCCTAACTGGAAAGAAACAGAACTGTTTGTGTAATGCTTTGTAGCAGATGTAATAAAAATATATAGAAGAATGGTGGAAGCTTCGTCCTTGGAAGCTTTTCCAGACATCGGCAAATTGAGGCCTGGGGGCCGCATGTGGCCCCCTGGGCGCTTACCTCAGACCTTCTTCATTTTCCCTGTCCTCTTGTCATATGGACACAACGTCCCGTCACATTCTTATGCCAGAAAGACAGGGGAGGAAGGCACGCAGCAACGGAGAGCCCTCTCAGTCATGCTCCCCTCCTGGCATAAGGACAGTGTGAGCAACCCCATCCTTATGCCGGGAAAACAGCTCAAGGAAGGCATGTAGTGTCTGAAAGCCCTCCGGAGCACTCTCAGCCACTGTTTGTCTCACCCTCCTGGCATAATGCCAAGAGGACAGCCCGAGGATCGAGGGAGGATTGGGGCAGTTGCCACATGTCCCGCCTTATTCCTGGCATAAGGATGTAGCAAGCAGCCCCATCCTTATGCTGGGAGGACAATCTAAAGATGACCCAAGCTCTGCCCAGTATATACTAGGGTTTAATTCAGGACCCCCTGCAGATATCAACACCCATGGGTGCTCAAGACCCATTATGTAAAATGGCATCCCTTAAATAAGTGGTTTTCAACCTTTGATCTTCCAGGTGTTTGGGATTTCAACTCCCCCAATTCCTAACAGTTGGTAAGATGGCTGGGAGCCAAAGTCCAAAACAACTGAAGGACCAAAAGTTGGGGACCACTGTCTTAAATGAAATGGCAAAATTAATATTTGCTTTTTAAATTTTAAAACATTATTTTCAAGTCTTGGATGGTTGAATCTGTGGGTGCAGAATCCATGGATATGGAAGGCCAAATGTAGTAAGCTTTGGGCATTAGGCTCTATAAATTTTGGAAGAACCATTGGCCACAGTGAACAAACAGTTGTGCAGAAGTTTCATCTTTGCTAGCTTCCTGCTCTATCTGGAATTCTTAGTAGATATTTTCAACAATAATTTAAGAGATTCTTGAACATAAGGAGAGATTTAGTCATATATCATTACTTTTAATGATATACATTACTGCTGTTCTGTTTTGCAGTAAACACATGTATGCATTGTAAATTCAGCTACAGTGTTTTTCCAGGGCTCCAAACTAACTCATTGTTTTATTTAACAATGCACTGGACCTCCCAAGTAATGCTGAAGATTTGAAAAATATACATTAGTGAATTAAGTCATTAGAATTTGTTAGGGCAAGGGCATCTGTCTGTCACATTCAGATTTCTTCTGGAAGAGAGCAGGACGTGGTGAGATAGAACTTTCTAGAGTAGAGCACAATTGCTAGAGTTGGTTAATAAGAAAAAAGAAAATGGAAAAAAAGGAAAAATGGAGTAAAGGTAGGGTGATTTGTTTGCTTAGCAAGCACTCAGGACTCTTTCAGGGAGACAAGTCTTTTAGGTCTGAAGGCAGGTGTTACCCTTCATGAGTCTGTATGGAAGGAAGTTCTTTGGAGTGTTTCTGGAAGACATCATCCCATTGTCATTCACTTCAGTAATGTATCTTCTATTGATGATATTCTGGAATGGTTTCCACTGTATACTATTGTACAATGTATAATCTTGTATGATATTATGGTAATTTGGTTCCTTTTATAATATTAGGTCTGCTAGGTTTGCAAGACAGATCATGGGCATATAAAGAAGCAAGGTTATGACATTTTTCTGTGTGTTGAGGTGAACTCTTAATTTCCATTCTTGGACTAGTTTCTATTGTATAGTCTTGTATAACACAGACTAATTGGTATTACTTTGAATGAACTATAGTTCTCTATATAGTACAAAGTTTACCACAACTAATCCCCCATTTCTATCTGTATTTATTTTTTTATCTCTCTTTTCCAAATGTTTCCATTCTACTTTTTACCTATGTCTTTTAGTGTGTCTGGTTATATGCTTTGCAGGGTTTGATATGGTTGAAGGCTGGAGCAAAAAAATGAGGCTATCAAAATACCTGTCCCATTACCTCTTTTAATATATTTTGTATGACATGCAGTCAGCAATAAGTCTGGCTCTGAAGAAATTTTAATTGATATTTATTGGTACTTAAGCCTAGTTAGTAGGATAGGATTGCCCATTTGCTTTAATAATCCTATTTTCCAGATGATCCAACAAAGAACTTCTTGGATCTCTAAGCCTTCATTTGAACACTTTAGCTAGTCTGTTACACGTAATATTTCATTTGCTTCCAAGGTTGATATATTTAAATACGTATTAAGCAAGATGGGTAAAGAGAATAATGAGGCTGTGATATGCATCATCATTGGATATAGATTGAATTTGGATCCTGTCTGTAAAACCAGTATTCTGCCACTTTGTATTCCACAGTTCTTGATTGGGAAACAGAAAAGAATTTAGCTGTGCAGAAAATGTTCTGTATATGCTCAGATGCCATTCTTGATTAACACATCCTGATTCGAGTCAGTTTCTAATTCTTGCAATTGTCCTCTTATTTCCTACATTTGCAGTGGATCGGTGCATTCTATATAAAACAAGTCATATTGACTTTTAACAAACAAGGCATTTGAAAAGTGAATGAAAGTACATGGTGGTGGGAGTAGAAAACAAAGAGAGGAAAAATAACAAGCTGAACTGAAGAAGTTGCAGGATAAATCCCATTGCTTTAAGGCAGCTTTCTGAGACTGACAGTTACCAGACATGCTGGACTCTTGCCATTTTCAGCTCTTATAACCGGGTAGTCCATAAGGGAAAAAGTTCTAGGTTGGAAGAAGGCAATTTTAAAAACACAGAAAGAGCTCTTTTGAAAGAGTTAATAATAAGACCCTAAGGTCAGCAGTTAAAGTGACCCATGCCATTCACTACCTCCTACAATCTCACCCAATATCAATGTTTTGATCTTATCCACATTGACCTGTAGATAAATCAACCCAGGTTTTTTTAGTTTATTTCTTTTGACTAAATTGTTTAGTTTTATACATGAATATATAGAGTAAGTTACACCTTGCTTCCACATATTAGACATATACTATACATATACACATGATATTATTATGGAGCCATATACTGTACTATAATTGGTACAGTGTAAAACTAGACCCACAGATTTAAAGTTCTATGGCCATAAGGAAACAAAACTTTTAAATAAAAAAATAAATAAATTAAAAGCATCTGCTGAAAATCTTAATGGCTAAGCCTAAAGTATATGGAAGGCCATTGCAAATTTACTTTTCTAGTTGAGAGTGTTGTTGTTGTAATAATAATAATAATAATAATAATAATAATAGCATTTCTCAGGAGAAATGCCTCTGGAACATGGCCCTATAGCCCGAAAAAACCTACAAGAACCTAGTGATTCCAGTCATGAAAGCCTTCGACACTAGAGTACTATTTGGCGAGCTAGGGACTGGGCATTTATAAGTAGGGACTAGTCATTCTCAAATGCTTGTTGGAACATCTTAAGTTCATTTTAAGTTCTTTTTAAGGTACAGAATTCTAACAGTATTCCCTAAATCATTGAATGAGATACAATAAATTGGCTCTATAAATAACTGGGAGTTAGTAACAAACTAGCCATGTCTGTAGTTCTTGGATTGTTACACATTTTGATCTAAATATGCCACTGAATATCTAGGTGTTCAATTATTTCCTAATTTGTCACAAATACCTAATGTTTTCCTTATCATCTGTACTTGCTTGATTTTAGCAGACACTCTTGTATGAAAGTCACTCTTGTGTGAAAGTGTGGCTGTTTTTCAAAATAGGTAAAGATTTCTTGGTAATCTATAAAGACTGGAAAGAGATGGCTATGTCGTCAGTAGACTCCACTCATTGAGTTGTTTATCAAGAGCTCATAATTGTAATTCACAACATGAATCCACATATATTCAAAAAGTTACATTTTAATATTTTAAGCTAGAGATTACTTTTGGTCTTCATTCTGCTTTTTACTAATTAGATGTATGTATAGATATATTATTGGATTTTTGAAATTGAGATAACTGTAGGTACTGTGTTGCCTAAAAAATTGCAGTTTCAGAATTACATTGTATTCTCAATGTCTGTGTTTGCTTTCAGACCTTCAACTTGACTATTGTTTATCAGATGAATTCTGCAAACATCACTTCTTGGTAGGACTGCTCCTCAGGGAAGTTGGAAGTGCACTACAAGAGTTCAGAGACATCCGCCAAATTGCAATTAGTGTTTTGAAGAACTTGATGATAAAGCATTCATTTGATGATAGATATGCTTCCAAAGTAAGAAGATGTCCAGTTTTTTTAAAAAAATAGTGAGATATGATTTTTTAAAAAATAATAAAATAGATGCAGTGATCCCAAATAAGGTCAGGCTAATTCTTGGGATCCACACATGCTAGCAAGAGGAAATCTGGATTGCAGTGCTTTCCAATATTACAGTGAATAGGAATGCTCAAACGTATAGCACCATTTTTATTTGCAAAGAACTCCTGAGATTAGGCTTGGGCATGTTTTGTATTTTCCACCCATCCTCCCCTTTTTCGGTTTTGAAGTGTATAGTCCATTGTATTGTTGAAGGCTTTCATGGCTGGAATCACTGGGTTGTTGTAGGTTTTTTCGGGCTATATCGCCATGTTCTAGAGGCATTTTCTCCTAAATTAGGAGAAAATGCCTCTAGAACATGGCCATATAGCCCAAAAAAACCTACAACAACCCACTGTCTTTCTGCCCTCATTCAGTCCACCGTCTAGAAAAACAGTGCCCAAAACAAGATGTTAGGTGGGCTGTGAAGCTGTGAAGCTCATTTTTAAGCAGCTGGAAACTTCAGCAGTAAAACTCTTAATTTAAGCATTAAAATTTGCAAAGGAAATTTTAAACATAACATTGTGATTAATGTATCAAAAAGGAGAAGCTGCTGTGGAAGTTTCACTTGAGGGATTTTTTGAACTTCACTGTCATTGTGTGTTTTTCCATATGCCTGATAAAATGTTTTCATACAGATTCATCAAGCAAGAATAGCTACGTTGTATCTGCCAACATTTGGCCTTCTGATAGAAAATGTCCATCGAATTGATGTCAAGGATATTTCACCTTTCCCTATTAATGCTTCTAGCACAGTAAGTATATACTTTCATTGGTGAAATCCTTATGTTTCAGAATTATTAAAAATATAACTATCCCCCTTGAACAGGAGGCTTAAACACATCAGATGACATAATGCACTTTTTGTGTATTATAACAGAGTACAAAAGAAGAATCACTTTCTTTACCAGCTGCAAATCCATTGATGACTCCACAGAAATCTGTGAATACACTGGATAATAACCTCCACAAAGACTTGTTTGGTGCTATATCAGGCATTGGTAAATATTTTAAAATGTATTTCTACATTGCTTTTACTTTTTAGTGAAACATATCCTTCTTCTGAATATTAATTTTATTGGTTAGAAGTCCTAGGGACACTGGTGCCAGTATGGTTAGTGGATACTAGATACTGCCTGAAATTAGACTGTGGAGACGTAGTATTCCATTGTAGGTTTCTTGGGGAAAGAGTTGGCTATAAAAACCAAACATTGAATATAAAGATAATAATCCATACAGCATAATTGTTTCCATGATAAGCCTATCATCCAGTTTTGTCCTGGGGCACATCTTGTTGACATTCATACACAAGCTAGGGTTTTGAGAGCTGATTGGGTGATGCTTCTGGGGCTCTCATTAATAAAGGTTATGTGTCAATTGGGTTGATTGCAGAAAATTGTGACACAGTAATATATATATAAATTGTAGGATTACACTGCCATGTATTTTCTAGAATGTTCATTGTTTATAATGCATTCCTTTTCTTGCCAGCATCTCCATATACATCTTCTACTCCTAACATTAATTGTGTGAGAAATGCAGATTCAAGAGGCTCTCTCATAAGTACAGACTCTGGAAACAGTCTTCCAGAAAAACACAGTGAAAAAAGCAATTCTCTTGACAAGGTATGGACACATAATTTCGTGCCAGTAATGGGAACAGCCTGTATATTCCTATTGTTATAGAAAACTGTGTTATCTATATATATATAAATCTGTTAGGTTGGTTCAACTGGACAGCAAAACTCCACAACCCCCCAACGAAACTGCACCAAAATTGCCATGCCCCAAGGACAACCCACTCGGTACAAACTAATCCACTCAGAATTGAAAACAACACAACAACACAACGATAAATCGCCAAAACAACTGAGCATGCGCACTGGAGCAAAGCCCCCAGCGCGCGCGCACACATGGCCGAATGGCCAACGCACCCTCCGCACATCCCTCCCTCCCTCGCCCAGCACGAACACGTCGCCGCCCACAAACACACGCACACACGCATCGCAACTTTCCCCCACCCCTTCCGGCCCTGAAACACTCCTTCCCTCCTCCAACGCAGCTCCGGTAAGACACGCCCCCTCSMGGGTAAAAYACRYMCCCTCCCTCCCCYRCAACACAACCAAACGCCGGTAACAAACCCCCCTGCCTTCCACACAAACACACACRCCGCTAACTCACCACCCYTCCCWTCCCTGCAACACACARACACACACKCCGCTAACAYACACMCCCTCCCTYCCCYGCAACACAACCAAACGCCGGTAACAAACCCCCCTCCCTTCCACACAAACACAYAYGCYGCTAACTCAMMACCCCTCCCTTCCCCTTCTTACCTCCTCCTTCTTCTTCCCCAATCTCACCTCCTCCCCCTCCTTCTTCCTCCCCTCCAAGCCCCGCCCTTTCCTGCCCTGTCCCGCCCCCTCAAAATGGCCCAGCCTTGCATGAAGCCTCTCTCGCCTAACCCGCGTTCCTGCCAGCCGGCGGGAGCGCGATCTAGGCGAGACAGGCTTAGTGGAAGGCTAGGCCCTGCACGAAGCCTCTCTCGCCTAAGCCGCGCCGCTGCCGCCCGGCGGGAGCGCGATCTAGGCGAGACAGGCTTAGTGGAAGGCTAGGCCCTGCACGAAACCTCTCTTGCCTAAGCCGCGCCGCTGCCGCCCGCTTCCTTCTTGCCTTTTTGGACGACTCCGGCCAGAGGGAGGGACGACGGAAGAGCAGCAAAAGAGGCGAGTGCTGGGAAGGGAAGGGAAGGGAAGGGAAGGGCGGGGGGGGGGAGAGAGGAGGGGGAGGCTCTACAACACAACGTCTCACAACAGAAGGAGTGACCATCACTCAAACAATTATAAATTTGTCATTTGGGAGATGTAGTTCCTGGGATTTATAGTTCACCTACAATCAAAGAGCATTCTGGACTCCACCAATGATGGAATTGAACCAAACTTGGCACACAGAACTCCCATGACCAACAGAAAATACTGGAAAGGCTTGGAGGGCATTGACCTTGAGTTTGGGAGTTGTAGTTCACCTACATCCAGACAGCACTGTGGACTCAAACAATGATGGATCCGGACCAAACTTAGCATAAGTATTCAATACGCCCAAATATGAACACAGATGAAGTTTGGGGAAAATAGACCTTGACATTTCGGAGTTGTAGTCACTGGGATTCACAGTTCACCTACACTCAAAGAGCATCCTGAACCCCACCAACGATAGAATTGGGACAAACTTGCCACACTGAACCCCCATGACCAACAGAAAATACTTAAGTTAACACACAAGCATAAAGAAGGGGGAGGAAGGAGGGATGCGAGAGAGAGAGAGAGAGAAAGAGGGGAAAGGAAGGAGTGTGTGAGAGAGAAAGAGGGAAAGAGAGCAAGAGAAGAAAGGAAGAGAGAAGAAATGAGGAAGTGAGGCCAGGCAGAGACTTCAAAACTCTTACTATAGGCCACAGCAACGCGTGGCAGGGCATAGCTAGTACCAAATAAAAGCACGATCAATCTGTTTCTTCTACTGTCTTTCTCTTTTACCAGACTAAATAAAATACCCTTTGATGTTATAGGAGGCCACTAACTTGAAACAAATACTTAGTTTGGTAGTGAAAATGCCATTCTTTCAGTTTATAATATAAAATCACTTTTGTGTGCGTATTCATTTGTGTATATTAATTTACTTGGGACACATTAGTGAATTCAAACTACATAAACACCTTCTGTACAATAAAATGATCTTTAGAAGGTAATAGTATGTCTTCTATTGTTTTATGGACACTGTAATCTGTTAATAGTCTAATATGGTAGCATAAACCTAATAACAAAATTCTGTCTATGGTTTTACTCCATAACATAGATCTATTAAGTTTTTTAAAAAACTTTCTTTGGTATTCAGTTACTTCAGTCTTTAGTGTGGTGTATTTTTAGGATTTTGAGATTGGACCTTCTGCCAGTTACAACATGCATGGTTTAATGTTTTCTCCTTGACTCTAACATGCTGCCTTGTGGGCAGAGGGAGAAACTCCTCAGAAGGCATTCTGCTTATGCACTGTGTACTAATGGAGGAGAAGAAGAGCACTACCAGTCATCAAAGAAAAAGCGAGTTACGGTGGACTTCTCACTCCTGACAATTCCATCTCTTCCAGAGAGAGATGTCCATGCTGTTGCGTTTCCTCCATTTCAAGAAGTATCTGTTCTTTGTGCCTTGTTTGGTTAAGTTTCTGAGTGCAGTGCTTACTGATAGTTTTGTTAAATCATTGAAGCAGCTTGTACCACATAATAGCTTAGGGGTTTTTTTGACATGGCATGCTTGAAAGGTAAAGAAACATAACATTTATTAGTGGTCTGCTAAATGGCAAAACTATCATTTAACTTTTCCCCTTCCTGGTAATGGATTGATTTGCAGTGTGGACACTTAATACTGAGATTTCAAACTTTTTCTGTTTTTTCAAAAATACTGGTCTCATTTTGATTGCATGCTTGATCATTGTGTTGATTATTTCTTCTATTTAATGTATTTAATGTAGTGCTTTAGCACTTCTGATGACCTGAAGTATTTTATCCTTAGATGCTAATGAATTTCAGGTGAGGATTTCTAATAAGTTTGGGATGATAGTTTTTAAGGCTTCTTGTTGCACCAAATATGAAACAGGTATTTATTTACAACACAGAAATGGAGTCTCTTGAGTTGATCTCAACTGGGTTGGAACATTTTGCTGCAAATATTATCTTTGTCATAAGTAAAAGGAAAGTATGAAGAGGTGCACTATTCATTTCAGGAAAGTTTTGTAAAAAGGTTTTTAAATGTGACTTCAACATTTACAAAATTTGAACGTAAGCTTTGTTTTCAAATTTGTTAGGGTTTTTGTGTGCAAGCGTTATCCAGTTTTGAGATAAGATTACTCTGTAAGGCATATCATGTGTGCACATCCAATATTCTGATAGCCATGTTTAAACTCATTGAGTTTCCTTTACTTGGCAGTTGTGGTGAAGAATTTTTTTGTGTTGCCTCTTCTTATTGTTTTGATTTGCATTGTTATACTTTATTCTGTACTCATAGACATCTGTAATTCTGTACTGCAATGGTTCCCAGTCTTTGGTCCTCCCATTGTTTTGGACTTCAACTCCCAGAAATCCCAGATTTCTGACCAGCTCTTAGGAATTTGGGGGGTGAAATCCAAATCATCTGGAAACCAAGGGTTGGGAACCACTGCTGTAATGGCTTGAACTGTTTGTGTGTGTGTTTCCCCTCCCAGAGTCTTACTTTTGCTGTTGTAGAATGTAACTTGAAACTTATAATTCTACATGGATTGTTTCTTAAGCATATAAATCACAATCATGACTGTTGTATTCTGCTTGTGGACTTCCCATAAACAACAGTATCAACAAAATGCTGGATTAAAAATGCCTCTTTAGGGATGCATGGAGAATATATGGCTTGTCAGATGTTGTTGACTCTGGTTGCCATTACCCAAAGTCATATTGCCAAATGAATTTAGAGAGCATTACATCTATCCCTTTCCTGCTCCAGATCATAAATGTGGGGACCTATGGCCAACATACCAAATCTTGCCTAACCCCATCCCTTTCAATTTTCCCATGTTCCCTCTGAGATTTGGAGGGTGGGATGTATGGTGAGGTCCATGGATTGAATGCATGGTCTACTCACTGTTCTAAATTAGTGTAATGTGTGGATAATTCAAAACCATGGGAGAAAATGGAAATAATCAGAAAAAATGAAAAATGCAGTATTTTCCAGATTAGTGTGTATAGGAGGATTGCACCCTAATGGGTAAAGTGACCCTGAAAGGATGTGCACCTCAACCTTACCTTGTAATATATTTATTTGCAAAAGGATAAAATAAAACAGTGGAATGTATGCAATAAAGGGGGCATTTGATGTGATTTAAGTTTTGAGTGTCAAAGTGTGTTGGTGTCTTCATGTTGAGATACTAGCATTTGTGTCATATGGGTTAACATGTCCCTCTTAGCCAAGTGTATTCTTGCCTTTTTTTCAGAACCAACAAGCTGGCGCTTCAGGAAGCTCTGTAGTCCGGTGTGACAAGCTTGATCAAAATGAAATCAGGAGTCTATTAATGTGTTTTCTTTATATCTTAAAAAGCATGTCGGAGGGTAAGAGAGTTGTTATTAGATTTGTCCTGGACATTACAGATCCCTGTTTCTGTGATTAATATAATACTGCATATAATCTAACAGTATAACTTGTTAGATTTGTTACTTATTTTTATAGTAGTCTGAAACTTTGAATAATTAAAGCTGTTTTGATTCATGTACTCTTCATAAAAAATTAATTAAATTTTTGTGCTAATGTAACAGGTTATGTGAACTTTATAATTATGTATGTTAAACAAATTTGTTAGTTTGTTTTTCTTTTGTGAAACACGGATCTCTAAATAGTCAATTATGTTATAAATTGGAATGTGTCTAATTCTGCAAATAATCCTGAATGAAGTTTTGTCCCAGCTTATTAGTAAATGAAATATAAAATTTCTCAGAATATCAGTTAAATTTGATTTACGCTATCTGCTTTTTAAAAATTGTGTCAGAATGACTTGAGAAACTGCAAGTCACTTCTGATGTGAGAGAATTGGCAGTTTGCATAGACATTGCCCAGGGACACCCGGATGTGTTACCATCCTGTGGGGGGCTTTCTCATGTCTGTTGCTATCTCCTGTTACCTAGGAGAGCAATTGGCACTAGACTATGCCATAAATATTTATTTCAGTGGCTGCCTGTTGTTAAACCTATAATTTCATGAGAGATTTTGGGATTTTATTGAAGGCTTTTTTATCCTGTACTTTGCAGATGCTTTGTTCACATATTGGAATAAGGCCTCAACGTCAGAACTGATGGATTTTTTTACAATTGCAGAGTAAGTTCATTTAGCTATTTTAATACCTTGCACAATTGTCCCATTTCAAGTGAAACAGAAATCATAGATTATAAAGCTTGCATGAATTTCATAACATTTTCAGTTTAGAAACCTACAGTCCTAGTGATGGAGAAGCCTGCTATCTGCATTCCCGTTAGTGTGCCTTTGAGCCATTTGTGGCTTATGCCAGCCCTAAGGCAAACTTATTACAGGGTCTTCCTATCGAGATTTCTTCAGAGATTGATGCTGTCTTTCTCTGTGGCTGAGTATGACTTGCTCAGAGTCACCTGGTGGGCTTCCATAGCTGAGCAGGAATTCAAACCTTGACTTCCCAGAGTCCTGACCCACTCACTACATCAGGTAAGCTAGGTTATACTGTCTTAGCCACCTTGTGAGGATTAAAAATACTGTATAACTCTTCTAATAACAAATGAAGAGGTTGTCCAAGCAACTGTAGGGCTTGACACATTCTGCCTTCACTTTGCATAGGAGTAGAGATTAGCAGACATATCCTTTCTGGTAAAGAGTAGATCCTGCAAAATGGAACTGCAGTGTAGAGATATGTAGGTAGGGAATGTAAAAGTCCAGTTAGTCAAGTTATTTATTTGATTATATTGCACTTTGATTTGGGGCAACATTGCAAATTGCATGGTTATAGTAATGAAGTCTTCCAAACTACAGTAACTACTTACTTACTCGCTTCTTTGCAGAGTGTGCTTGCATCAGTTTCAATACATGGGAAAACGATACATAGCCAGGTACTGTGTACAACCTAATTGTCTGATTTTATTGTATATTTTTGTCGGCTAATAACCTAGATTTAATAACATGAGAATGCCTACTTAAAGGTAAGTGAGTAAATAGATTTAGTAGTCTTTGACATACGTTATTTGTGGTTGTTGCTGTTCTGATTTTGGGAGTTTACCCCAAGTTGTTTCACTATTTCTCCTTAGAGTGGTGTGATGATTGTTATAAATTATAGAGATTGTGGTGTCAAGCTGTGAAAGGCCACCATAATGATGATCACTTATAAATGCTTCCTATTACACTGAGAACTCTGTTTACATTGAACAAAGATTGCTCATACTGTGGATGTGCTTCTCCCATTTCTCCCAGTTCATTTATTTCAAGACCAACTTGTAGTGGTCATTCACCCAGGGTGTCAAAACAAGCTTACACATATAAATATTATTGATTAGCCATCATATTATATCAGATAAAAGGAATAACCAAATTCAGGATTGATTCCAGATACACCTACAGAAGAAAAGGCTTCATATGTTGGCCTTCACCACCTCTTCCCAAATAGTTTATTGGAAGCAATCCTACTCAGCTTTTTGTTAATTTTGTTTGCATTGCTTACAACGGCAACATTTTTGGAGGGAAAGGAATGAACAACAACATTCTGTCTTATGAACCAACTTGTGTGCATATTCAGAACCCAGCTTAAATGACTGAAACACTTATATTGCTTTTTATTTCAGTATTTTGAAGTGGTCTAAATAGAAAATAGCCATAGAAATATTGGTTTTCTTTCAGCATTTAACTTATAGCCCTTGCTTTTGGTCTTAATTTGTTCAAACTATGAATCAGAATGCAGATGTGGACTTCTCTGTCCAAAAACAAAAAAATAAAAAATTGTGAACTATGGCCTAAATTTATTGGGAAGACAATTGGTGGCAGAATTACTTTTGTCACCAGGATTAGGAAGAGGAATGAACTCCCCACTGCAGCCCCTTGTGTACAAATGCTTGGGAAAATATTTGGAGTTACCATAGTTGTCTATTAGTCCTGTAAGATGGAATGGGGTGGGAATAGGAAGAAAGTCCCATTATGCTGGCACTGTACATCAGTGCAATGTTGGGTGTCAACCATTAAAACCATTCTAGCCTAGCATTTTCCTTGGCATGGTGCAGTTGAGGATTCCATTGTTTGAATCCTCAGCTGCAATCTGAAGTACATTTTAAAACTGATGTTTATGATGATTAGAGCTTAACTTTTAACATGACGATAATGCTTGCGGTAATATTTCTCAGGGTGGCTGACAAAGTGATTTTGAGTATTTACTACTGCATGTTTGTAATCAGACTTATTTTTAAAAGTATTATGATTTATTTGCATTGAACTATAATTCTCATGTTTTATATTTGATATGGTTACAGACGTAGAAATATTTGTAAGAGGAAGAACATTTATTAAACTCTTGTTATTTCACTGATTGTGTCGCATGTGAAAAAACTGAAATGAAAACATTTGCACTCTAATGTTTATTGGATTGTTGGAGACATTCACAAAAATATTAACTTTCCACATTGAGATGCACCCAAGGAATGTGTTAGCAAGAAAGTGCATGCAATCTTTACACACCCTTTTGTTGAGGAAACAGGGATGTGTGTAATTCTGGTATTGGTTTTCATTTCTTGTCAGCTCTGGTGGTGGTACACACTGGGAGGTTAGTCTGTACTGATTGCTAACACAAATCACTTTTCTATTTCCTTCACTTGATTGCTGGCAAGTTTAACAAAGTATATGGCTCTACTCCCTTCCTGTCTTGGTAAGATGGTATCTCGCGTAATTCTGTTCTTAACTGCATGTCTACTTACTAAAGATCCCCTGACCCTTCTTTAACATATCACAAGAACATGTAACACACAAGCTCTTCTTAGTTCCAGCTGAGTTATAATGTTTATATCTGTAGTGCATCTATTGCTCTGAATTAAATATTTCTAGAGCAACTGTGTGCTACTGCTTCCAAGCTTTTGAGGTTAGACTTTAACTTGCTGTGATGCTTGTGGAATGTTGCCTATTGTGTTCCATGTAACACAAAACAACCCAAGGACCATTGTAAAGTAGTTGGCCTTGTTAGTGAAGTCCTTTAGACTTTTGCTATGGTTGGCTGTCTTCAGTGCCTCCAGCTGTATGTAGAAATCCATCTGGCAAGTAAATCATACAGGCCACATCTATTATCTGTTGTGGACCATAGATAATTTCCTTAGTCAACTGGGTGAGTAACTTCACCAACATTGTTAACTAAAGCAGGCAATAGGCTGCATTCTGTTTTCACTGTCTGGAACAGTGTTTTGCTTCCGCTGCTTTACTAACCCCCCTCCTCTCTTGCTGCAGTGCAACATGTCTAACTTTTGCTTCTGTCCCATTTCACTCATCTTGCAGGAACCAAGAGGGGTTGGGACCCATAGTTCATGATCGAAAATCTCAGACATTGCCTGTTTCCCGTAACAGAACAGGGATGATGCATGCCAGATTACAGCAGCTGAGCAGCCTGGATAACTCTCTCACATTTAGCCACAGTAAGTTCCATGACATCCATAACAGCTGAAATCTCATCTCGTACCACAACACCAGAGGCAGGCCGAAACCCACACCAGAGCATGTCATGGACTTTATTTTTCTAGGTCAAGCAACATTGTGTGCACACTGCCAAACTCCAGTAAGAAGAGATGACACAATGTGGACCATGATCAACTACAGCATTGTAATACCTTATAATGAAATTACTCTATGGTAGTATCTGGCAGATTTCAAAGTTGGACTTTTACATTCTGTAATTCTCATCCTGATTCGTTGGTATTCGTTCTCAACTGTCATTGGGGGAAAAATTCATGAAAGTATTTTTTTTCCAGAACCCTTTTAAAATGTTGAAATTTGCCTGGTTGATCATGTGACCATATTTTGGCATAAAGTCAAAGAGAAAACTTATAGAGCCATATAAAAGTAGAATGGAAAAAAATGTAAAGTCCATGATTTAGTTTGGATGTGAAGAAACACACAATAATAAAGTGACTTTTTCTGTGTTTTCAGTGTGAGAAAAATATCAAGTTTACTTGGAATTTCTGTAGACAATGGTAAGACAATGAGGTTAAAGTCAGCTTCTGTTGCAATTGTTTCAAATAAATCTAGTAATTTAACACCAATTCCAGAAATATTTACATTGCATCATTAATATTTCCTGACAAACTGTCAAGTTTATGAAGTAGCGCATGTCACAAACGGCTGAAATATGGGAGTCATAACTAATGTTGATGATATTATTACAAATCTGCCCCACCATATGGCAAAGCATAGCTTAGAATAATGTCAGTGTAGCATAATTGTATTTAGCTTACAGTTATTGCCAAATGGTACTTTACTGGGGTGTGGAAGGGGTTTCAGATGGCACACTTTTCATTTCAACTCCAAAGCTTTCTTTATCTGCTTCCATAGAAACCAGTGACACAGTAGGTTAAACCGCTGAGCTACTGAACTTGCTGACCAAAAGGTTGGTGTATTGTCGAAGGCTTTCATGGCTGGAATCACTGGGTTGTTGTAGGTTTTTTCGGGCTATATGGCCATGTTCTAGAGGCATTTCTCCTAACGTCAGGAGAAATGCCTCTAGAACATGGCCATATAGCCCGAAAAAACCTACAACAACCCAAAAGGTTGGTGGTTCGACTCCGGGGAGCGGGGTGAGCTCCCGCTGTTAGCTCAGCTTCTGCCAACCTAGCAGTAGTTCGACAACATGCAAATGTGAGTAGATCAATAGGTACCATTCCAGCGGGAAGGTAACGGCACTCCATGCAGTCATGCCAGCCACATAACCTTGGAGGTGACTACGGACAACGGCAGCTCTTCAGCTTAGAAATGGAGATAAGCACCAACCCCCAGAGTCAGACACGACTGAACTTAATGTCAGGGGAAAACCTTTACCTTATAGAAATGAAAGAGTCCATTAATTCCTATGGAAGAAGGAAAATTTGGCTTAAGGGATAAAATTGGAGAATGGGTTACTTCCTCAGGGTCATCCCCAGGAGGATGTGCTTGAGCATGCTAACAGAGAAAACTTAGTTTTAGCATCCCTTGTGTCAGTTCAGATTTTTCTGTTTCAGATATTACACACCAAAAGAGCACTTTTGGCTCAATGTTGCCTTAAATGAATAATAAAAGTACCCCTTCATTCCTATATAAACCATCTGCCATTTCAAAAACAGATGTGGCAACAGTTTTCTTTTGTCTGATAGGCATGGAGCCATTTTTCATAATATTCCTTTACCATTTCTGCACTCTTTTTCATACAAATGTTAGTAGATCAATAGGTACCACTCCGGCAGGAAGGTAACGGTGCTCCATGCAATCATGCCACATTAACTTGGAGGCATCTGCGGACAACACCAGTTCTTTGGCTTAGAAAAGGAGATGAGCACCACCCCCCAGAGGTGTACTCAACTAGACTTAATGTCAAGGGGAATCTTATACCTTTACTAGTCAACAATGTGCTGCCACCTATAATTCATTTTTCATTTTGGAGGGATTTAGTACCTTTAAGAAACATACTCTACATATGTAGAAACTAATATCCATACTCTCTTGCTCATATTTCTAGCAATACAAATTTGGATAATGGCATTAGAACAAAATCTATTTTTAAAAAAAATATCCTTGCACTCTCATCCTCAAAGGCAAATATAACCCTCCAAGGAAAGCCATCTGCTCCATCACTGCCTTATTCACTTCTGTGACCTTCCGTCTTTCCTTCTGTGACTGGAGCATTCACAGACTCTGCATGCAGAGATGTGGTGATTTCTCTTCCCTTAAAGCAGGGCTAGTCAAGATCTGGGGGTCCAGAGACCAATTTCCCTCCTTATCCCACATTTTTTCCACCTTTGGAATGCCATTTTTGCCAAGTTTGAAATAAGGCACTGAAGCAGGCGTGTAGTTTGTTTTAGATGAGAGTCAATATTTCTAGAACCTTTCAAAAGAAGCATTTCTTGTGTTTTTGGTTGCTTTTGTGGGTGGATGGCAGACAAAACTGGGTAGAGGCCACATGTGGCCATTGGAGCAACTCAGAAGAAGTTATTTGCTGTCCTTTTGTTTGAGTCTCTGCTCTGGATTAATACCTTTCATTCAATTGGAAGCACAGAGGCTAGTTACCTCTGAAGGTGGGTAATCCTTCATTTTACACTCTTAACAAAATATAGACCTTTTAAGAATGAAGTATGAGAGCATTTTTTATTCACATCATCTATTCAGAGTTTTGGAAATGCTACCCTCAGTCAACTGAGTGTGTGCAATAATATTCATTAGAAAGGTAAGCTAATTTCATGCGTGTCTAAACCACAGTTTGGGGTGCAAATAGAATATTGTACCATACATGGTATGTATTATTTCCTTTAGGTACTTTCGACCTTTTGGAAAATGAGTAGTCATCATGTAATTGAACTTAAATGCAAATAGTATACATATGATCTATTGTAATAGTTTTTTTAAAGGTCTGTCTTCAGTTATAGCGCTTCTGAAAAATTGTACTTGGGTTAGCACTTTTAGTGATATCACGATGTAATTTTGTGAAACCATGTACAACATTCAGAGTAAATGTTGCTTGACATTTCCATAGGTTATGGCCATTCCGAAGCAGATGTTCTTCACCAGTCTTTACTTGAAGCCAATATTGCCACCGAAGTTTGCCTTACAATTCTGGACACCTTATCTTTATTTACAATGGCATTTAAGGTATGTTTTTAAATACGTGTAGCTAAATGTTCATATCAAGTTTATTCTTATACATATAACAAAAATACAATTGTTGCTTGGAAATCCAACATGTCTAGTAATGTCAGGTTGAGAAAGGTTGTCCTAAAGAATTGGAGTATTCTATGACCTTGTTTTAGTTCGTTATACTTCTACATCTTTTTCTTTATATCCACCCAAATATATATATGTCTCTCATTCTTCAAATGCCTAGTTTTTAGAGATTAATAAAGAGTGATTTATTTAAGTTAGAGGGTATTGATTCACTGCAAGGACAACAGTAAATGAATTATTACAGCCTTAAGTAGAAATAGTTTGAGAGCCTCAGAGATATGTAATACACTTTTCTGCACAACTACATTCTTTCTGTTTTCTCAGTACCAGCAGAGAAGAGAAGTGCTGCCTGCAAATTGCATCTGCAAGGCTATATGCCCCTCAGCCCAAATAAAACAAGCCAGACTTAGTTAGGGGTATCAAAGGCCACAACATGATTTTATCGGTTACAGTTGAAATGGGGTTGGCAGCCACACGTGGGTCCTGGATCCCAGTGTCAGCCAACCTGCCTGCTGAGCTGATGAAACTATAAAGGATGAGGCTAATGCAACCTATTCCAATTGCCTTGACCTGACCAGAAATGGTGACCAACAAGAGGGGGCCTTGTGCAAGCCCCTGTCCAACACTGCTCTGGGCTCCTTGCGTAGCCACCCCTGGCACAAGCTTGGAAAAACCTTTCCCAGGCAATAGTGGGAGCGTACAAGTGCGAAACCAGATCCAGGGTGCACGCCAGCTGCCCCTAAGTTGTGACTAATAGTACGACACAAGTAAGATACTGGACAGATACATGTGGGTGGGTGGGTTGAATTGGAAGGCAACTGAGCTGGAGAGAGCAGCTTGACCTGCATAAATACCTGGTAGGCGGACCCTGAGATCTCCCGTCAGATTTGCCCCCTCTCAGTCAATCAAATTGAACCTCTGAGTGGGTGCACAGCGTGCAGAGGCTCCTGAGAGAGGGGGGAGCTGAGCTTGGAGGAGAAAATGGCAGGTAGAGGGTGGCGTCTGGGCCTCAATTGCCCAGCCCAGTATATTTTGCGGATCCGTTCAGGGCACCAGAATGTTCCTTTTCTCTTTCTACCTTGACTAAAAGCTATGTGATACGTTTTCTCCCACTCTAACACGTCTACTCCAACAGATCTTCCTGCTTAATTCAGTATGAAAACAGACTTCCAGCATAATGAATTCTGACAACTTAATTCATTGAAGTGTATCTTAACTACACTGTTAATTGAATAATCTAATGAGTAAGGTGAAATTTGTAGAAAAACCTACCAAATCAATAACTTAACTAATCTGGTAAATTCTTAGGTCTGATAGTAACACCTGGTAACAGTAATTGGGTTTCAACCTGTTCTTGGTGAATTACATTCTTCCTGAAGCTGCAGTTGAACAATACTGTACAACATTTAACAATATTGTTAAAACATACAAAAATCAACCTTAAATGGAACTAAATCAACTTTTAAAACAGCTGCAACATTTAATCAAATAATTCAAGACAGTTTAACAATATTGTATTTATTTTAATTTGTAAGCCACTGTGAGGCCTGTTAGAGGGAAGAGGTCATGGTGTAAATATAATATCAACAATGACAATGATACTTCCCGTGTTGTCCACCTGCTTTTAAACTATTGAGTTATATTGGTTTAGACACAATTCCCTGGGTGTTTTGAACAGAGCTTCTGTCCTAGTAAGCCAAATCTGGATGTTGCTGCGGCACAAAAAATAATAAATATGCCTGACTATATTATTATATGTATTTTAATAGTGTTCTGTTTTATCATGTACCCCACCTTGAGCCAAAAGGAGAGGTGGATAAATTATTATTATTATTATTATTATTATTATTATTATTATTATTATTAGCAGCAGTAGCAGCAGCAATTGGACAGTCTTTGAGATTTAGGGACAACTTAGTTCCAGGCCAATATAATACAATCCCCATAACAATTATACTTATCTCAGATATTTGTTCTTAAATAAATATAAACCTGTATAGAGGATATAAACCTTAATAATTTACTTCATTAACTATTATTTATTAGGAAGGTATCTCCATGTGACAGTATTGTGATGGGCTAGGTTGTTCTATTTACAGATAGCTTCTGTCAAAACATTTTATGAGCATGTCTATAGTATAGCAATGATCCATCTGAATCTGAGTGCAATTTATTCTGCAGTGATAATCCATATGTATATATTTATCTCAATTTTAAGAATCAGCTACTGGCGGACCATGGACATAATCCTCTGATGAAAAAAGTATTCGATGTGTATCTTTGCTTTCTGCAAAAAAATCAGTCAGAAACAGCATTAAAACATGTCTTCAGTGCTTTAAGATCATTCATTTTTAAGGTGAGTCCCTTTAAATTCTTATTTCCTTCAATGTGGGAACGAACCAGCTATATGGATCAGGCCACCGCCTTATTTAGTCCAGCATTCTGTTCACACAGAAGCCAACTAGTTACCTCTGTGAAACTCATAAGCTGGACATGAGTTCAGGAGCACTTTTGTGCTCATGTTCCCCAAATCTAAATGCTGGTTTGGGAGATGACTGAGAACTGCCTTGATTAGTGACCTACAATAGTTTTAGGTAAAGGTAAAGGTTTCCCCTGACATTTTACATACAGTAAACTTTTCTAGACCACCTTTTTACATACAGTAAACTTTCCTAGACTTACAAATTTTTTCATGGGAAAATGGATACAGCCCCTCGATCATATTAGTATTTTCTAGGCAGTGTGCTGCTGTTTCTTGGTGGTGATTGTTCTTGTTCTTTGATTTATGCTCAGATGTAAAGAGATGTAAAGTATTATCTTTTCTCCCCAGGTAGCCAATATCCAGATTTAGTTACAGGTACCGAAGCTGCATAAATGTCAGGGATTGTGTTCAAATAACACAAATGACACAAATATCCGAGAGACTCAGTAGACATAGAAAAAGGATACAGAAAATCAATTCCTTTTGAATTTTTAAAAATATTTTTTATTTTACTTGTTTTATGTGATCATATTATCCTATCTTTCAAAAGAAAGTGTGAATACAGTGAATATTTTTGTGTGTTCTACAGTTTCCCTCTACATTTTATGAAGGAAGAGCTGACATGTGTTCTGCACTCTGCTATGAAATTTTGAAATGCTGCAATTCCAAATTGAGTTCAATTCGAACAGAAGCTTCACAGCTCCTTTATTTCTTGATGCGAAATAATTTTGATTACACAGGAAAGAGATCATTTGTAAGAACACACCTTCAGGTAAGTACATTTCAATTTTTAACTTGTGGATTTTAGAAGAGAAAATAAACCTTTCTGCTAACTTGCCTTCTCTTTTTGTCAATTAAATCATTCTGAACATATTAGCTATCAAAAAACTTTTTATGGCACAGAATTTCAAAGTTCATGTTTAATTCTAGTGTATATTGAATTATGATCTTGATGTAATCTTTACCTGAATTTGTGTTTTCTGTTTTTTACAAGGTTATTATCTCTGTGAGTCAGTTGATTGCAGATGTTGTTGGAATTGGAGGAACCAGATTTCAGCAGTCTCTTTCCATCATAAACAACTGTGCCAACAGCGACAGGCTTACTAAGGTTTGTAATAACACTTTCTTTGATAAAGAAGATAGAAATCTGATGCCTGGGGTTGGTGCAGAAGGCTCAACAACCACCACTTTCGAGATAAATTATCACAAAATTATAGTTCTATACAAGCCCTCGGTGGCACAGTGGATTAAACCGCTGAGCTGCTGAACTTGCTGACTGAAAAGTCGGAGGTTCAAATCCAGGGAGCGGAGTGAGCTCCCGCTTTTAGCCCCAGCTTCTGCCAAACTAGCAGTTCTAAAACATTCAAATGTGAGTAGATCAATAGGTACTGCTTCTGCAGGAAGGTAATGGCACCCCATACAGTCATGCGGCTACATAACTTTGGAAGCGTTTACAGACAACGCCAGTTTTCCAGCTTAGAAATGGAGATGAGCACCACCCCCAACAGTCAGACACGACTAGACTTAATGTCAAGGGGAAACCTTTACCTTACAAGTAAGGAGAAATATGTACTAAACAGCATCTAGGATGAGAAATACAAAAGTTTCTGGAAAGAAATTCTGATAATAAGATTTGACATTTTCAGAACAGATATCTAAGTGTGGTTATTCTCAGAGCTTGGTTAAAAGGGGAACCAGCACCACTTTGGTGCTAGGGGAACCCCAGAAGGGCCCAGTCCTTCTATAGCTGTTCAACAGGTTTTGGCAATAAATAGCCCCAGGTCCCACCCTGACCATTAGGCAGGACCCTGCTTGCACTTGACCCACTCCCCTTGTTTTAGTTTACTTTGTTGGACTAGCCCAGCCCTCTCATAGTTGTCTAGGCCCACTTGGAAATTCTGGCCATTGGTAGCTGGATTTTTGCCCGATGGAAATTTGTACTGGAACTGGCTTTTAACTTTAAATATGTATGACTGTTTTATAGTATTATGTCTATGTTTTATAATGGTTGTTCTGTATGTTTTTGTGTTGGTAATTGAATCCTGGAAACTGCCCTGAGTCCCCTCGGGAAGATAGAGCGGTATACAAAATAGGTTTATTACTATTATTATTCGCTTGCCATTTGGGTATAATGATCTCGCCTTTCTGTATATCTCTTTGCCCTCTGCAATTGTGAGAGCTGCCCTCTTCTTGCACTTCAACATGTACTACTGTCTGACTGAGTAAAAAGGGGGGGGGGGGTTGGTCTTTTGTTCAGGCACTAGTAGATTGAATCAGAATAATAGTTAACCACAGTTCCTCTTTTGCACTTCTTGTTTATTCTTGAAAGAAGATTTGAGCATCAAGATTTCCACTGGTTGTGCACAATTTATTTTCTCATTAATTTTTGTGTCCTGTGTGCTAATCCTATGGATCATTGCGATTTTCCACACTACAGCACACTACATTCCCTTCTGATGTAAAGGATTTGACCAAACGCATACGTACGGTTCTAATGGCTACAGCACAAATGAAGGAGCACGAGAATGATCCAGAAATGCTTGTAGATCTTCAGTACAGTTTAGCAAAGTCTTATGCCAGCACACCTGAACTCAGAAAGACGTGGTTGGATAGCATGGCAAGAATTCATGTTAAAAATGGAGATCTTTCAGAGGTAAACAATGCAAAAAAATCCCCTGTTCATAAATCCCTTTATGAGTGTATGCTACAGTTTTAGAAACCGTTCAAAAATTCAGTAATTTATTTCAAGACAGAAAATGGTAATAATTAATGTCACTATGTATGTGTGTGCCTTCCAGTTGTCTGTCAGCTTATGATGACCTCATGAATTTTGTGAAGAAATACTCAGATGTGCTTTGCCAGCTCCTTCCTCTGAAATATTCTGACTTCAGCAGCTGGTATTCGTGGGTGGCCTCCCATCCACGTACTAAACATGGCTGAGCCTGCTTAGCTTTCAAGATCAGATGAGATTCGTATCTTTAGGCTATTAACAACCTCACTGAGTCCAGGTAGAAATTATCAAAAGGAAGTTATCTTTCGCCATGGCCTGTTTCCTTTGGCCACTTTTCAATTTGTTAATTATATTCTGAGGCTGTAATGAGGTTTTTAATGTGGTAGTGAATTGTTTTATTTAGAATGTCCTTCCTGCTTAGATATCTTCTAAGCTGGAACTATCTTATCATAGGTATTGAAAAATTCATTCCTATGTTGCATATGTTCCTATGTGCTTTTCTGCTCCACATCTTTTTTCTTCTTCCACTTCCTCTTCCTTGCCATTACTGTCCTTGGACCCATTTGCCCATGCTGCTTTGTAATCTACCTAAATTAATTGAAATTTCAATGTTCTTACTGAAGGTATGACATCATGGAGCTCAGCTAAATTATGTATCACGTATCACATGGTTTGCTAATGAAATTGTATAGTGTGATGTGGACAAATGAGAGGAGTGGATATTGTGTATTGAAGAAGAGGCAGCAATTAGAAAATTGCTGTACTTCTCCATCTTCTAGGTTTCACTTTAACTATTTGCAGAATGTAGCTGTGTCACTGTAAAATATCTGTGGTAATGTTGTCTTTGTTCATATTTTAGGCAGCTATGTGTTATGTCCATGTAACAGCTTTAGTGGCAGAGTATCTTCTTCGAAAAGGTATACATCACACTCTTACTCCTTTGTTATATGCAGACATCATAGTTATAAGCTCTTCCCTTATTTCACTAGTTATTAAAATATATTCAGAAATGAGGTGGAAATATTTGGCCATTTAGAATAAGGAAAGAAAAGCATCATCTTTAGTCTGATTTGATTGTAATGCATTATTCATTGCAAAATATTACTATGTGACAGAATCAGGAAGGCTGTTCAGGACTGTTGTTTTGGCTCTGCGATTTAGACAGGTTGCCTGTGCATATCTTGAATCACATTTGTATGTAAAATATGTGCCACATCTGTAGATCAGACTATATGTGCCACATCTGTAGATCAGCCTATCAAACTACAGAAAACGTGGCTTAATGTATTTACTAGTTATTGAATGTGTACCTCACCTTTCTCCTGAGCTTAGATTCAGCGAAACAGGAAGTATGTCCAAACGTGCAAGGTCAATACAGACCTTGCACGGAAATAATTGTTTCAAACTAGAGCCTGTTACCCCATGATATGTTGGCTATTTTTCCAAAAGTTTGTCCTATATGGTACTACCGTAATAGTTATCAGACTTTTTTAACCCTATGAGAGACTTTCTCCATCTAGTTATTAGATTTCCTAAGACTGACCTGTGCATTTTTCTCTTATGTAAATAGGAATGTTTAAACAAGGTTGTATAAGCTTCAGAGTAATTACTCCAAATATAGATGAGGAGGCGTCAATGATGGAAGATGTGGGAATGCAGGATGTTCACTTCAATGAAGTATGTATATTTAGCTTATAATTGCATTTGTGAATTTTTTTCTTACAAGCTTATTTTCTGTTATTTTTAAAACATTGTCTTGGGTATCTGCAGAACATCTTTTAAAAAGATGCTGAAGTCTTTTAAAAAAGATATGCTGGAGATGCCAACTGGATAGGGAAAAGTTTTAGGCAAAGGCATTATATAACTCCTTATGTGTCATTCAGTCCATTGCAAGATGAAAATCTAATTACTAGCTGATTTGATAGAAAGTGACATTATTGGTGGGGAAGAGAAGGCTCTTGTATTATCATTGAAGCTTCCTATTATTTGTCATTGTTTATTCAAATGGACAGTTTGTGGTTCATAGGGATGGAGGGGGCAGGTTAAAATGGTATAAGGTTTAAAAAGGAACAAGGAAGAGTCTTAGCTTACGACCGAACAAACGTCTTAGCATTTTCAAAATGATGGTAAATAGATGAAATTATAAGGGGGGAATTAAAGAAAAGTGAAAGAAGGCAAAGGAGGATTTCAAAAATGTAATGGCAAAGGAGGATTTCAAAAATGCATGCAGCTGTTTCCTTCTCTCCCAAACTCAAAACAAGAAGAAGAGGGGAGGAGGTGGAATAAAATGGTTGGAATTTTTCATCTTTTTTCCGCCACACCCAATGTTTTACTTCACTGACATTTCTTGCACATTCTTTTCCATTTGTATTTCTGACTCAAAGGGTTTATCTTCTTGTAATAATAATCTGAACTCTGGACCCTGTTAAAGTTATACATAAGTCCTGGATATAAAGAGGGCAAGATCAAGTGTGGTTATAAATTGATAAAAAATGCACTTTTGTCCTGTGAGTTATCTGTTAAACTGATACATATAATAACTGTGATTCTGTTACATGTTTCTAAATAAGTGACGTACTAATAAAGTTTGTACTGTCCATTCTTTCTGTTACTTAAAATTTAGTGAAAATTTTACAGAATTCCTTAATTTTGTTAATTAGCCTTGATATGTATCCCAAAATTCATAATTATCTATGTTAGAATATTTACATTTGGTACTGTTTTGTGTGCATGCACACGCACACGCACACACACACAACACCATATATGTGAACATATTCCACTAATTTTTTTTACAAAGCATGTGTTCTTTCTGCTGACTGGTTTAATACAGATGATGATGATGATGATTATTATTATTATTATTATTTCGTTATATCCTGCTTTATCTCCCCAAAAGGGACTCAGAGCAGCTTGACATAAAAGCATTGGTATCCAATTTAAAATATACAAATATACAAACATTAAAACAGAATTAAACACAAATAGCATTTAAAAAATCTGTTAAAATCCACCAAAACATATTCAAACTTAAAAACCATAGCACCCCGGACTAGATCTTAAACACCATCTTTATAAAAGGCGAATGAAAAGGTTTTAGCCTGCTGCTAGAAGGACAGCAGGGAAGGGCCTATTCTGGCTTCCCTGGGCAGGAAGTTCTGGAGTTGAGGGGCAGCCACTGAGAAGGAAGGCGTGCTGTTTCATTTCCGCCAACTGGGCTTGAGATGGAGGTGGGATTGAGAGAAGGGCCTCTCCTGAGGATCTCAGGGCAGGTTCATACAAGGGGATACAGTCAGCCAAATAGCCTGGACCTGAACCGTCTAGGGCTTTAACGGTCATAACCAACACTTTGAATTGTGCCTGGAAACAGACTGACAGCCAATGGAGCTGCTTCATTCTTGGGGGGGGGGGGTCTGCTCCTTGTAGCCAACCCCACTTAGCAACAGTTAGCAATATTAGTATATCCCATTATACTGTTTGAGGAATTAATCATTTTTCATTCCTTAAAAAATAATAAAACTGGTTTGTTCAACATTAAAGCTCTACTCCAATTAAAAGTGTACCATCCCCCCCCCCTTTTTTTCTATAACTAGGATGTACTTATGGAATTGCTAGAACAATGTGCAGATGGACTGTGGAAAGCTGAACGTTATGAACTGATTGCCGACATCTATAAACTTATCATTCCTATTTATGAAAAACGGAGAGATTTTGAGGTATTTACTATCAGTCTGAAACTGTAATTATTTTGCTTCATTGCAAGACAGTTGTGTGTTACATTAAATTATGTAACAGTGAACAGTTGTGTGTTACATAAAATTGTGTAACTGTTAGGCCCAATCAAATTGGAGCAGATCACAGGTAAATCCTGCTGAAAGTCATGAGATTTCAGTTGGTTCTGATTTAATTTGTTTCATTGGATCTTAATCTAAATCACATGTGTTATACTCAAAGCCCCCAGGTTAAATTCAACTCACCATGTCATTTTATGTGGCCCTGCAGATGCTGGACTACAACTCCTATATTCCTTCTTATCATTATGATAGCCATGTATAAATATGTGAGAAGAAGCCACAGGGAGGAGGGAGCAAGCTTGTTTTCTGCTTCCTTGGAGACAAGGATGCGGAACAATGGCTTCAAACTACAAGAAAGGAGATTCCATCTGAACATGAGGAAGAGCTTCCTGACTGTAAGAGCCGTTCAGCAGTGGAACTCTCTGCCCCAGAGTGTGGTGGAGGCTCCTTCTTTGGAAGCTTTTAAACAGAGGCTGGATGGCCATCTGTCAGGGGTGATTTGAATGCAATATTCCTGCTTCTTGGCAGGGGGTTGGACTGGATGGCCCATGAGGTCTCTTCTAACTCTTTGATTCTATGATTGGACATCATGATTAGAGCTGATAGGAATTGTGATACAGTAACATCTGGAAGGCCGAAGTTTGTTCAATTTAGTCAGGATAGTGGGGTTTGGATTAAGATACAAGTCTTGTGGATATGATGTCTGACTGTACAATGCCTTTTATTCTTTCCCCAACCTCAGAGCCACAAGTGCTGTTGGGTTGCAATTGCCTCCATCCTCAGTCTACATGACAAATAATCAAAAGTGATGAGAGATGTCATTCAATAACATCTGGGAACCCAAACTGGGTAAAAACTAAAGAGCACCAACCACTATGTAAAAAAATATATAGTTGGCCCTCTGTCTCCACAGATTCTGCATCCATGGATTCAATGGCCATTGAAGGCCACCATAAGGCTGATTTGGCCCTCCCTGAAATGACCTCCCTGATCCAAATAGTAGAGTTTTCCTAACATTAGCCCAACAGCCTTTACAAACTATGATCATCATTCAGTGGCTCATCTGTACTACCAATACACCAGAGTAGAATAAATTACTATTATTAAATGCAAATGGAAATGTAACTTCACCTAGCTCTGTAGTGATACAAATGCTTGTTCATGTTTTGGAAAGGGTTGTTTTTGAATCTGTTTTGTGCTAATTAAAAAGTAATAAATAACAAGGGTTGCCAATTCACAAGATACATGTTTTGCCCTTCCTTTTAGAGGCTGGCTCATCTCTATGACACATTACATCGGGCCTACAGCAAAGTCACAGAAGTAATGCATACAGGAAAGAGACTGCTAGGAACCTATTTCAGAGTTGCGTTTTTTGGCCAGGTGAGAATTGTTCCTTTTTTCTTTTCTCAGTTTTCTAACTTGATGATGTATCCTTTCTTTAAAAACATTCTTTTTTTATCTATGTTGTATAATTGTAATTTCATTGCTGTATTGTGAATAGGAAATCTCTACATTAGTAAACACTCTGCTTTTTTCTTTTTTCTTTACTATTACTTTCTTAAGGCAGCGGTAAGTTTTCCAGTTAATGACCATTTACAGCTATTTTTTTTAAAACTACTTTTGGTGAGTTAGATGTCTGTTATTTTTTTTTCAATCTACAAAAAAAAAATCTGTTCTACTTGCAGACAAAGCCACACGGCTGCTGGTACTGCATGCTTAATGCAACACAACAAGTTTGTTTTTTTCTGGTGTTATATTTTAAGCAAACAGTGTATGTGTGTGCATGTTGTATTCAGTGTAGGAAAATCAGTTGTAGATTTAACTGGATTTTGATTATCTATATATAGGACATAGAACTGTACACTGCAAAAAATATAACATTCGACTTATTCTGTTGTTTCTTATGACCTTAGCAATACCAGTTTACAGACAGTGAAACAGATGTGGAGGTAATTACAGAAACTGCTTTCCAAAGCAAGCAATGCAGTAGTAATTACTGCATATAAGCTTAATTTGGTGTGGGGTTTTTTTGTCAGTCTAGTATGCGTTTTATAGTGCTATGTTGTGTTCTTTGCACTACATTGTCCATTTCATCTTGAAATAGCAATATTTATTTTGCCGACTTAAACCATTAACTCATATCTGGTTTTCTATATGAAAGCAGACACCTGTTTCACTTTCCATTGAATCTGCTTTTATTCTGCTCTTTATTCAAAGGAAACAAGTCAGCTTTGGTGCAGACACTGAGAAGTGTAAAATTATTTACAGACATTAAATAGAATTGAAATGAGATGATTCTAGATCAAATTGGGCTTGCACGCTGATATTACCTTTGGAGAAGATGAGTATACTGGCATGTGAAATAGGCATATGAGCAATCAATATGAAAAAAGAACTTTGCTCAAAACATTAATGTTGACATATCACATGATTTGTAGCATTCCCTTTTATAACCTTTTATGTTTTCATTTACAATCCACCCATATTGTAATAGATGTTTTACTCTCCTTGATACTTTAATGACACTTTATTTTTACTTCACTCTATCCTTTAACCTTGTCTTAAGTATTAATTATTTATCTGATCAGAATGCTGTTTTATTTCCTCTAAAGGGATTCTTTGAAGATGAAGATGGAAAGGAATATATTTACAAAGAGCCTAAACTCACACCTCTTTCAGAGATTTCTCAGAGACTGCAAAAATTATATTCAGATAAATTTGGATCTGAAAATGTCAGAATGATCCAAGATTCTGGCAAAGTAAGACCTATATCTATGTAAACAGATACAATAATAGATGGCGATATGGCATTTCTTGATGCAATCTATATAATGATTAAAAATCAGTATGAACAAATTCATTCTATTACTTCCGATTTAAAAATGTATTCAAAATATTATAAAATGGAGAAACTTGGGATTGGTATGTGCTCAATCTGATTTTTCCCCCTCTACCTTAACAGCACTTACAGTAAAATGTAGTTCAATATATTATTGTCCAGTTGAGTAAATAGCAGAGCAAACAAGTCAATGATATATGAATGAAGTAAAAAGGACCTTGAGAATATTCAATACTAATTTTCATATTGCGATCAGAATGAGAATTTAAGGTTTTATTATTCACCATGTATGGTTATACACCAGTGGTTCCCAACCTTTTTTTGACCAGGGACCACTTGACTGGGGACCACTTTCCAACATAAGTAGCAAAAGGTTACAGCTCTAGTTTCTTATACAGAACATATGCCATCCAGTAGTAGCCATCTGCTCGCCCACAGAAAACCATATTTAATAATCTAGAGCTGATGTGGTCTATCCAATGCATTTTTCTTGATGTATTGTTGAAGGCTTTCATGACTGGAATCACTAGGTTCTTGTGGGTTTTTTCGGGCTATAGGGCCATGTTCTAGAGGCATTTTTCCTAACGTTTCGCCTGCATATATGGCAAGCATCCTCAGAGGTAGTTTTTCTTGACATCCCTGTTGCCTTGGCACTATAAGAGAGTTTAGCAAGACCAGTCATTCTCATTGCAACAGTGTAGCAACGGTGAGGCTGTGGACCTTATTTTAGTTCTTGGGGACCACTGGAGGTTCAGGGACCACAGGTTAGGAACCACCGTTATACACCTTTAAATAACTGTTCGTATTGATGATTGAGTTTCCATTTTCTCACATTTGTTTAAGGTAAATCCTAAGGATTTGGATTCAAAATATGCCTATATTCAAGTTACGCATGTAGTTCCATACTTTGAGGAGAAGGAACTGCAGGAGAGAAAGACGGAGTTTGAAAGAAATCATAACATCCGTCGCTTTATGTTTGAGATGCCTTTTACTCAACTGGGGAAAAGACGAGGTGGGGTGGAAGAGCAGTGTAAACGGCGCACTATTCTTACAGGTACTAAGCCAAAAATCACATTTCTTCTAGGGCTTTCTTCTTTCCATAGAGCTCTTCATTTGGAAGTTCTCAAGAAACGGTATTATTACCTGTTGCATGTGTCATTTCATTTAAAACTCTCATAGTAATCTCATCTCTATTTATGGCTGTAGTTTTAATAAATCATGGATATGTGTTCATGATTCTGTTTGAAAGGAAAACGACATGTACTATATATATTCATCTATAAGTAAGCCTCATATATAAATCAATGGCAGGTTTGGGGACCAAAAGTGTAGATCTGACCAGTGGATAAGGGCTATTCTTGGGAGAGGGGAAAGCACCCCCTGGCCACTGCTGCTTTTGCCATTTTCCCATCCAGGCATTCCAGAGGCCTTTGGTCACTCTAGTCAGGGAAGGGGATGGTTCCCTTTTGTGACAAAAGTTAAGGTACATTATTACCACTTATATATATAAGAAGGACAATCCTGTTCTCTGAGTAGATTGGTGAAAGTCGAGATCTTGCTCCATGCTTGGAGACTCTAAAAGAAGCATGAATCCCTCTACGTTCTCAGTGTGCCTTTGAAGGGAAGCACCAAAGAGGTACAAACACCATTCTCCCCCCAGCATTCAACTAGATCAACAGCACCCTAGTGGAACAACTAAAGGGTTTCAGTGCTTATATAAACACACCCTGTCTGGAAATTGGGCTGGTATTGGTTGCAGATCTCCAATGCGAGATTTTTGTTATGAAACCTCACCACTGTTACTACGTTCAGGGCCGTGAAGATGAACCTCCACCTCAGCCTTGGGATTCCTGCCTTGTATTTGGCTCCATCTTTTTATTTTTTAATCCAGATCATTCACTCCCACAATACGATGTTACCACCATTGTGCTTTACTCTGATGTTGTTGATCTCAAGGCAAATGAACATAGTTGGCTTTGTACCACACATACATTTTTGCACTAAATTCAAACATTCGGTTTTGGCTTCTTTTGATGAGTAAATGTTTTCTCACAGTTCAGCTCTATCTCCTGCATATCTTCTTGCAAATTCCAAATGAACTTGACGAGGATATCTTTTAGCAATGGCTATCTTATCACCATTCCATTGGAGCTGTGTTGGCACTGGCTGAACTGCTGACCTGAAGCCCGGCGGTTCAAATCTGCAAGACAGCTCCTGTCTCGTCAGCCCCAGCTTCCCATGAAGGGACATGAGAGAAGCCTCCCATGAGATGGTAACACATCTGGGCGCCCCCTGGGCAACGTCCTTGCAGATGGCCAATTCTCTCACACCAGATGAGACTTGCAGTATATTCTCAAGTTTATTTATTTATTTACAACATTTATATGCCACCCTTCTCATCCTGAAGGGGACTCAAGGAGCAGCTTACAAGTCATATCTACATAAAACATACTATATTAAGTTAATTCTGACATGATAAAAAAAATCACCATTCTGCCATAAAGCCCAGATTTATGAAGCATAGACAATTTCTCTTATCTGAGCTATGGTTTTCTTCAGAGGTACCATTGGCCCTTTCATATTTCTTTGTATTTTATTTGCTAGACAAAATAACCACATAGCTTCCAAAGGATTGATCTACTAAAGCTGCTGCTTTATAGGTTGAATCCTATATTACATAGCAAGGTTAGCCCCCCTCCCCCGAGTAACTGTTTCTCAATTTTATAAAATTAAGTGTTTGTATTCAACTACATAACCAGATTGTAACTCAAAATGGTTTTCTTTCTCCAGCTATACATTGTTTCCCCTATGTAAAAAAACGGATTCCCATAATGTATCAGCACCATATAGATTTAAACCCGATTGAAGTAGCTATTGATGAAATGAGTAAGAAGGTCGCAGAGCTCCGGCAGCTTTGTTCATCAGCAGAAGTGGACATGATCAAACTTCAATTAAAGCTACAGGGTAGTGTTAGTGTACAGGTAAGATATTTACATTGGTGTTGACAGATGCGTCCTTTACATTATTTTTTATAAACTAGGATTTAAAAAAAACTTGCATGGTGTGGATTGAGGACTTTAATTGTGGTTATTAAAAATGCACTATATCCAAAGGAACCTTTGTATGTCCAGGATTAAGTATATTTCACCCAGCACTAGAAAATGCAAGATGAAATAAAATTACCTGTATTTACTTGAGTCTAATGCACCTCGATTTTCAGAATCCTGAAACCAAAAATAAAATAAAAATGGTGGTGAATGTAATGTGCAGCGTTATGTGCTCTCTTTGTAATATGGCCAAAAAGGTGTACATTACAGTTTCTTGCTGTATGCTTAGATTAAACAAAAAACAAACCAGGAGTGTTGAAATACCAAAGTTTCCAATGATGGAAAGGAAAACCTGGCTCAATGTTATGAAATCATGTAGTTTTACAAGGTCTTGAGTTTTCTCTGCCGAAATAAAAACTCTGCCAAACTACAAAGTCGAGGATTGCATAGCATTGAGCCATGGCAATTACATTTGAGGGGACATCAAAGAGTAGCTGCAGGTGCCTTTTAAGCAGCTTCCCTTTTTGCTTTGGCTCAGTACTAAGATTACTGTATTACACAAATCTAATTTTGGTGAAGTAATTTCTTCAAAAATAATGAGCATTAGATTCGAGTAAATATGGTATATAAAATAGAATGCAATGTACATTTCTTCTCTTGAGGGGGGTATTTCTTGCTTTCCTCCCAATGGAAGAACAGCCCGAAACATTTTTTTCTGCATATATTACCTTGACTAATGGTGTATGTACATTATAGAAATATTGCAGATTGAAACTACTTTAACAGCTATGGCTCAGTGTTGTGAACTCATGGGAGTTGGAGTTTTACAAGGTCTTTAGCTTTCCCTGCCAAAGAATACTGTTGTCTCGCCAAACTACGAATCCCAGGATCCCATCGCATTGAGTCATGGCAGTTAAAGAGGTGTCAAACAGCATTAATTATCCTTAGGACAAATAAGTAATTCAGTAGCAAAAGTCAATTTGGTCAGACTGCATGACAGTTGGAGAAAACCTGGGAACACTTTTAGTCAGTGGTGCTGCGTAATGCCTACTTTGCTGCACCCTGGAGAACTTCTCCCTAATTTTAGAATTATGTATTTTGCTCATACATAGCCAGGAATATTCAGTGAGTATGTGAAATTAAGTTTAAGAACTAGATCCAGCTCTCCACTGATTTGACTGTCCATGAAGACTTCTTTGTTTTTTCATCTTAGTCCATAGCTTGAAGTCCTTTGATTTCTGTCTGCATTTGGAGAAAGACCTGGAAGGGACCTTATAAGTCTGGGGTGTCAAACTCATTTTCATTGAGGGCCACATCAACCGTACAGTTCCCTTCAAAGGACCATTGAATCCATGGATGGAAAATTTGGGGATACAGAGGGCCAAATATAACTTTTTTATCAAAGTGATCAGTCCTCTTCAGATTTTACCCAATTTGGAGCTCCAGATGTTACTGAATGACAACTTCCACCAATTTTGATTATTCGCCATGTGGACTGGGGATAATGAGAATTGCAACCCAACAGCATTTGTGACTCTTGGGTTGGGGAAAGGTTAAATGACATTTTAAAGTCAGATATCATACCCACAAGCCTTGTATCCCACTCTCCTGACTAAACAGAACAAACTGCAACCTTCCAGATGTTACTATATTGCGGCTCCCATCAGCTCCAGCCATGATGTCTAATGATGAGGAATACAGGAGTTATAATACAGTATCTGGAGGGCCACATAAAATGACATGGCAGACCAGATTTGCCCTGCAGGCCTTGAGTTTGATATATGTACCATTGACCCCATTCTTTGCACAGTGGAGGAATTGCAGTTAGAATATCCTCAGGAGATGATTTAGACTTAGAGGCATATAGAGAGAGAAGCTCTACTTTCCCTCTATATGTGATGTAAATAAGACTAATTTAGTTTTTGACCACACCCATATCAGGAAATTTTGCTTTTATGTTACTAATTTGATGTTACACTACAGAAATTAAGATCTTCCAGGGTGGCCCTGCTCTCAGTCCCGCCATCATCACAGGTGAGATTGGTGGGGCCCTCGGCTATGGAAATGACTCCCTAGTGAGATTAGATCAGCCCCCTCCCTCCTGTCCTTCAGAAAGATGGTTAAACCTTGGCAGTGGGACCAAGCCTTTGGTACAGTGCAATAATGTAACAATAGGAAACTTTACCCTGCTCTGGTATGACTGATACCCTCTGGTATGATTGATCCGAGATGGTTTAAACCAGGGGTCCTCAAACTAAGGCCTGGGGGCCGAATATGGCCCTCCAAGGTCATTTACCCAGCCCTCACTCAGGGTCAACCTAAGTCTGAAACAACTTGAAAGCACACAATAACAACAATCCTATCTAATCAGCCAAAAGCAGCCCCACACTTCCCACTGAAATACGAATAAGTTTATATTTGTTAAAATTGTTCTTCATTTTAATTATTGTATTGTTTTAAAGTGTTTTCTGCACTACAAATAAGATATGTGCAGTGTGCATAGGAATTAATTCTTCTTTTTTTTTCCAAATTATAATCCGGCCCTCTGTTTAAAGGGATTGTGACCTGGCCTTCTGTTTAAAAAGTTTGAGGACCCCTGGTTTAAACAATTGATTTTAAAGTGGAGATAATTGATTTTAGTGTTTATGTATATTTATAGTTTATTTTATGTTCTGGCATTGAATGTTTGCCATATATATGTTTTGTTCCTCCCCAAATCCCTCTCGGGGAGAGAAGGGCGGAATATTAATGTTTTAAATAAATTAATAATTTTTTTTCAAAGGTTAATGCTGGACCGTTAGCATATGCCAGGGTTTTCTTGGACGACACAAATACCAAAAGGTATCCAGACAATAAAGTGAAGTTACTGAAGGAAGTGTTCAGGTAAATTATCAGAAAATCCTATCATTTTACGTTGTAGCTTCCTTACTTCAGAATAATTTTTAGATCATTTGTTTTGCTTAATTATACTTCCAGACAATTTGTTGAAGCTTGTGGGCAGGCTCTAGAAGTAAATGAGCGGCTAATAAAAGAAGATCAGATAGAATATCAAGAAGAAATGAAGGCTAACTACAGAGAAATGACAAAAGAACTTTCTGAAATTATGCATGAACAAGTATGTACTAAATCTTACGTATTTCATTTAAGGTGAAGGAAAATTCTATACTGTTGAAGTATTTAATTCAAAAAAACAAACAAATTGAATGTATACTTTATATATGTTTTTCTCAATTGTCCATCAGGGTACTTTTTTTTACTATTATTTATATGTTGCTGCTTTAATTGCTTTTTGGTTTCTTGGGGGAATATCTGTTCTACTTTCCATAAAGAAAAAGATCCCAGATGGGAATCTGTGTGTGTGTTTGTGTATTTTTATACATAATGTACCAGAAACCTAATACTGGGTAGCAACTTTCAAACTTTCAGTAGAGGGAGCTCATTTTACTGAAATATCTAAGCTTACTTTTTGTGTTTTTGAATATATAAATGTAGTTGAATGGCCTATTATGCAAATATTGAAATGTCCATTGTGCTTTCTTAAATACACATTGAAAAGATAAAGCAGATAAACCAATTTTTCTGTTAGAAACATCTTTATATATTTTGTAGAAATCTTAATGGGCATCTTTCTTTCTTCTTCCCCCCCTTACGCTGCTTTGAAAATGTGATCAGCTGGGATGGTAATATTTTTTAGTTTTTCTCTTTCTAGTTTTGTGTTGCCTTTCCTTCAGAGGCACAAGATGAAATGTTTAACTTTTTTATGTTTCATAGACAGGCTTGTTCTCTTTCTTTTGGTCTAATAAATTAATTGGTTTCTTAATCTGCTCCTGCATATCATGCTAAACCATGAAAATAAAGAATCTGGAGTGAGCGGCTTCCATTACAAAATTACCCTCCTGCATAACATGTTCAACAGGGAGGAGTTTGGAAATTTCCTAGTCGACTTTGAGTTAATTGCAGATAACTATTTTCTGGATCAAAAGTTGTTAATAACATGAATGGTTGGTTTAAAAAACCATAGCTTTGCATTGGAATATTTGGAATGATGCAGCATTCATTCGAGTCTCAATTATTACAGTTGTTATTTGTCTGGCTAAAACTGCCACGCTCCTTTCTGTTACGTGGGAGGGAGAGCTCATAAACTCAAGGCTTGTTTTTCCTGTACATGCACATTACATAAACCACAGTTTAGCATGAGTGGCAAACACAGCTTGCTTATTATAGTATGGAGGTGAAGGAGCTTAGAAGTACGGTGGTGATGGTACATATCTTGTTTAATATTTACTATTTTATTCATTGAGGAATTTTGCTGTACTCATACTGAACAAATACAGGCAGTCCCCGGGTTACGAACAAGATAGGATCTGTAGGTTTGTTCTTAAGTTGAATTTGTATGCAAGTTGGAACAGGAGGTAACATTTTTAAATGTAATTACAGCCAAAAAAATATTTTTTTCAGTTTTGGATGGCATAAGGCAGGATTTAACACTGCTGTAATGTTTGTTTTGCTATCTATGTCTCTGTTCAGGAGATTTCCCCTCACTTTCTGTTCCTGTGACAATTGGATTTTGAAAATGTTGGCTTGTTGTGAAAACAAGGATTGGTGATAAAGCTTTAGTGGAGACCCCTTTTCCCCATGATAAAACTCTTCCAGGAGTGAATTTGGCTTCCAACGGGTGGATTTCCTCTCACTTCCTGTTGTCTCATTCCAAATTTGTTACTAGGAGTCATATGTAAATCAGAGGTTTGCAATTTGGGGACTGCCTGTATCAGAAAAGGAAGGGAGTCTCTCTTTTTTTTCTTTTTGGAGAAAACAATGGCCAAGATAAACATATATTTAAGACTATGTTTGTGAAAAGCTGTGAACCGCCCTGAGTCCCCTTCGGGGTTGAAAAGGGCAGTATACCGCAAATAAATAAATAAGCTGTGCCATGATGGAGAACTGATATTAATTCAGGAGGTTCCAGTCATTTAAATGAAAAATTCATTGCTTCCACACGAATGACATGGTTTCATAAATATATTTGTAGAAGGCTTTCCTGCTTTCATCTAAAGTTAACTCTTTCATATTTACTTTTTGATCACCAAAGCAAAGACCATGATAACCCCCCCCCCCTGCGCTCCACTTTATCTGTCAATATATCTGTATGATGTATGTATCTCTTCTTCTCTCTTTAAGATTACTTCTGCAGAAGAAAAGGCCAGTGTAATGCCGAATTCGCTACATATTTTCAATGCCATTAGTGGGACACCAACAAGCACAACAGTTCATGGAATGCCCAGCTCTTCTTCTGTTGCATAAACGTTTTGGGGGGAAACCGCTTTGAGTTGGACCAAAAAAGATTTTTATTTTTTTTATGATGATTTGCAAACTCAGGATAAAATCCACAGTTGGAAGAGAACTGTGCAGGTTCTAATGATTGAGAGTGTTTAAATCTTTGGATCAGTCAGGGATAAGAAAATAGATGGAAGATACCATATACGCATATTGATGGTGCACATATTTTTTTATATTCTGCTGGCAATATTAAAGATTCTAGGTGTTTGGAGAAGCAAATACTGAAGGGTTCTGGGAAATGTCCTTATGTTTTGTATTTGGTATTGTAAAAGAAATGGCACACTATTGACAGGTATTATGGAATGTATAAGTACAAAAGTGTTGTTAACTGTTTTCACATACAAATTGATGCAAAATACAAATACTAGTGGGTTACATCACTAATTTGCGGGGTTAATGTATTAGATGTGGATTTTTGTATTTAACAAGCAGTTGTGCTCCATTTTATATTTTCTTGGCATTTTGGAGGACATAGCAGCATAACATTAATTGAGCAGCTCCATCCGACCAAAGGTCACACTACATGATAGTCTATAAAAGAAGAATTGTACATATTTGTTAATATATAGACCATAAAGTCTGTACATAAATGTATTACATTTCTAAACATTTTTAATATCCATACCAGCTTTCATCCTTCTACAATTGTGACAAATTCATGTTCATTCCAAGTAAATGCTCTATTTTCTTTTTACACATTATTGTATATAAATAAGTGCAATATGGGGTTGTATACAGTTTCTGTAACATTATGCACTGTTTTTAAAAATAAGACATCATTTTTGCCAAAGTGATGGAGTATGAAAGTGGTGATAACTACTGTGGTAATTGGTGATGTAATTTAAGCTTTTGCAATATTGTTTTAAGACATGAATAGGTAATTTTATATTTGAGAACATAAAGGGTTTTAATTTTATTTAACTGAAAACACTGGCCTGCTGTAATTAAACATTATATACTCCATCTGTATTAAAAAAAAAAGTTTAATTTATGTGGAACTTGCTCGGATCATTTTATTTTAGTACTGCAAAGCAACACTGTCTGCTAAAGTTGGATATTATTATATTGTTTTTCTAAATACACTAGAGTCTCGCTTATCCAACATAAACGGGCCAGCAGAACATTGGATAAGCGAAAACATTGGATAATAAGGAGGGATTAATGAAAAGCCTATTAAACGTCAGATTACATGATGGTTTTACAAATGAAGCACCAAAACATCATGTTTTACAACAAATCGACAGAAAAAGCAGTTCAAGATATGGTAATGTTGTGTAGTAATTACTTCAGGGGTCCACAAACTTTTTAAACAGAGGGCCAGGTCACAGTCCCTCAAACTGTTGGAGGGCCAGATTATAATTCGAAAAAAAGCATGAAATAATTCTTATGCATACTGCACATATCTTATTTGTAGTGCAAGAAACACTTTAAAACAATACAATAATTAAAATGAAGAACAATTTTAACAAATACAAACATTAGTATTTCAATGGGATGTGTGGGCCTGGTTTTGGCTGTTGTATGCTTTCAAGTCATTTCAGACGTAGATTGACTGAGCAAGGGCCTGGTAAATGACTTTGGAGGGCCGTATCCGCCCCTCGGTCCTTAGTTTGAGGACCCCTGAATTACTGTATTTATGAATTTAGCATCAAAACAGACAAGGGTTCTTTCTTTCTCCCACCCTGGACATTATTCCAGGCGGGAGGCAGACTGTGTTGGATAATACAGAGCATTGGATGAGCAAAGGTTGGATAAGCGAGACTCTACTGTAATAGTAATAAGTTTCAAAAAATTCTGGGACATATTTGGTTTAGTTTCTCCTTTGTGAAATAGGCCAGATATTTAAATTTTGAATTAACCATGCTGCTCATGAATACATCTTAGAAAAGCTATCTACTTCCCCTCATAGAGAAAAAAAAGTTTTCCATTACATTGTTTTCAGCAATTCAGAGTTCAGGCTAGAGACAATTCTGGTATATGTATCAAATGCTTGATATAGCAATGTAACATCATAATAATAACTTACTGAGTTTTCTGGGCTGTATGGCCATGTTCCAGAAGCATTCTCTCCTAAATCTATGGCAGGCATCCTCAGAGGTTGTGAGGTCTTTTAGAAACTAGGCAAGTGTGGTTTATATATCTGTGGAATGTCCAGGGTGAGAGAAAAGACCTCACAACCTCTAAGGATGCCTGCCATAGATTTGGGCAAAACTTCAGAAGAGAATGCTTCTGGAACATGGCCATACAGTCTGGAAAACTCACAGCAACCCGGTGGTTCCGACCATGAAAGCCTTCGACAACATATAATAATAATAATAATGTTTACTTGTAACGCCCTTTTCACTAAAGAAATTCTGCTTTTTATGCCAGATAGTTGTGTGCCACATTTGGACTGTTGTTTAAAAGCACTCACAGTACAGAAGCAGGCTTCAGATAACTATCTGCAATAAAAGCTTTTGATATTTATTGTCAGCATGCATTCTCAGTTACATGAACTTGGAGGGTTTATGGGGGCAATTAATGAACTTCAGACTAAGGGCTTCATCCTCGGAAGTGTAATAAGTACACAACAGATTTATACACTTCATAATGCACTCAATGAATAGCTACTTTCAAATTTAGGTGAAATGACTATTAGAATGCAAAAGTTTGAACTTTGTTGCTATATACTGTAATCGCTATAGATAAAGGGAATTAATTGCCATTATTCAAAACATAAATTATCACAGAGCAATATGGAAATCTACTGACCTTCAGAACTCGGCTGTTTTTCCTGATAAGGCTCTGGATAGCTTGATTTAAATATACTCTTCAGAATTTGCTAGTCTAGGGAGTGTGATGTATGTTGTCTTAGCTTCGGGCAGCTAACTTTTTATATCTAATCAGGAGAAGATCCATATACACAATTATCGTGACCATAAGGATGTTCAGAGCATTAATATACTTCCTGTCATGTTTCCATGTTACTGCAATCAGGGGGCAAAGGGATCCCAGAGCAAAGGTGTACTATATATTTTATTGCCATTACTCCTAAGATCTGGAGCCCCCGGTGGTGCAGCAGGTTAAACCACTGAGCTGCTGAAAGGTCGGCGGTTCGAATCCAGGGAGTGGGGTAAGCTCCTGCTGTTAGCCCCAGCTTCTGCCAACCTAGCAGTTCAAAAAGGTGCAAATGTGAGTAGAACAATATGTACCTCTTCAGCAGGAAGGTAATGGCGTTCCATACAGTCATGCAGCCACATGACCTTGGAGGTGTCTACAGATAATGCCGGCTCTTCGGTTTAGAAATGGAGATGAGCACTACCCCCCAGAGTCGGACACGACTAGACTTAATGTCAAAGGGAAACCTTTACTTTTACCCACTCTTATGACATACACATGATCAGGAAGCCAAACTCTTGATATCAAAGAACTTTTGCCAGAATGCCTTTCTGTGTATTGAAATAGTTTGCTTTCTCCTTCCTTGCTGTGCCCATGTCTAATCCAGCTTCCAATTGTTATAGTATATTTTAAGAGGTAGGTGAGAACAGTACACGAGAGAGGAAAAATCAATGTACAGTATGATGTTTTTGAGCTATTATTTGAAAGATATTTTAAAATGTATTATTTTGTTTTGTTATAAATTGGATTTTTTTCTACAATGAAATTTACTTAGAGCCCCCATTGCAGCCATAATTAAGTCATCAAGTTTAATGAATTAAAAGAATCAAAAACTATCATAATACAATTATGGGCCAGTAAGAGGATGATGGAGCCCCTGGTGGCACAGCGAATTAAACCGCTGAGCTGCTGAACTTACCGAATCCAGGGAGTGGGGTGAGCTCCCACTGTTAGCCCCTGCTTCTGCCAACCTAGCAATTTGAAAACATGGAAATGTGGTCAGATCAATAGGGACTGCTTCTGCGGAAAGGTAACAGCACTCCATGCAGCCACATGATCTTGGAGGCGTCTACGCACAACGCTGGCTCTTCAGCTTGGAAATGGAGATGAGCACCAACCCTCAGAGTTGAACATGACTAAACTTCATGTCAAGGGGAAATCTTTACCTTTAAGAGTAGGATAGACATTTTCTTCTCAAAGCTCCATGTTTCCATCTATGTATGAAGGTGATTTATCTAGCTTGCATAGAAACAAAGCCCAAAATGTATGCCAGTTTTCATAAAGAACAATATGGAAAGTGAATAAAGACATAAATCAGATACCATAGCTTTGATACCATTCAATAAAAGAAATAAGAATTTCCAGCTAACCTTTATGTGAGCATGTCCTTTACCTCTTTCTTAAGCTCTGCTGCCAGAATTCAATATCAGGACAATGAAAAAGGTTGAATTTTCCCCATTACATTTAACATCCTCTCAGTGGTGAATAAAGGCTGTTTCGCTACCTTAAAGCAAAGTGTGTGGAGACCTTGAAGGCTGTTTTAAAGGAGGAAATATTACAAAAGAGACATCATTGTCATTGTACCAGAGGCAAAGTTAACTGCCTCTAGATGAAACCAAATTAACTCTTGCTTATCTCTCTAACCTTGCACAAGTCAGTACACTTTCAGCTGGTATCTAAATGAAAACAAGGGGAATTGTTTTAAATTATGTAGGAAGACATCAAAATGTGAACATGCTAGTTGACAAGCTGATCACATTGATTTAACAGTTTTTAATGTCACCCCCTCTTTTGGGCTTCATGACTGTTTCAATTCTACAGACACACAGAACTATTACTTCTTTAGAAGGTCATTACTGAATATATTATAAAAAGGAGCCACACAAACAAAATTTAGTGCAGGAAAAGACAATAAAATAGGAAACGTATCCAGAGTCATAGTGGTCCTTTCAGTTACTTTAGGGTTTTTTTTTTATCGTATCAGAAGCGACTTGAGAAACTGCAAGTCACTTCTTGTGTGAGAGAATTGGCCATCTGCAGAGACATTGCCTAGGACACGCCGATATGTTTTACCATCCTGTGAAAGGCTTCTCTCATGTCCTCACATGGGAAGCTAGAGCTGACAGAGGGAGCTCACCCCATCTCATGGATTCGAACCACTGATCTTCAGGTCAGCAGTTCAGCCAGCACAAGGGTTTAACCCATTGTGCCAGTGTGGCTCCATTTTAGTTCATTTTATGCAATTACATTTCTTTTCCCACTGCTCTAGAATTGTCTTGGCAAATAGCTTAAGAAATGCATTGCAGACCCTTATGTGCTGCTTCCAGAAGGAGGTGCCATCCTAGTGGATAGACTGACTTCTTAGCCAAGAGAAGAAACTTCTATATGAAACAAAATTTCAGAGTGAGAGGAACGAGAGGTGTAGGAGGTAACACCCATCAACCAACCCGTTTTACATGTCCAGATATGAAACACTTCCGAGGGTGTGCTCCTTCTTAAAATGTGTCAGTGAAACTGCAAATGGAAGGTAAAAGGAGGAACAGGAAAACAAGGGAGAACTTAAATTGCTATAGGGATGGGAATCTCCTTGGACATCAGCATCTTGATAGGTCTCTGTTCTCTGTTCAGCTTGGTTTTTTATATTAGAATAATTATAGCATTTGCAGTTGACAAGTATAATGCGTATAATTGATTAATATTCATCTGTGCAAGAGAAACACATGCCAAAAGGGTCTTCTAAGTTCCAAAAGAAGTTCGCATTCATATTTGGCCATAGTCATAAAAGGTACTCCATATGGCTAACACAAGTGATGCCTGCCAAGGCCAGACAAAATATATGCATCCTGAGTTGGGTCAAGCATCTTTAAATATTCTATTCATCCAAGTAGCTCCTTCAGTAAGCATGAATAAAGCTGAAAAATGCCTATGTAGGTCCTTTGAGTTTACTGAATAGTAAGTGGGAGCCCCCAGTGGTGCAATGGGTTAAACCCTTGTGCCAGCAGGACTGCTGACCAAAAGGTCAGTGGTTCAAATCCAGGGAGGTTGAGCTCCCTCTGTCAGCCCCAGCTCCTCATGAGGGGATATGAGAGAAGCCTCCCTCAAGGCTAGTAAAAAACATCAAACATCCAGCCATTCCCTGGGCAACATCCTTGCAGGCAGCCAATTCTCTCACACTAGAAGCAACTTGCATTTTCTTAAGTGGCTTATGACACACACAAAAACTGAATGGAAAGGTAAGTAATAAATGAATTATTATTAACTTTATCCCGTGAAGCAAATTCTGTTACAGATGTAATTAACTATGGCCTTTTTTTATTATTGTGATGGCCATTGGCATCAGCTCTGCAAGTCACGTGACCATGTGGAATGACAGTTTATTCTCACAAGTGACATGGCATCCAACATACCATATTTACTCACGTTTAACACGCCATCACTTGTAATGTGCACCTCAAGATTGGAGGTGTGCATTGCTAAAAAAAGATATTTTGTTGAATATAATGCACAGCTTCCTCTTGCCCATCAGTCATTTTGCTGCTGGCCTCAGCTCAACCGACAAGTAAGGGGAAGCGATGCCCTTCCATCAGGCCAAGACTGGCAGACTTGCCAGTCTCAGGCCCGAAGGACAGGTAGTATCTTCCCAGCTAAGCCCTCGTTCATTATACCTTCAAAACTGAGGCAGGGGAGTGAAGGCCTTGTAAATGAGGCTAGTTAGGAAGCTGTGACTCTCCTTCAGGCTGAGGATAACAAGTTCACCAGCCTCAGCCTGACAAAGCAGTGCTGGACAGGTTTAGGTGCACAATTCTAATGCACCACCGAATCTATGTGTGCCTCACTTTTGACTATGTAATTTAGCCAAAAAAGTGAGTATTAGATTTGAGAAAATATGCAAAGTAAATTGTAACTCCAGATCCATAGTCCATGCCATTTTTATTTGTAGGCACTGCACAAATAAGGGAACCCCATGAATGTAGCAGCAAAATGTGAGACAGCAAGAATGCAAAAACATTGTCAAAATACGCTGTTTATGATTTTACTGGTGAAATTTATCACGCACTCCTGCTCCTACTTGCTTTATTATTGGAAAAAAAATCAAATTTGCCTCTTCCCATTTCAGTTTGATAAACTCTGCTTATGTGTTGTTGAAGCCTTTCATGGCTGGAATCACTGGGTTGCAGTGAGTTTTCCGGGCTGAATGAACATATTTCAGAAGCATTATCTCCTGACATTTCACCCACATCTATGGCAAGCATCCTAAGGGGTTGTGAAGACCTTGTAACCTCTGAGGATGCCTGCCGTAGGTGTGGGCAAAACATCAAGAACAAATGCTTCTGGACCATGCCCATACAGCCCAGAAAACTCGCAGCAACCCAACTCTGCTTATGTTTCATTAGACTGAGCATGTAGTTTTAATTAAAAAGAGATGCCATATAATAGGTCACTTTATGCTAATAATTATAAAATGGGCCCTGTGGTGGCACTTTCTGTTCAGATTAATTGAAAACAACAGGAGTGTGCATATAGTACTTACATAAGAGTTGAACAGATGAAATAATAATTATATCTCCATTAGACGTGCCTCTGGAATGTGGGTC